GTAGATTTGAATGGTGGCCACGGTCGCTTCACGGAGCTCAGGTGAGGGATAATAATGTGATGTTTGACGCAATTTCAGTGTCATTTCATGTCCTTTTTGTTTGTGTTAGCTCTGTGTACTAGTGGTTTGTCGGGCCCTACGTGTATTTGTGAACCTGAATTAAAACGATAAAACTCAGATATATTAAAAAATAGAACACTAAAAAACGTGCAAAAAGAGTTAAAGTTTACTAAAAAGGTTCACAGAGCAGCAGCAGTACTGCTTATAGACACCTGCGTTGATTCATATGACTGGCCAACGACATTAAGACATTTATAAAAATCATTAAAACACTTAATAAATGATCTGAAACACGGGGAGCCATGAGCGATTTTAAACGGTGTCATGTGGACGCCCCTGGTTTAGGTGGACACGTGCCGGCAGTTTTGAAGTATTGGTCAACCTGAACTAATCTTATTTGGGAAGACGAGAGCAGGGCATTACAGTAGTCAATGACTGGTGATAAAGAGCTCAGGTCTCTGGGTTGCCGAGAGAGAATGGGGGGGATTGGGATTTTTTTAGCTGATAAAAATTATTTTTGAGGCTGTTTTGATGTGAGACAAAAGTCAGCTCAGCGTCCAAAGATTACGCAGGTTTTTTCATTGTGATGACGATAAAAGAGTTGGAGATGGAGTAATGTACTGTTTAAACAATGTAAAGTTAATGTGATTGTTTATTTATAGGCATTTTAAAGACCAAGGTCACAAAGCACTTACATTGATCAGAGTTAGATATCTAAGGCGAGTTTTGGTAAAAGTTTCTTCTCTGGCTAGGGGTTGGAAAACCTCAGTTTTGTCCTGGTGAGCTGGAGAACGTTTTCTGCATAGGATTTCCGGTTAAATGCCGTTCAAAAAGAGCATCATTGGGCCTGGTGTCATCAGGCGACTGGAGAAGTACAGTGAGTATCATTGCATAATGTGGAAGTTAATTCCCCATGTTAGATGACACGCAAGAGGGATGAATGGGTTCACAGGATGGACGACATGGACCTGGGGCACAAATGTGATTTCATGGCCTTAGAGAGGAGCAGGTATCCAACTTACCAGAAGGATCTGTCTGTTAAATAGAAGTAACATGTAAACTCAACACAGAACGGCCTGGAGGTGGAATCGAACCCAGGACCTTCTTGCTGTGAACTACAAGCTCTAACGGCTGCCGCCCAAGGTGTTTAAGATGTTGGGTGAGGCAAGAAAGCCTGCCTAAACAAATCTTAAGTTGAGAAACCGCAGCAGAATCACCAGCAACAGTAGCAGCTCGGAATGGACTGGTTTGTCACGCCTCAAGTTTATACAAGTCTTCATCGTGATGATTTGGATGAGGTGGGGGATTCGGTTTTCACTGGTGCTTTGTAAAACTCTATGTGATCGTGAAATGGTTAAATCTGTCACCAGTTGTTAAGGACATAGAGTTGCATGAATCTGTATGAAATGTGTAAAGTCTTAACCAAATTAGCAGTGTTCAGATTTCCATTGTCTCAAATATGTGTCAAGCCAATCTACAATCTTTGAGAACTTGTTGGTCACATTTCATTTTCTAATCACACACATAAGATAAAGTTATTGTTACTATTTTTGGGCATCAGCAATAACAGATTTTTGACAGCTCTTACTTTAAACTGGTTGTGCAGGCAGGGAAACCCTTGTGGCAAGAAGTGGTTTAAACTTTGAACTGTTTTATCTCTGCTTCAACTTATTGCAAAACGTTTTGACGCATTCCTTTACTACTAACATACTTTAAGAATGTGAGTATTTTGTTAAATGTGAAGTAAATCAGCCCTATAGTGTACTACAATGGGGGCGGGTCCCGGCTCAAAAAGGTCCATGAGCATGTGCTGTAACATGCTTGAAATACCACCCCGGGCCAGTGGGGGTAGCCTGGTTGTACCACACCATAGTACAAATTACGTTTCGTAATAAGGTCTGGAGGTGATCCATTGAGCTCCATTAACAGGTGGGAGGGGTTAACTCCTTTTGCAGATTGAAACGATTGGATCTGAGTTTACCGTCACGTATGTAAAGCGTCCGAGTGAATATTTAGCATTTAGCCTAGCTTTAGCCCTCTCCTTTGCCGCTAGAGAAGCCCGTGGGGAGTAGCACCACAACCTTGGCCAGCGATTACATTTGCTAAACATTCCTCTTGCTCCGGTTTAAATTTCTTGATAAAACCAGACCGGATTACTTTACTATCGCATTCTTCTTCATTGCCAAACTACAACCTGCCCGTTCGGTGCAAACGCTTGATGTCACCCACTTCTAACTACAACACTGCCTCCCGCGCTCGCTGATTGGTCAAATGGAATTCAACCGATTGCAATTGCTAACACAGGGACCAGACCCAGACGTAAAAATGCAGTGAAATGATAATTGACTGGAGTGTACAGATGGGTAAGGACAGGCTACAGTGGGGGTGGACCCAGAAAGAGAATAATCAAATTCTTTTGTGTGCCATATTCTTATTATATATTTTTGGACCACTCTAGTTTAGCCGCTAAGGCACTCATTAAATGAATGGGGCTGGTGTCAATTACATTTCCTTAAATGTCCTGGATCATCACCGTCCTTAGACCCTCCTGAAACGTTATGAAGGCCATTATTGAAAATGGAGAAAAAGCTTCAACGCTATAACAGCAGATAAAGAACAATTATCATTTCAGGTTTTAACGACGACAAAGCAAAGAAGAGAAACGACAAACTGACTCAACACAAACGTCAAGACCCGATGCCAAATTTAACTCCACGTTGTCGTCCTTTTGAACCATGAGCCTGAGGGCGCAGCTCTGTTATATTTTATATGAGTCAGAGGAGGTTTTCTGATGCAAGTTTGATGCAAAATTCTGACATTGGGAAGGCTCATTTTGTCCTACTTTCATGTCTAACAAAGGCCCACCTACAGTAGCTGGACCTATAACATTAGCCTCTCTTACATAAGCTGCTCTGGACACCAGAAACGACTGAAGGTATTGTGTGTGTCTGTGGTTCTCAAACTGTGGTGTGGGGGCTGCTGTTGGCACTGGTGATAACTGCGCAAGTCATAATTCATGGTGTAGGTCCTCAAACTATGTTTTACTGTGTACTCTCTTGCTAGCCAAGACAGGGCATGAGTATCCCCAAGTAATGGTAGTAATAATGTTTAAGATACAGAACGAACACAATCTGTCACTTGCACAAATAAGTAATACTTTCATTCTTTGTGATTACTCATCATTGTTTTGGAAAGTGTGTGAGTTCTTCTTATGTATCTGATAATTTATTTCAAATGTTATTTTTTGTTTACATTGTGTTTGTATTTTGAACAAAATATTTTATTTAACTTGAGTTTCATATTTTTATGGACATGCTTGGTCTAAATCAAAAGTAAGGAAGGCTTGTTAATGCAGACTGATGGAGGAATTAATACTAATGTGTTAAAAGTTCAATGTTTAGAAAAGAATCATGGGTTTTCTTGAATTAGATTTAAAATTATGTTTAACATGCCATGGCAGCCCAAAAAAACATACACGTATCAGGTTTTGAAAATCTTGGGTAACACTGGCATATGAGGTTACTTTTATTATATCTGAAGATCTTGTAAATCTATGCAAGTAAGCAATCTTTATTCATATTGCGCATTTTACAAAAGGTCGCCCAAGACGCTTTACGATGTTCAGATGTTCTATGAACCCATTTCCCGCTCAGTGTAAATATTGATATTCAAAAATAAATACTTTTATCGTTGTGTCTCGTCATCTTTACTCAGGTTTTGCCAAAATGCTGACCAGAGTTGCTAGTGCTGTCAGAGAAGCGGAAAAGCTCACATTTAAAGGCGCTATACCCGTTTCTGCAATGTTTGAATGTTTAGCACCGCCCCCCAACTCGCTCAATGGCTTCTCATTTCTCCTACGCTCTCATAACACAGAGCCACCTAGTTTTATTTGCGATCTGATACATATGCTAACATTAGCATTAGCGCAACTTCTTGTAAGCTGTACAACAATCACTGATGAAATGGCACTAAAGAAACGCACTGCTAACACAATATATAAGTAAAAGAATACCACTAGTTTCGCGTCCGAATGTATTAATTTAAAACCTTAGAATATAGTCTAATATTTAATTATAATTTGTTATAGAGCTCCTCAAAGCAGCAGCAGCAATTCTTCCGATCATTTTTCTTGATAACAGAACTCTCAAACTAATAATGACCGAAGCCCCAATGCAACCTCTGTTTGTAATTCAGGTGTGTAAAATACTAACATTACTCTGCAAGTACAAAACGCTTTCAGCACCTGTCACTACACACTTGTCTGTGTAGAGAAGCCAACGGAGCTAGCGGAGCTAGCCACGCTCAATAAACAACTACATATCTATAAATCAACACCATTAAACGTCAATCGGACAATACAGTACACATATACATCCTTAACACACATGCACGGATGATTTCAGAATTTGCTGTTAACGTTTTCATGACAAAAATACTGTTTCAATGTGACAAAAAGCGATTGCGAAAAACCCGGAAGTTACCATGAAACAACTAGCTAGCTTAGCTGTTACCTGCCTAGGACGTCCCGGTGAAACCTTTGGGAGCTAACTATTTTATTTGCAGTCATTAAATACATTTCTACGGAAGAGCATTGTTGTCACTTAAAAAAAAAAAAGATTGTTAAAAAAAAAAAAAAAAAAAAAAATGATCTCATAATTATGAGATAGTATCTCATAATTATGAGATACTATCTCATAATTATGAGATAGAATTTTTTTTTTCATTTTTTATCTCATAATTATGAGATAACTATCTCATAATTATGAGATAAAAAATGAAATAAAAAAAAAATCTCATGAGGCAGGCTGCATGCAGTTCATTGTTTCATCTACAACTTTCACCAACAGTACAGGTAAATATTTGATTATATTAAGAAATATTTTAACCAGCTATTATGAAATTCTTCCTTATTAGTCAAAAAATTGTCATTGCTAGCTTCATTATCCACACGGTGGCTTCAGCAGGACCGGGTGGACCAGACACCACGGACACCACTCTATGGGATTTCTTGAGAGGTCGAGGTGTCTCTGAAAGTGGCATACTAACAAATGGCTAGCTTAATGCATTAGCGGTTAGTCAGACAGAATGCTATTCAAATGCAGAAAAGAATCATAACGTCAAACTTTAAACGTTGGAAGTACCTTATCTTGTTGCATTTCCCTAATGCCACTTTCTTAATATAATCAAATATTTACCTGTACTGTTGGTGAAAGTTGTAGATGAAACAATGAACTGCATGCAGCCTGCCTCATGAGATTTTTTTTTTATTTCATTTTTTATCTCATAATTATGAGATAAAAAATGAAAAAAAAAAAAAATTCTATCTCATAATTATGAGATAACTATCTCATAATTATGAGATAGTATCTCATAATTATGAGATACTATCTCATAATTATGAGTTTTTTTTTTTTTTTTTTTAACAATCTTTTTTTTTTTTTTAAGTGACAACAATGCTCTTCCGTGCATTTCGAATTACAAGGGTTGTCTAATATTTGTTCAAATTTTTTTATTCAATTATTTTGTTCATCCTTTTTTATTTTAGAATTATATTCGAATTTTGAAGTCCTGGTGTTAAGCAGCGCTGTAGAGGCTAGAGGACGCAGGCTGTTCGCTGCTCGTTCTGTGAGTGGAGGAGAAAGAGCGGCCCGCTCAGACTCTACTCAGCACTTTTCACTGCTTGTAATTCTTACACAGCTGAATCAATTACCTCAAGTTTTCAATTAAATGATGTATTATGATACAACTTGTATGTAGTAAAAAGCATTTTTATGAACTACTTAGAAAAAAAATCGGGTATAGCTTCTTTAAGTGAAATAATGCCGTTTTATTCACTTTGGGGTCAAGCCTGAAGACAATTTGTGAAACTGTCAAATCACACAGTGCCCAAAATATCTGAAGTCTGCATTTTAAACAGAGGGCAGCTGGAGCTCAGTCTGGGTAAAGAACATGTGAGGATTCTTGGTTTTTTCTCCAATAATTCATCATACACTTAAGGCCAATTTGAGCTACGTTTTTAGTTTCTCAAGATCCCCTACAAAGCTGAAAATGTTGGGCTAAAAATTAACTATCATGTCATATCAAATACAATGTAAAACAAACGTTAGTATTTAGACGTTAGCATTCAGACCATAGACTAAATATTAACGGACGTAGTCACGCCTATCTCCGCCGTTCAAACTAATCAGCCATCACTATTGGCTTCTATGGGCTTTTTCAAAATGGCCCGGGGGCAGGAAAATGTGAAAAAACACATTTGCGTATCCTTCAGTCGGAACTAGCCGCATTCGTTTGAAGAGAGCCTTCTGAAGTCCAGAGGCTAAACTAAAATGGTCCAAAAAAATATACTCTTTATATCCATCCATAAAAATATAAGCTTTGGGCCAAGAGCGACTTTTGGACCACCCTGTAAAGAACTTTTCGAGAGGAAAGAAGACGGCATTCAAAAGCATTGGATAATTCTCTTTCCGGGTACACCCACACCGGCCCGGAGTGGTATTACAAGCATGTCAGCGCACGTGCTCATGGACCTTTTGGAGCAGGCACCCGCCCCCACTGATGATAGCATTCAGACACAACTGGACTATTTGAAAAAAAGAATTGAACTGTACCATATTTGACAAGGTGACGCGGTCTTTGGGCACGATCAGGCTGATGTCGAAGGTGGCTTTGATGGCAGGTTCATCCCAACACGGGAAAGCTCTGCGTGCGTCTGTGGCCTGAGGAGGAAATAAAGGTCATTTATTAAGATGAAGAGATTCTTTATTTGTCCCACAGTGAACAGTAGGAATGAGGAGCACACACAAAATGAATGAAGAACTTTATACTATATAACATAAAATAAATAAAATCTCTAACATTAGCAGAAAAAATAAGCAACTATATTATCTCTATAATGAAGATGCAAGAATTAAGTACAACATCTCTGACTTTCGCATTGTAGGAAGTAGGTATGAAGTATAAGTTTTAGCAAGCATTTATTGAAAGAAAGACAACAATAAAATACATATAAAAATTGTTTGAGGAAAGCTGGAAAACAATGCAGAACACCAAATGAGTTGCAAATATGAGTTGAAAATACACACAGGCTTCACAAATGAAACAAAACCAAAATATTGTAATTTTGTGGTTTTAAAACGGTTTTTAAGCAGGCCTTGTTCCGACGATGTAGGAGGGACATGATTAAAATGGCAGTAATAGCTTCTTGACACACAGAGGCGACTATATTTTTGGATGCTTTTGATCACACGATTAACTCCCATAAGAGGAGTTTACACATTTGCATTAACACATGAGGGTAAGAGTCAGAAGGAGGCGGCGTTCAAGTTAAAAAAATTATATTTCTGTTGGAGGTGGAACTCTATGGGAGGAAAATGTCCAAATGTTTCTCAGATCATTCACTTCCTGGCATGTTATTCTTATTCCTGGAAGTCCTTTTCTACTTGTCAACATCATGCATGTTCTTGAGTATTGTCACCACTTCTACGGATTTTTTGCCTCTATTCCCGATTTTTGTTTACCGTTTACTTGTTTATTGTTAAAGTTTGATTCGATTTCGAGTCCCGATCCAATGCTTTTTATCATTAGTATTGTACATTATAAAATGATTTAGCAAGTACTATCATTATTTTGAGTTTCATCATTTATATAATTTATAAATAATGAATCAGTATTTCTTCAGTTTTGGGTAGTGAGGAGACATTTAAAACATAGATAAAAATAATACACAAACAAGTTAGTAATGGTATCTGGGACATCCCTAACCACTTCTAGATCATAGACAGTTTGTTTCATGTGGATTTCCCAGGAATATTTGAGAAATCATCTATAAACAAGGACAAGAAGTCTTCCTTAACAGTTACCATGGTTTCCAGGACAGATTTTTCAGCTGCCCTCCACTACAATGCTAAAGTAAAAGCTCTTTGGAATGTTGTGATGCCATGGGACGACAACCTATTATTACTGTGCCACTTTCTAACCCCATTAAAAGTATCCCAAGCTTTAAAAAAACTGCTACGGGTGCAAAATTACAGAACACAACAATAGCCGCTCCTACAAGATGTGAAAGTACAGCAGAAAGCAAAAATCCCATAACAATGTACAGTCACTAGGGCCAATCATTGAAGGAGAATCATTGAAGAACACACTTTTCAGGCAGTAAGCACAAGCTTGTTTTGACTTGCAAAATGCCTAAAGGACACTACAGCCGCAATGACGGCTCTCGCTCTGTCAGAAAACAACTGTTTGAGAATGTTCTTGTGTAGAGCCCGGTGCAGAGAGACTGTGCTCTACATAAGAACAGGTTTAGGTGTGAAACTGCTGAAATAAATGCAGTTTATAAGCGGCAAAGATGACACCAATCTATTCATATTTGGGTTTTCCCCCCATTTGGGTTAATTGAAAAATGGTTAATCCCATGGCAGGCCCTCTTTTGCTGCAAATTGAGGCCTCATTTAGAGGCCTGGTTTAGATTTAGTATTTTGTGGAGAGGCAGATAGACAATACCAAGTTTGGTTTATTGGTAGTTTTATGTATTGTACTAAATGACAGCTTTAAGTTAGAGATTTGTTATGCTAAAGTTAGAGATTTTCATTTTATTTTAGCATAGAATTATTGGTCACTTATCTTGTGCTCTGTGCTCCTCATTCCTACTGTTCTATAACTGGGGATGAACCACTGAAATTTCCCTTTAAATCGGGTCCTATAATCTTAATTCTAATCTTACCGAGGGAATATTGTGTTCTGCTATTCACCAGTCGTGGCAAATCAAATTGACGTTATAAGAATGTAAGATGGTTTTGAAGATTCTAATAATCTGATATAGTCTTTGTCCTTTTGTAGGTAAGAAAAGAGGGAATCAAGCACAGTTCTAGAGCTCACCTCAAACTGTGTGACAGCAGCGTAGCGGACCTCTCCAGCTGCTGTTGTGTATTTACTTCTGTAAAATCCTTTCATTTTGTCGTTGAGTTCTCCTACAAAGTCTATCTTCAACGTGCCGGAACCTGGGGAACAACAATACACAGTAGTACAAATCATTAAATCATTAAAACTGTAACCCTAAAGAAAAAAAAATAAATCCCATAAAGCAGCCCTTACCTTTCTGTAGTGCACTAGGAAATGACAGGGTGACTTTCTCATCTTCATTTTGATAGTTGAAACCAGTAGCGTTAATTTCTACAAAGAGAGAGAAAAGGTACAGTCACAGAAATGGAATGACTTATGTGCAGGTTTTGTGTTTTTCTTCCCCACAAAAAGGGTCTGTGACTAAGATCTGTACAGAAAATAATGCTAATACTACAAAAATATATACAGATGGTGGGATTTGCCTGGAGCCAGGATGAATGAATGTTTACTAATGTTTTTTTTTAAACAAAAGGAATAAGCCGGAGTCTTAAGAGCAGGCAGACGCACACACACAAACACACACACACCTAAGTGAAGGCAGGAACTGGTGGAAAATCAATCATATAAAAACCCCACACAGAGAAATGGACAGAAGATGACAGTGACGAATCCTGTGCACATTCTATGTCTTTTAACACTGACTCATCCACAAGACACGAGTCCCCATTCAGCAAAAAGCAAACACAGGAGGCAAAGATAAGCGCCGCTGCATGTACTGCTTCTGACATGGCTCCGATGGGTTTGTTCTTATTGCATTTGCCGAGCTTAAACTGTTTGATTTTCTGACCTCATACATAGAATTGAATTAAATTAGTGTTCAGGACTTTGGTCAACTGAGGTTGTTTTTAAATGTGCCATACTAATACATTTGACAAACTTTGATATTGCAATCTGTATTCATTTCGGTACACGACACATAGCAGTGGTGTCAAACTCATTTTTTCGGGGGAAAAATTTAAAATCACGAGATGGTTGGGGCCAAAAATATTATTTGACATGAGTTTGTGTATTATTTTAGAGATTTTAGATTTAACCACAACTTTGCAGACTAACAACTACCAATTTCTAATTACATGTTTTTAATATTTCAGAAAAGATTAATTTATAGGGTTGTTTTCCTGAGGTTACATTTCAAATTTACACAATTCAAAATCAAGTATATCATGCCATAGGAGCCCACTTCCATCAAATGTTTATGTAATTGTGATAATTGAAAGGGGCCACTAAAAATGGCATTGTGGGCCGGATTTAGCCCCCAGGCCTGAATTTGACATGTCTGCTATACAGCTATTTGATACTCTTTATTATTGTAGGGCTGTATCAACTAATCAATTATCACAACTTATCATGTTTTTTTCAGTAATCGATTAATCATTAACTGCGGTGTATGCAGACTGTATGTGCATCCGGATGTTATTATGAGAGCAATAATTATGCAAGAATGACATGGATACAAACATAGTCACAGAGTAGACTAAACCACCAAATGAACAAGACAGGATCTGATAAGGATTTGATTTTGTCACATTCTAATCTGAAGCGGGATTGAATCAGTCGAACCTTCTGCTCCCAGTGGACAGAACGAGGCGGTGATGATGTCGATGTCGGCGCAGTTCATCACAATCTGATTTGTCGATTGTGTCACCTGTAAACACACACAAGACCAGGAGCCAATGAGACGCAGCCACGTAATCCCTCTATAGTAGTAAATGCACACATCTGAAAGAAAACCCAGATCGCAGCGATAACGGGGGATATTTACGAAGCCACATTTTTGGCGAAACAATAAAAAAACACAATACTATCAAATGGAAAAAGGAAAAACAAGGCTGAAAACAAATCTTTACAACTGACTGATTCTAATTCGTACTACTTATTACTTTTATTGCCCTTTTTAAACCCACTTTTTAATGTGTTTTAAACCTCATACTTTAATGCTGCTTCATCTTAATAATAAATAATTGTATATTTATTGACTTTTTAATACATTTTGATCCGTTTTTCAGAATTCTCTTGTGAAGCACTTTGAATTGCCTTGTACACGAATTGTGCTATACAAATAAATGAACGATTGAAAAATTACTGTGGGATACTACATATACAAAAATACAATACTATCAAAGAGTAAAATAAAAAATGACTAAATGCTATTCTACTTATTCTTCTAGTATGTTCAGAGATAGTAGTTTCTCTATTGTAAGCATTTTGCATTAGAAAGAGCCTGTGTGCGGCTTGTTTCTTTTAAGAGGGGGTCACACATGGAGCAAAAAGGTTGAGAGGTTAAGTTTAAATGTTTTGTTTGGTGACGGAGTGTCCAAAGTGTTGGTTGAGGGCCGCACTAACCCCAACTCTAATCGCTTTAGAGTAAATTTTTCAAATAAGTAGCATATGCTCAGTTCTGGTTCTTGAGGTTGCCATAACTTAACCCAGTCTTATAACGGTAACATCAGTGCTGTAATCCCACGCCAATATGTGTGCTATCCATGTTATGATAGTAAATAGTACTTCTTTGTGTAATGTGGGCCAGTTTACAAACAAGGCTGAGGGCCAGGAGAATTACCCATTGACTATTCACTTCATAAGTTGTTCTGTTGCTGCTTAAAGTTAAAAGATTTTAAAAAGTAATGCAAAACACAATTGGATGTGTTTAGTAATGGTTTCAGGGTCGAGTGGGGTTCTATCGGTTCTCATCTGGTATTGACAGATAGAAAGACGATATATTGAGACAATCCCTAGGTTTTTTGAATGCAATAAACATTTTTTTAATAATAATTAATAAGAATACATTTTAATTATACCGCACCTTACATTGCCCAAAACCTGCAAAGTTATAGTTTAAAATTCAGTACAAAAATAACACACACGCACACACATTCTAGCTCATTCTGTGTGTGAACTTTTCAGAGCCATGACTTTTCTCTGGCTCTGGACCTCACTTATGTTGAATTGATGTGATGTGAGTGGACCGCTGCTTCTCTGTGTCTCTCTTGTCTTGAGTGATGTTCATTTGCGCCGCTGCTGAGGGCTCTAATTAAAAGAGACAAGCCTGAGCAAGTCAACACATGAGGCAATGAACACCCAGGGTCATTTTCAATTCAAATACATGATACATGTTACATGATACATGATACATGTATACACATCTGCCACTAAATATATGCAAACCAAAGTTAATTTATAACTTTGGAGGTGAGGTTCATGTCTAGTTATGATTTGAGGTCAACGTAATGTTAAGAGAAAGAACAAAATGTGTGATTTTAGTTTGTAGGTGCTTTGTCAGCCAATGGTTAAATTGAATAGAAACTAAAGAGAGTTAGAGCTGGTGATAAAACAGAAATATTATTAGGAGAAAATACTGGCAAAATTATAAGGGCAACAATATCAAATGAAAGTGCAAGTTGTTAGTTGAAGAGTTTTGTCGTTTTTGTTTACCCGCTCGAAAACATTAGGGTATTTTTGTGCAGTGCAGTTAGGGTAAAGTACATGGTGTGATCTAAGTGATGCAAAATACGACTTGTTGAGCTTTAGCCAAATCCTCACCCAGCTTTTGTTGACTAATCAATGAACAGGGCAGGTCTCTAGTCAAGTATTCCTTCGGTCACATGCAGTCCTCGTCACTTTTTGTACTCAATATAAACTAAATCACTCAAGCCCCAATCAACGGCGATAACAACAACACAGGTAATGAGGCAATAAAAATGTCTAAGCACTTAGTCATCAGTGAATTAGTAGTACTGTATATGATTTGCTGTAAACGAGTATATTGATAGGTAATAAGGCCGAGCAGTTCACTTATATCTCATTACGGTTCACAGTGGCCAAGTGCCTCAAAACTTTCCACTCAAAACACAACAGAAATGAATTGGTTAAAGATTACAGTGAAGTGAAGTGACGCAGGCATTATGTCAGAGTTTAGAATCATAAACTTCAACTAATCAATCTCCCAAACATAGCTGTCCATTGTAGTTACATATCAACTTACTACTGAAGCATGTTTATGTTGATGCTTGGAGGTTTAGCTCGTCACAACAGTTACTATATCAACACATTGTTCACTGGAAAAAAGCTTTAACAATAGACTGAGGTGCAAAAAGGAAAGAAAAAAGGTAAAAGGACAGAATTGCAGTATACTTGTGTCATGTTGCAAACCTATTTTCACCAGATGTCTCCATTTGATACCAGGAAACGGTTTCTTAATTTAGACATCTCTAAGCTACTAACTTTTGACAAAACACAAAAGGCTCTTTTTGTCAATGATCTAATTCCTGTTATTGTAGTTTTAATTTATTGGAGACCCACCCTTGTTACAATAATATTGCACTTTGACAGGTCCATTTCAGTACTGGAAGTTACTGATATCGCAAAAACAAATGGTATATTGACATTTATAAAGCTGAGCATCACAGTTTAATTGCTTTGTCAAGAGCCATGATCTGTAGCCAACACATGAAGGAATATTTAAAAGGTATACAGAAGGATTTACCCAATTTTTCTGAAAGAACCACCCTCTCCACATTTTGAACAAAACTCTCTGGTTGTATTTGACAAGCATGTATCACCAGAATGATTGACAATTAGGAGGACCAATAGCCTTGATGATCCACCCGGAAGTAGAAAATCCTCCTGTATACCTTTGACTGAAACAATACAGTGGTGTGATGTGACAGCCTATCTTATCTATTTTATTCTTTTAGTTAACGGAAAGGGTTTAGTTTCCATATGACTGGTCAGTTTCATTTACAGGAAACAGAAGCGTGGAGGGGCTGCATAAACTCATGACCACTTGACTTTTCAGGGTCAAAGAGCTTGGCCACACGAGTCGGAAACAGGGATAAAGGGGGAGTGGGCTGCACGAAGTCAACCATGATTTAGCAAACATTACAACGTGCTAAACTCATTCAAGCGAGTTCAGTCAAGCATGTTTTACCCACACGTGTATCGAGAACATCTGTGGCCATTAGAACTGCCGTGAAGTTAAAAGAAACCCTAATAAACATGTAGGACACGCACATAAATAGTTAGATTGACAAGTCGAACTGCAGGCAATGAGTGAGTCAGCTAAGCTAATCGGCTAGCATGAAATAGCGCAAACTTAAATGCAGGAATTATTGCGTGCATGGTTACATTTGCAGAATGTCTTCGCAGTTTAAAGCGTGTCAATGCATCTGGTGTTGAAAAAAGGCAAGGTTGGGAATTTCCACTGATGGGGGCGGTAATTTATTGCATTAGCGGCTAGCCATTCCCCCGCTATCGGCGAGTAGTGCACACAGCAGCGGGCAGACAGACAAGACACTAGCCGCTAGGATTACATAACACGTATCCACACCACAAATCCCCCAGACAGTCTCGCTGCTGATTGAGATCCACGTACCTCCACCACGGCCTCCAGTTTCCCCTCAAACGTGAAGTCAATGAGGTCGGGCTTCAGACACAAGCCATAGTTGACGGGTGTAACGTCTGTGGGTAGCCGCACGAAGGGCCTTCTTTCGGGCATAATTTCTGTGTTTTTGGCGCCGGGGTTGTAGCCAATGAGCACGGTACGGTGTGGGGTGGTAGTAGCGGTTTAAGCGTTTATTCAGCCAAACAGGGTTCTGCGGTGAGGATGGGCAGCAGGCAGTGACTGTGTGTGAGGATGACAGCGGAACCTGCGGCCTCTGAGCCAAACACTCCAACTACGGTGGCACGCACGGACATGTCGTCACTACGCACGCCAAAAAAAGTTGGCTAAAAATAAATATACAATTATATTAGAAACTAATTACAATACGTGCTTGGATGTTTGGCTCCCATTGATTGTTCCATGTTGATTTTTTTTAATTTACATTATACAATATTTGTTGCTATGGCAACTCATTTCATTTTCATTTCAGTTCATTTGTGGAAGGAGGCCATAAAGTCCTTTCCACGGAAACTTTCCCAATAAAACACAGACACAAAACAATGTAGACTAACTAGGATTTGATAAACGCACTTAATCATGTATTTATTATTATGATAATTAATTATTATTATTGGTATCATTATTTAATATTATTTTATTAATCTAATTGTCTTAATTTATCGAAATGCCAAATTGATAGGATTTCCTACTTTCGTCTTCTGTGAAGTTTTACATCCAAGTTTTGACCGGAAGTTAATTTCGTTTCCGGTTGAATGTGTCAAGATGGCGCTCCACATGCGGAGGACGCTGCTGTCACTTCACCGAACTAAATGCAGCTCTTTTAAGGTGATTTATGTGTGTAATATGTTCTCTGCAATCATGAACATATATCTATACGTATTGTGTCTAGGTTTGTTCTGGGACTATTGGAAATGATCATCAAAAATCTTTCAAAGCAATGCCCAGTACATGATTTGCCTGGCTCATAGTAACATGCATTTGATAACATTGGAGCAAAAGTATTCGCTCATATAATTCAATTGTAGTGCAGTTCCTAAAATTAATACAATAGTTACATTGTGCAGTTGTGTATTTTTTATACCTGATGTATAATGATGCATGCTAATTGTTCGTGTGAATTCCCAAAATAAAAATGTTTAATGTGAGTCATTGAAACTGATTTTTGGTAGGAAAATAAAAAAACTGATAATCACGTTCTAGCGTCGTGCCAAAAAATAGCAAATTAATTGTGAACTTTAACATTTTATTTTTTTATGTCCTTGGTTCTAAACAAATTAAAAGAGTTCTCTAATACTAGGACCAATTCTGTCCTGCAAAATGTAAATTCACTTTATTTGTTTTTTTGTTTTATTTTCCCCAGCCCCCAGAGGTTTTGGACGTCCGGAGTCCTGGCCCCCTGCTCCTGACTGTGAGGACAAAGAAGCGCTACTTTATTCCTCCAGCGGTGGGTCTCAAGAAAAATGGGGCTGAAGACGCAGAGGCCAAAGCCCGAGCTGCAGGCATCGTTTTCAGACAAGAGTACTTCGAGAGACCCATCAACATTGCATGCACTGGTAAACAAAAAAAACACTACTACAACTATACACTCTTTACTGCAGAAAGCAAAGTCCAAAAGACAAATCATGTTGGATATTTTGGAGATACATTATTGCAGATTGATATTGAAACTGTGAAGAGGATTTATTCTGTATTTGATCGGTAAAGGATACAGAGCTTCCAGTTGACCGCATGAAGATATCTGGGTTTAAGAACTTGGATAAATTTGACTTTTGGAATACGGGAATTCATTGTGGAATCGCCGAAGACTGGCTCTCTCTGGTCTCTCTCTCTGGTCTCTCTCTCTGGTCTCTCTCTCTGGTCTCTCTCTCTGGTCTCTCTCTCTCCGGTCTCTCTCTCTCCGGTCTCTCTCTCTGGTCTCTCTCTCTGGTCTCTCTCTTGTCTCTCTCTCTGGTCTCTCTCTCTGGTCTCTCTCTCTGGTCTCTCTCTCCGGTCTCTCTCTCTGGTCTCTCTCTCTGGTGTCTCTCTCTGGTCTCTCTCTCTGGTCTCTCTCTCTGGTCTCTCTCTCTGGTCTCTCTCTCTGGTCTCTCTCTCTGGTCTCTCTCTCTGGTCTCCCTCTCTGGTCTCTCTCTCTGGTCTCCCTCTCTGGTCTCTCTCTCTGGTCTCTCTCTCTGGTCTCCCTCTCTGGTCTCCCTCTCTGGTCTCTCTCTCTGGTCTCTCTCTCTGGTCTCCCTCTCTGGTCTCTCTCTCTGGTCTCTCTCTCTGGTCTCTCTCTCTGGTCTCTCTCTCTGGTCTCTCTCTCTGGTCTCCCTCTCTGGTCTCTCTCTCTGGTCTCTCTCTCTGGTCTCTCTCTCTGGTCTCTCTCTCTGGTCTCTCTCTCTGGTCTCTCTCTCTGGTCTCTCTCTCTGGTCTCTCTCTCTGGTCTCCCTCAGGAGTGTGGAGGATGCCATCTCCTTTGCTCTGAACTCTGTCTACAGTCACTTGGACACTAGTAAATCTGTCGCGAGAATGCTTTTCATTGATTATAGCTCTGCTTTTAACTGCCTTGTCCCAGGTATACTGATTGAAAAGCTCATGTCTCTCGGTTTAAGTGTTGCCATGTGTAAATGGATTTTTAGCTTTTTAACAGACAGATCTCAGAGAGTGAAAATCAATGACTGTTTTTCTGATTTTGTTTCTGTGAGCACTGGTTCTCCTCATGGATGTATTTTGAGTCCTTTGCTTTTTACTTTGTACACTCACGATTGTGTGTCCTCCTCTGACTCAAACTTGATCATCAAATATGCTGATGACACCACCATCATCGGTCTCATCAGTGACACTGATGAATCCTCTTATAGAGCAGAGATACAAAATGTGGTTCAGTGGAGTCAAACTAACAACCTCCAGTTGAACGCATCGTAAACATGTGAACTGGTCTACGACTTCAGTCGCAATAGTTCTCATTTGCCTGTCGTAATCGACAACTCCCAGGTACAGATCGTAGAGGAGTGCAAGTTTCTGGGTTTAACTCTGTCTAACGACCTGAAATGGGTTAAAAACACTGAGTCGTTAAGAAAGCTCGTCAGCGTCTCTACTTTCTGCGTAAACTTAGAACTAATGAAGAAGATGACATGTCTGGGATCGCGTCTTTCATTCAGACAGAAGACATGTTTTATTGTCGATGGTAGAGACAGCACGAACAACAGAATGCGAGTGTATTATACAGAGCGGAGGCATGGAGACCTCCAATCAGCAGCTGCCACAGTGCCATGTAGCTTGGCCTTCAGATAGACAAAACAAGGGAAAAGTACTGGCTTCTGCACATTGATAGAATGATGAGTTTAACTTTAACAAAAGTTGCTTAAAAGTGTTATGAAATCTCACACTAACTCTAAGATTCTGCTTAACTTTTATCGCTGCCCCATTGAGAGTTTACTTGTTGGTTCTGTGTCTGTGTGGTTTGGAAACATCACAGATAAAGAAAAGAGATCTTTAAACAAGGTGCTCCGCTCTGCAAAGAGGACCGTGGGCTGTGAGCTTCCTGTTCTGGAGGTTCTTTATAAATCCAGACTTTTAAACAAAGCTCTTAGGATTGTCAATGACTCTTCTGGCCACCCTGGGAAAGCCATGTTCCAGCTTCTTCCCTCTGGCAGAAGATATCGCTCTCTGAGATGCAGGACATCTCGTTACGCTAACAGTTTTTATCCACAAGCTGTTATCAGTGTGAACAGAGCACTTTAATGATTTGCACTTGTTTTGAAACTGTTTTAGTCGATCAATTTCACAGTAAAATTTGTTTACTGTTTTATTTGTTTTATTTTTGTCTTTTAATGTTGTTTTATGTCTGTATTTGTCTGTGCACACTGGAGACTTTTGCTAATGTATTCCAATGTGGTTTTTTTTACTGCAAATGGCAAATAAACTGAATCTGAATCTGATCTCTCTGGTCTCCCCCTCTGGGCTCTCTCTGGGCTCTCTCAGGGCTCTCTTTTCTCTCTGGTATCTCTCTTTCTCTGGTCTCTCACTGGTCTCTCTGTCTCTCTCTCTCTGCTTTCTCGCATTTTCTCTTTTTCACTAGCATTTTCAATTAGATAATTATAATGATGTAACAAAGAACCGTAAATGTAACCATGTATAGTTATAACTCAGAAAGAGGGTGGTACAAACGCACCGTAATAACCGTAATAGCCTAAACGCCTCTAGCAAGCCTTAACTCTTGATGGCTCTCTTAATTTTGTCACTTCATGGAATAAAAACTAACTTTTTATTTTTTTTACCGCTGCGCCTACAGCTGGAATTTTTGATCCGTACATTCCTCCTGAAGGCGACGCTCGTCTCTCATCGTTGTCTAAGGAAGGACTCAAACAGAGAACAGAGCAGATCCGGCAGAGTGCGGCCTCACAACTCGCGTGAGAAACACACCATTACACTTTGTACATTTGACAACACACACATATACACACACACACACATCAGTTGCACCTGCATGTGAAAGTCAGACCTCTGAAGCCGGGCAGGATCTGGTTAGTACTTTGATGGGAGACCTCTGGGAACACCAGGTGCCACAGTGGGGCGGTTGTAAAGTGCCAAACTGTCGCTGTGTCCTTAAGCAAGACACTTCAGCCACATTAGTGTGTGTGTGTGTGTGTGTGGTCAGAGGTGCACATACTATCTGCCTCGATTCTATCAGTGTGCCCCAGGGCAGCTGTGGCTAAAATAGTACCTTATCACCACCGTGTATGGAGTGAATGAATAATTACATGTGAAGCGTCTTTGAGCGTTCCAAAAAAAAATTTTCTATTTGAAAAGAATAAACATATTCATTGATATTTGTGTTTTTTCAGAATTCGTAAAATCAAAGAACATGACCCTGAGTTCTCGTCAAAGACCTTTGCGGAAAAGGCTCAGGAAATCTTCATCGAAGCTCACTATGCGCTATCAAAGTAAGACTCTCCCTCTGGTCTCTCTCTCTGGTCTCTCCCTCTGGTCTCTCCCTCTGGTCTCTCCCTCTGGTCTCTCTCTCTGGTCTCTCTCTGGTCTCTCCCTCTGGTCTCTCTCTCTGGTCTCTCCCTCTGGTCTCTCCCTCTGGTCTCTCTCTCTGGTCTCTCTCTCTGGTCTCTTTCTCTGGTCTCTCACTGATCTTTCTGGTCTTCCATTGATTCGTTTTTTTGACCACATATGTGTTGTGTCCATGTGTTTTTAGCTTCAACAAAGAAAGACTTCATTTCTTAGTGAGTGAGAGGTGTTACCCTGTGAGTATTCTTCTGGTCACGTGACACTGTCCTTCCCTAAGAACATGATAACATTGGTTTGTAAAAACACTGGTTTGTAAAAACAGGAGATGACGCGAGGAAACCGGTACAAGACAATTCGTTGGAAGTTCATAGAGTCCCTGGAGCCTCCCAGAGTGGTTCACGCCCGCTGTCCAGACATGGTTTCTAAAGGCAATCTGTACGGCCAGGTCACCGTCCGCATGCACTCCAAACAGGTACACAACAGCTACACCACAGCTACACAAGTTAACACAAGAGAGATGTGCTGTACTGACTCTAATGCACTTGTGTTTTACATCTGATCTCTCTGTTCTCTAATAAAAGAACCTGGAACCATATTACATTACAGACAGTGGTTCCTCTATAAGGCGCTTCACCTTTCGTGGCTTCGCTGTTTTGCGCTGATTTTCTTTGTGTTTGTGTAAGCTTTCAGTCATACAGGCATTATTCAAAACAAAGGAAGGTTGCTCTCCAATCATCTACTTCCTTTAGCAGGTTTCCCGCCGTTTCGTTCTCCATCTGAAGAGCTTTCATTTCCTTGAGAAGGTTCTTCAGATGGAGAACGAAACAGCGGAAAACCTGCTAACAGAAGTACAGTACAGAGGATGGGTGAGCAACGGCGTGCTTCTCAATCCTATACATTATATACCTGCTTGTATAACATGACAGTTACCTGTTACATAAAGTGTATAAACTGTGATTAGTTCAGAGGCTCTCAGTCCTGCTTCTGCCTCTCAGTGCGGTGTCCTCAGCAGTGTATGCACAGCTTTTGACAGCTGCAGCAGCGCTCAGACCTACAACCAACAGGTTTGATATCTCTAGTTTCTCTCACTTCATCAGTGGTGAGTTCAGGTGGTCAGAAAAGTGAATAAAGTGTGTGAGGGTTTTATAGCCTTAAAACATACAGCAGCTACGTTAAGGATTGTACTGTGGGATAATGTTTTCCAAATGGGTTTGTTTTCAGACTTTAGCCGTGTACGACCGCTTTGGGCGGCGGATGTTGGGAGACGAAGAGCAGCCTAGAGACGTGTTGGAATATCTGGTGATGGAGCGTCACATCATGAATCCTTACGGCACTTGGAGACTTCACGGCAAGATCGTCCCGTCCTGGGCTCCTGCCAAAGACCCAGTTATTAAGGTGAGACCTCACTCTTTGCTCCATACCAAAGGTTTTCCATTGAGGGATCTCAGTTGCATAATTAGTTTCTGTGTCGGCAATTTCAACAGTTTTGTTAAGTCCTCTGAGATAACTGCTGTTGTTATTTAGGCCTATACAAAAATGAATTGAATTGACTTTTTGATGAATCACTAAATCAGTTTAAACATCGGAAAACAGATGAAAAATCTAAATGCGTCGCCATCTCTCCTTATGATAATAATAATAATAATAAAGGATTTCTATTGTGAGTCAGTGCCACAGACCTAGCCTGGCCTTACCCATCCGTACGCTCCGGTCAATCATCATTTCCTGCATGTAACGTCTGGGTCTGGTCCCTGTGTTTGCGATTAAAATCGGTTGAATTCCATCCGACCAATCAGCGAGCGCGGGAGGCGGGTGTTGCAGGTAGTTGTGGGTGACGTCAAGAGCTTGCACAGAACAGGCAGGTTGTAGTTTCCTCTTTGTTTTCCACAATATTTTCCCACGGATCCTTGAAAAGCACCTGACCCCCAACATTTTTTGATTCCCCTTTTGCACTCCTTCCTCCTGTAATTTTTCATTCTCAATTTCGTTCTCAATTCAGTCAAGAAATATAATCACGGTAACATCAAACAATTCTACTATGATGTAAATCGGATTCAAAATGAAGATTGTGGTTTAAAAAAATGTAGGAAGCAAAACAAGATGGTTCAGGTCACTCTGACATTCAGTGTTTTGTGACCTTTCTGTTTCCTGAATATTTTTGGATTCTTGAAGGGATTTGAGGGAAATAAGTCTAAACTTGAGTCTAAACCTTTCTCTATAAAATTATCAGTTTATGAATGTGAAATTTCTCTTGCCTTCTTTGATGTTGATAAATGACCAATGAATTTAGACACTAAACTAATAAACAAAAACAAACTCCTTGTATGTGGAATTCACATGTTTTCTTTGTAGGTTTCCTCTGGGTGCTCCGGTTTCTATTATTACAAAAAACATGTACAATAATCAGAGGGAATTGGTGTATATTTGATTGTGATTTACAAGAACTTCTCTTCTTTATTACAAGCGGTCCCATCCAAATAAAAACAAAAATAGTACCTGGACTGGTTTACCGCTGAAGCACTTCCTGCTGTTTAGTAATGTTTACACTCATACTTCATTGTTTTTTTCTTTTAATGAATATATGTCCATACTCCTCCTTTCAGACTGTAAGAATTCCTGGTCCGGAGCTAAAGCCCTGGGAAGAGTTCGACTCCAAGAATTATCAAGTACCAAAACCTGAGGCTGTGCAGTGGTCCAAGTGACCACCAGAGGGAGGTGTTCTCTTTGCAGAAACATCAAGAGACTGGGATAATAACGTGCATCGCTGACTCCAAGCTCACGAACGACTTTATATGGATGTGGCCTGCTCATTCTGACGTTTTTCATAATTTATGCAATCTTTCTTTGTTCAACATTGTGTAAAGCTTATTGTTGTTGTTTCATAAAGCTCATTTCATCCACTCAATCTAGAAATAAAATGTATTTGCGAAAATATGTGCTCCCATGAATTAAACAGTTCTTATTTTTGGAAAGTTTGAGATTGAGTCGATGAGAGGCCAGAGGGAGAGAGGCCAGAGGGAGAGAGGCCAGAGGGAGAGAGGCCAGAGGGAGAGAGGCCAGAGGGAGAGAGGCCAGAGGGAGAGAGGCCAGAGGGAGAGAGGCCAGAGGGAGAGAGGCCAGAGGGAGAGAGGCCAGAGGGAGAGAGGCCAGAGGGAGAGAGGCCAGAGGGAGAGAGGCCAGTGGAAGAGGGACCAGAGGGAGAGACCCGAGGAAGAGAAAGGCCAGGGGGAGAGGGACCAGAGTGAGCCAGTCCTCTAAATATTGCACAACACACTGCTGTTCCTCACTTCCTGCTTTACCCGGGGCTGAGTCATGAGGCAGGAGTCTTGGATCCTTTTCAAAATGTACAAATGGAAAAGATTGTTACATGTTCTGTACAATTTATTAATGCTTGATCATTGTAGTCCATCTTTAAGAATACAAAAATATAGTGTCCCATATGCAAACAGAATTAAGCAGTAACAATCAAAGACAGTTAACCAACATTAGAAATACTATAGAAATAAATAAGACACAAAGTACAACATGCTCATTCGAGAGACACAAAAACATGCAAACATACCACTGACAAAAAGACACTGGACTGCATACAAACTCTGTACATTATAGGTGTTATAAAATGGCCAAACAATTTAATACTAATTATTCATATGTATTTAGTCATTTGGATTAGCTTCCTCAAGCGGTCGCTAGTCATTCAGATTCATTTATTTGCCCTTTGCAGTAAAACCACATTGGAAAAACTGTGCAAGACTACCCCAGTGTGCACCAGACGACACACACCAGAGCTCTTGCCACGGCGCCATCTTTACGGGGTCCACTCGTTTTGTATCATTAAATTAATACAACATTTTTATTCATTTTTGAACGTTAGGAAAATTATTTTTAAAAAGCATAACAAAATGAGCTATGAATGCTTTGTTCCACAGAGGCATTAGTGATTGGAATACATGAAGAATAAAATGTAAGCTGTATACTAACTTGAATATAGATTGCTTGTTCCACCGTAGTTACAGTTTAAACATGTGGTTATTGATGGACATCTACATACTTGATTCAACCACCAATCCCAAGGTTGATCGCTTTGTCTTTTGGCTTGATTTTTATGAAAGCGAAGAGTGTAAGACCGGCCTAATGTACCCTATCCTTGCCTTTTTTTGTTTTTGTATTTTTGTAACCAAGCCAAATCAAGACCTTTTAAAAGAATGCATTTTGTCCTAAATTCTTGAGACTTCTCTTTCCAATGGTGCATATCCATCTAGTTTGTAATTTCATATTTGATTATAATGTATAACACTGTGAAAGCTCAGTTATAAAATGTTAGAAGTATGTGAAATTTGCATGCTTCGAGCAAAGCTATAACTCATTTATTTCGTACTTCACAATTATTCCTTCATTCGTAATTTCCAAATGATTGGGTTTTTACTTACGTACTGCGTTTTGGGTTCAATTGTTGGAGTAAATTCATATTAAAAAGGATGTAGTACATTGCCTATGTTAAGAAAAATATCCCTATCGTTATGCCTTGAAATGTATTAGATGTAGTCCCAATGCAAGGACAGTGATCCAAAGCGTTTTTAACAAATTCTACTACTCTTTCATCATTGAACTTATCTTGGTTGATTTTTGCTCTCTCTTGAATTAACAATAGCCTCAAAAGAACATGTCCCAGAAGCCTGTCCGGTACCTGTTTTGGGCTCATTATTTCAAAGGGGCAGGAGTAACCAAAATGTGGATGCAAACAATGTCACAAATCGGGCGGGAACACCAGGGCCTCTGCTGCCGACTCTGCATCGTCGTCATCCTCTTCCGCTTCGGGAATATTCTCTGGCTCCCAAGTGAAGACGTCGGATGCGTTGTCTGTGAACGACCCGGACCCACTCCTGTTCATGTCCCAGGGGCAAAGTGCATCCCTGCGTCCCAATGCGAGGTTCTTAGCCTCGTCTCTTCCTTCATGCTCTGGTGATGCCTCTCCTATGCTACTTCTACCGTGAATCCTGGGAGATTCACTCATAGATAGAGTCAGAGATGTCGCCGAGTGGGTCCTTGAACGCGCCTCGCCTCCATCTTGTCTTGCTTCAGTCGCAGTTTCTTCTTCTTCAGTTTCCCAAGGACAAACCTCAGCCTTAACACTACTACTACTTTGCTGTTTTGTCAGTAGTTTTGGCTCCTCGCTTTCCCACGGACAAACGTCAACCCGACCACTACTTCCCTGTTTTGTGAGCAACCTTGTCCCTCCACTGTCTTGCTTCTTGACTACTTGTGGAGTTCTTACTTCGCTCTCCTGCTTTTTGATTGTTTTGGGTTCTTGTACTTCCCACGGACAAACGTCACCCTTACTACTGCTTACACTTTCCTGCTTTTTGACTGTTTTGGGTTCCTGTACTTCCCACGGACAAACGTCACCCTTACTACTGCTGACACTTTCCTGCTTTTTGACAACAGTTGGTGAGCCACTTGGACAAACACCAACCCTTGCACTACTTTGTTGTTTTTTCAGCACTGTATGTTCCTTTGGCCCACCGCTGTCTTGCTTTTTGACAATTTGTGGTTCCTCACTTTCCCATGGACATAATTCAGCCCTACTTTCCTGCTTTTTGATAACTTTAGGCTCCTGTTCTTCCCATGGGCAAACATCAGCCTTAGTACTGCCAACACTTTCTTGCTTTTTGATAACTTCTGGTTCGTCAGTTTCCCATGGACAAACATCCACCCTAGCACTACTTTCTTGTTTTTTTAGCACTTTCGGCTGTTCAGTCTCCCAAGGGCAAACGTCTACTCTGCTCCCAGTGCTGCTAACTTTACTAACCTGCTTTTTCAACACCTTTTGAGCTGGTTTATCTCCACTTTCTTGCTTCTGGACTGCTTGCGGTTCTTCTGTTTCCCACGGACATACTTGAACCTTACTTCCCTGCTTTGCCACCATGGTTGGTTCTTCCCATGGGCAAACGTTAGCCTTGCTACTGACACAACTATCTTGCGTCTTTGCCATCTTTGGCTTCTCACTCACAGAACTCACATTGCTGACTTTTGGCTCTTCCTGCTCCCATGGACATACATCAGTTTTTACACTTTCCTGCATTTTGACAACTTTCGACTCCTGAGCTTTATTACCAGCACTACTAACTTGCTTTTTCATGATTTTTGTAGTCTTACTTCCTTCACTATCCTCTTTAACTACACTTTGTTCTTCCGTTTCCCATGGACACACACTCACACGGTTTGAACTATCTTGCTTTTTAAGAACCTTTGTGTCTTGCGACTCCCATGGACAGACATTAATGCTGCGACTATCTTCTTTTCCCCCGAGACTAGGGATAGACTTACCACCACCACTATCTTTTTTTACTACTTCTTTTACTGAACTTTTTCTTGTCGGTTTTTCGGGTCCTTCACTACCTCCTCCAGTCTGCCATGGACAAACATTTGCATAAGTTGCTTCTTGACTTGTCGATGTTTCTTGGCTCTCCCATGGACACACATTTTCAATTTTCTCTTGCAATGGTGCTGCCGGCTTTGAGTGGGCCACTACTACAGTTTGCTGTACTGTACTACCTACTCTATCATCTTCTAGGCTCTCTTGCTGTACACTTTCCCAGGGACACACATCAACTTTAATTGTCATTTGTGTTGTTGAGTCCTTCTTGGTAACAGTTAAATGTGTTTCCTTGCTTCCTTCCTCCCATGGACAAATTGTCTCTGAAAGTGGAGGTGGATCTGGAAAATCCCATGGACAGCTTTCTGCCTTCTTAACCATTGATACTCCCAAATTTGGTGGCGTTTTTAAATGACTGTCCCTAGGAGGACTTGGGAAAAGGGATGCTTTCATGACCTCAGTGTGTTTTTGAGGTGGTTTCAGTGTACCTCTAGAATCCATTGGGTTTAAATTCTGATACACTGCTTCTGGGCTTTCCCATGGGCATACATTGGAGAACTGACTATCTTGTTTTATTATTGGTATTTGTGGTTTAGACGACTCCCATGGACCAATATCTGTGCTGTGTTTCAATGAGTGCTGAGCTTGGACCTCTTTATGTACAGCTGATGTTGCAGTCTCGGGTTGAGTTTCCCATGGACACACATCCCCCCGACCACTCCCTTGCCGAGTAACAACTTCATGCTCTTGTGATTCCCACGGACAAACATTGTCAGATACTTCCCATGGACACACATTCGCTTTGATACTTTGAGGTCTACTGCTTCTTTGCAGGCTTGATATATCGGAAACATTGCAAACTGGTGTTAGCCGCTTGCTACTTCTTCTATGCATTGATGGCGTTCTTGAATGGCTCGCTGTATCCCATGAACCTATACTGCTTCTTTTGCTATTTTGTCTTGATAAATTTATATTTTCATATGTAGCTTCCCGTTGCACATCGTCGACATCCCATGGGCAAACAGTTGATGTCACTAGTGCTAGTCTTATTGGACTTCTGTCTGACGAATCCGCAGAAGACAACCTTATTGCGCTTTGCTTGACTAGATTGGGTTTTCCATCCACCATGGTCATACTTCTTTTTTGCAATGTTCTCCTTTCATCGCTTGGACGTCTTGTGCTGCTTGACACTCCAAATCGTGAAATAGTAGCAGCACCATCATGACTTATTAATGAGTTTTCTCGACTTAAACTTGACTTGCTTCCTGAATCTACAGAATCCACAAAAGATTTTACGGATAACCATTTTTCTGTTGCTTTTCTGAATGAGAAAACTCTTTGTTCTTTTCCTACTTTAGGACAGGGAGTAGTCGGTGCACTTGCAGACACTCTTAATTGCGGTTTGGGCGATTGAAATTCCTCCGATGATTTATTTTCATCCGGTGGCGGTAAGTGATCCCAAGGACAAATCAATGTTTTGGGCGAACTTGGTGAAGTATTTCTATCTTCTATTTCTTCAGTTGTATTTGCTATAGTCACATGTTTTTGGTTCTTGTCTGTCGAATGATCTGGCTCTATTTCCCAAGGACAAATCTCTGCCTTGTCAAACGATTCTGATTGCAAAGCACTTCTCGTTTGCTCACCAATAGACATAAATTCTTTTGATTTTGCAAGCATTGAGTTTGATCGTCCAACTGTGGCTATATTCTCAACAGAATGGGTAGGGGTAGTGGTCAAACTCCATGTCTTATGAAGCCTTGTATGGTCTGGGTACAGCAAATTTGTATCTATGGTTAAGTTCTGTGCACTTGCCGATTTGCAAACTCCAGGAGTCATGTCCAAAGAGTCTGTCTCTGATCTTTGTGAACATCTTTTCAGCATATCTGGCTTCAACCTTGATGAATCACGAAGAAAATTCTGATTTTCCTGCACAGGCTGGTGGTCACTTTGCGATTTTCGAATGGATGGTGTTGGTGTTAAGATCGAACTTCTGTAACTTATGCTAGCATTATCTGGGCTTCTTCTGAACGAATCCGACTGGCAAATACTGCGACTTCGAAACGATCCATCCTTGTCTTCCCGGCTGCACTGACGACTCAAAGAGATGCGTTTTATGATGGATCGCCCAATGGCGCATCGAGAACTACGTTTCTTTTGGAGGTGAGGGTTATTGGCAGCCATTTTCTTGGTCTTGTTGACTTCTAACTGTGCGTATAGCTTCTTCAGTTCCTCCTGAGGCACAGAGGAGGCAAAAAGGGTCGGAAGGGGGCAGAGAAGGGAATGATTATGAATAGGACAAGACAAAAAGAGAAGCACTGCACGAGACAGTTAAACGTGGAGAAAAGGGGAGGATAGACCAGTGGTGTTGACTCTATTTGGAGACGGGTTTATTTCCATTTATTTTCATAGCAAAAAGACAATATACATCATCTTTTTGCTCATTTCTAGTACTTAAAGCGTACCAAAATGTTTGCTATGTTACTTGTAAATGTTTATATTGAAAAGATGGTCTCCTGCCCCTTTCTCTCTTAAAAGACAAAAATAAAAGACAAAATTATTATAGCAGTGCTTTTTTCTTTTTCTTTACAAAAGCAGTAGGTAGAGGGCTTTGTTCTAAATCCACACATTTAGTATGGGGAAATAAATATGTCAAGCAAAAACCCAGTGATCTACAAAACTAAGTAATGTGTTGTAGACAAAAAAATTTATAATGGCTAAACATATAAAACTTAAATACCGATAAAACTTGGAAAATTAGGAAAATCAAAAGTCAATTTTCTGCTGAAACTACTGTATATTGGTTTGAAGTTGAATCACAGAAATAAATATACAATATTCTCATTTTCTGTGTTTCACCTGTATGTATTGACTACAGCACGGTCATTAAATTGTAGAAAATTACTTGTAGCCTAATATTAACCCATAATCTGTGTATTTAATGTATCTTCAATCTTAATCTGGACCGAGAAAAATGTAAAAAAGAAACAAGTTCTTGACCAGACAGTTCAATGCCTACTGTGCAAATGCATTTATCTAATCTTGCACCATCTTGAAGACCATTCCCGCTTCTTACAACACTCCGAAACACATTTATTTGTTTTTGTTTCCCTGTGGAGCCTCCCTTTCCTCTCTGTAGCATTGCTGGTATCGTTCGTGCTTTACCCTGAAGTCCTCTGGGTCCACGCTGTGCTCGCTCCAGGCCGAGGTGAAACTGTTGTTGAGATACGAGCGTCTCAGATCCACCTCGTCCTCGTACACCTCGGCTGCGATCTCCTCACGCCCAGATTTGGAGGCGAACAGAAACTGGACACATCGACACGACAATACGACCAGTGAGGAAACAGCATGGACTACATTCTGGAAGAAGTAACTCCATGCAGATGAATTAAAAGGAAATAAACAATTGTATAATGTAACCAGTCTGTGCCATGCGCCCCTCTGACCACCACCAACCATTCACACACACACAAGACTCATTCTAAGCAATGTGGGTGTGGGTGTCTTGCCTAAGGATACAACGGCAGTTTGGCACTTTACAGCCGCAGCCACTCCACTGTGGCACCCTGGTGTTCCCATCACAGTACTAACCAGGGCCTGCCCTGCTTAGCTTCAGAGGCAAGACACTTCACCCACATTGCCTAGAATGAGTCTGGGGCGTGCGTGATGACGATGCAAAGTAATTAAAAACAAGTGAAAACAAGTCTTTTTAATTTCACATTATTTTGAACAATTAGGTGCTATTGGATAGTTCCCAAAGACAGACCAAACAACATTCTCAAGGCATTTGAACATGCCACGGCCCACTGGTTGAAAAACACAGATCTAAAAGTAACTAAATATATGCAGTATGTAATCATGGGAGTGGCTGGGCTGGGTCAGATTACGCCCTCACAGAAGAAGAAAACATATTCAAATCAACTATTTATGTGGATAACAATTGTAACGGAACAGTATTATTGCCACTGTAGATGCACGGAGAAAGACGGCCCCTGAGAATAAGCTTCAGGTCAACAACACTTCTTCATTTGGTCCTGTACATTGTTAAATATTCATTGAAGGAAAATTACCTTTGGTAGAAAGAGCAGCGCGAGAGTCACCGAGATGGTGAAGTGAGTATGAGCGAAACACATGAGCAGCATCCAGTCGGGGTGCAGAGACGGGAACGTGAACCTGGACAAAGATTCTATAGTCACTGGTTTGGATTGAGTGTAACCCTTTATTCGTCCCACAGTGGGGAAATTTCAGTGTTGCATCACAAGTTAAAGAACAGTAAGAATGAGGAGCACACAGCACAAGACAAGTGAATATTATGTAAAGCACAAAACAAAATAGACTAATAAAGTTTAATAAATAAGCAAGTGTAAAATTCTGCATCCTCTAGTGCATGGGTGTCAAAGTTAACATCCGGAATGAATGATCTTGGACCCGGGATGATATTTGATAAGTATTAGAACTGGCCCACACAGAGTCATAAGAAAATATAGGATTATTAATTTAATGTTCAGGACATGTGTTTTCTCTTTGAAGGATTTTTTCATTTTGTCTGAGCTGTTGAAAAAATATTGGACTGTTTTTTTAATTATCGAACCAGTCCGGGCCTTTGTTATTTTTTCCCCTCTTTTGTATTTGAAACATTTGCTTGTAGTTATGCATCTGCAGATAAATCAGTAATACACTTTCTGTTTGCTGCTGCCCTGGTGCCTGCTGCGTGCTGATTGGCTGAGGTCGTTGTACTGCTTGTTGCCGTCGTGTTGTTGCACATTGCGACTGGGTAAAAAACACACAGATGTATAAAGTGACAGTGGACACATGTGGTTCAATACTACACATTCTAACATTATTTTAAGTTATTCCACGGATACTCGACACGTGAGGTCAGGTCGGCCGTGTTCATTTGTGCTCACTGTTTGTTGTACCGCCTGACAGCAGCAGGAAGGAATTAAACACCTGCGGAATCTCTCCTTCACACAGCGAGAGTGGATCAGTTTTGTTGTTGTTGTAAGTAGGCAAGGCAAGTATATTTGTATAGTTCATACACACGGCAACTCAAAGTGCTTATCAGAACAATCACTCTAGGCATTAAAAAGAATCACAGTATATTAAAAAGAGTACAAAAGGCTACAGTTTAACATGAGCTTTACCTGAAGAGGTGGAACATGGTGGACAGCAGCAGTTCGTTGTGGATGGCGATGCCCATGTAGCGAGGCTCGTGGAAGGCAGAGGGTACGGGCCTCACAGCCGTCCAGAGAGAGCTGCCCCAGCACAGGAACAAGACCTCGGCTGCAGACGGGGAGCGGAGAATCAATGTCACGTAGTAGTAGTAGTAGTGGTAGTAGTAGTAGTAGTTGTTGTTAATGTATATATTTTCAAGAAACAAAGCTCAAAAGGAGGTTGACTATTACAACAACACATTAGTATAGTATAAAACTAACCTGTCTCTCGACCCAGCTCACGTTTCCCTTGTTGTTTCATGATTCACAAAACAACATCACATTGATACTGTCTGAGTGACATCGGTCTCAGTGATTTACACAAAAATTAGCTCAAAAGTAACTCAATTCAATGTATTTTTGTATAGTCCAAAGTCACACCAGTAGTTATCTCGGAGTACTTTGCGAAACAGTAGAAAATGCCAACACAGACCAGAGAATCAAACAGTTCAAACACAAGAAATGCAATGATTGAAAAACACATAGAGCCATTGGTCTATTGACCAGATGCATCAACGTCATCCAGTCACGTGATTGTGAATGAGCTTACGGCGGAAGTATTGGAAACTAGCATTGCTGCAAGAGCAAAACGGACTACAACTCTTAAAAACGGAGCTTCCTCTCCTAAATCGAGAAGTGGCTGCTTCAAGCAATGTTCGATTACGTTATAGGTGGAAGTAGGACATCAGGTCAGGGCTCACAAAGAGTGGTATTTGGAGAAGTTAAGGATTGCCTAACTGGATGTTGACCCGTACCTTCTCCCCCCAGTCAATTTTATCGATTAAATAAAATGTCTATTTTTGCCCGAATTCACCCTACATGATCATTATCATTATCGTTAACAATGCATCCCCTCACACTGGAGCAGATGTATATGTACATTTTGCTGGTAGCATTAGCAATAGTCCACTTTTCTGTCTACAGCCAAACATGATACGTACTGACGGAGAGGAAAATAGTGAAACACGCAATTGACTTAAAAGATAAAAATGTCAATGTTGCAGCGCACATACAGGACAGTAGTAAGAGACACGTTTGACGTGTGTCATTGTCCTCCAAATTAATGGAAATAAGATAAATACAAACTTGTGATTGCTTTATCTTGTAAAAAGTGTTCACTGCATATTAGGGAGTACTTGGATGGATCCCAGTCCTTTTGGTTGATTGCCGCCATCATCGTCTTCTGTCTTCATGACTAGCAGGTATCAGATAAAAAAGCTTATGTCCGTGCCTGTTAGTATAATCAACCGCACTGCAAAATGTCACAGTTTTGGCTGTAATGCGCTGAAACAGGTTGTTTTGGTCAGGTGTCCGTAGGCTCGCAGTTAGACTTCTGCCGTCTGTCATGGAGAGTGGGCGTGGCCGGGACGTCACATGCAAGGGGTCAATAAGGGGCAGAGACCAATGTCCATAAATGTTGAATGTCGAGTGTCCTGGATTCTCACCACTGTCCTTAGACCCTCCTGCATCGGCAAGTTTAGAATTGGAATATATCGTATTGCAACATATCATGATAGTAAGTAAGTTAGTAAGTAAGTTTTTATTTATATACCGCCTTTTCACTGCAGATCTGAGTCTCAAAGCGGTTTACAATTGTTAATTATGGGCATTTGTCTCTCACTCCACACAGAGATGGGAGCGGGGCCAGTACAGGAGGCGCATGCCAGAACTATTGGACATATTTTTAGTGGTAGGGGAAACCGGAGTACCCGGAGGAAACCTACGCAGACACGGGGAGAACATGCAAACTCCACTCAGAAAGGCCCTGGTCCGACCGGGATTTGAACCCAGGACCTTCTTGCTGAGAGGCGAGAGTGCTATCCACTCTGCCACCGTGCCGCCGTGATCTGTGTATTGTGACACGACAATACCGCTGAGTGTGACCACGGAGGAAACAATGTAATGCAAAAAATACAACCGGTTCAAGGTCCAGAGATGGGTCCCTGGGTGCAGCCTGTCTGACAGCTGACCCCAGAGACGGTGAAAAATGTGTCCTCTGGGATCAATAACATACTGGATCTATTACACATTATATCACTGAGTGGATTGAATTAGTATTTCCCCCGAGAAGCAAAACATGCACTGCAAAAAGTGATGAAAAACAGGTCAAAAGCTGCTCAAATTTGGCAAATAGTCTCTTCTTATTTGAGCACATTTTGGCTGACTTAACACAGGATTTGCCAATGGGACAAAGATGCAAGAAATGTCTCAGTTGGGATGAGAAAATAAAGCAACAGTTCTTTAAGTAAGACTAAATGGCTTTGTCCAGTTGGAAAATCTGTTTGAACACAGTCAGAATGAACTCAAATTAGGACAAAAACACTCAGTTCAAGCTTTTGTTATCTCATATTTTGTAATTTTTTGCAAAGGATCTTTTTCTTGTTTCTCTGTCTTTCTCTGGTCTCTCTCTAGTCTCTCTCTGGTCTCTCTCTGTCTCTCTCTGGTCTCTCTCTGGTCTCTCTCTGGTCTCTTTCTTGCCTCTCTCTGTCTCTCACTGGTCTCTCTCCCTTCTCTCTCCGGTCTCTCTCTGGTCTCTCTCTGGTCTCTCTCTGGTCTCTCTCTGTCTCTCTCTGGTCTCTTTCTGGTCTCTCTCTGGTGTCTCTCTCTGGTCTCTCTCTGGTCTCTCCCTGTCTTTCTATGGTCTCTCCCTGTCTTTCTCTGGTCTCTCTCTGTCTCTTTCTGGTCTCTTTTTGGTCTCTCTCTGGTCTCTCTCTGTCTCTCTCTGGTCTCTCTCTGGTCTCTCCCTGTCTCTCTCTGGTCTCTCCCTGTCTTTCTCTGGTCTCTTTCTGGTCTCTTTCTGGTCTCTCTCTGGTCTCTCTCTGGTCTCTCTCTGGTCTCTCCCTGTCTCTCTCTGGTCTCTCTCTGGTCTCTCCCTGTCTCTCTCTGGTCTCTTCCTGTCTTTCTCTGGTCTCTTTCTGGTCTCTTTCTGGTCTCTTTCTGGTCTCTCTCTGGTCTCTCTTTGGTCTTTTACGTTATATTGACGTAAAAGACCATATAACGTATGTTCAATTCAAGCTTTTGTTTTCTCATATTTAATCACTTTTTGCAGTGTTTGATTTGATAAATGTCTGAAACTTGATTAAAAACGATATAAATTGGTTCTTGGAGCAACAAAGAAAGTCTATATTATTAGCGATGTGTTCGAGTGCGCCACATGTCGTGCTCAATGCATCTTTGATCAATGTTTTCCGGGCCCGTGTTATCACCTCTCTGTTTCCTTTCAGTCCAATTACAAAGTGTGAGCAAACTGCCAGGTCTGATCAATAATGTACGGAGGCCCTCGAGGGACACGTTAATGTTCTAGCAGAAGGGAGCAGCCAGACTCTCTGCATGTTTATCTATAAAGCAGCAGTTATTAACTTATTACTAGTACATGGCACATATGTATTTTCACATACAAAAGGTTTCTCACACCATCACAGTCTATCTATCTATAACGAGTAAAAAACACTTGTTAAATTTGTGACACTATTGACTAGACGTCTTACATTATTAATTTGGAAGCAATACAAATCCACCAACCTATAATCATCTTCTACATGACCTAAAGAAACATGTCTATTTAGAGAACATTTTCTTTGAGAGGAAAGTTTAAAAAAAAAATTAACATGGGATAACATGGGAGTACTTTAGTAATCACATAATCAACTATAGGTAATTATATTGTCATTACCATCTATCTATCTATCTAGTATCATCTTTCTATCATCTATCTATGTATCTATCTATCTATCTATCTTTCTATCATCTACAGTGCCTTGCGAAAGTATTCGGCCCCCTTGAACCTTTCAACATTTCGCCACATTTCAGGCTTCAAACATAAAGATGAGTAAATTAAATTTTTTGTCAATAATCAACAACAAGTGGGACACGATCGTGAAGTGGAACGAAATTTATTGGATAATTTAAACTTTTTTAACAAATAAAAAACTGAAAAGTGGGGCGTGCAATATTATTCGGCCCCCTTGCGCTAATACTTTGTAGCGCCACCTTTTGCTGAAATTACAGCTGCAAGTCGCTTGGGGTATGTCTCTATCAGTTTTGCACATCGAGAGACTGGAATTCTTGACCATTCTTCCTTGCAAAACAGCTCGAGCTCAGTGAGGTTGGATGGAGAGCGTTTGTGAACAGCAGTCTTCAGCTCTTTCCACAGATTCTCGATTGGATTCAGGGCTGGACTTTGACTTGGCCGTTCTAACACCTGGATACGTCTATTTGTGAACCATTCCATTGTAGATTTGGCTTTATGTTTTGGATCATTGTCCTGTTGGAAGATAAATCTCCGTCCCAGTCTCAGGTCTTTTGCATACTCCAACAGGTTTTCTTCCAGAATGGTTCTGTATTTGGCTCCATCCATCTTCCCATCAATTTTAGCCATCTTCCCTGTCCCTGCTGAAGAAAAGCAGGCCCAAAGCATGATGCTGCCACCACCATGTTTGACAGTGGGGATGGTGTGTTCAGGGTGATGAGCTGTGTTGCTTTTACGCCAAACATATCGTTTTGCATTGTGGCCAAAAAGTTTGATTTTGGTTTCATCTGACCAGAGCACCTTCTTCCACATGTTTGGTGTGTCTCCCAGGTGGCTTGTGGCAATCTTTAAACGAGATTTTTTATGGATATCTTTGAGAAATGGCTTTCTTCTTGCCACTCTTCCATAAAGGCCAGATTTGTGCAGTGCACGACTGATTGTTGTCCTATGGACAGACTCTCCCACCTCAGCTGTAGTTATCTGCAGTTCATCCAGAGTGATCATGGGCCTCTTGGCTGCATCTCTGATCAGTCTTCTCCTTGTTTGAGATGAAAGTTTGGAGGGACGGCCGGGTCTTGGTAGATTTGCAGTGGTCTGATACTCCTTCCATTTCAATGTAACTGCTTGCACAGTGCTCCTTGAGATGTTTAAAGCTTGGGAAATCTTTTTGTATCCAAATCCGGCTTTAAACTTCTCCACAACAGTATCTCGGGCCTGCCTGGTGTGTTCCTTTGTCTTCATGGTTCTCTCTGCGCTTTAAACAGAACCCTGAGACTATCAAAGAGCAGGTGCATTTATACGGAGACTTGATTACACACAGGTGCATTCTATTTATCATCATCAGTCATTTAGGACAACATTGGATCATTCAAAGATCCTCACTGAACTTCTGGACTGAGTTTGCTGCACTGAAAGTAAAGGGGCCGAATAATATTGCACGCCCCACGTTTTTTATTTTATAATTTTTTTTTAATTATCCAATAAATTTTGTTCCACTTCACGATTGAGTCCCACTTGTTGTTGATTCATGACAAAAAAAATAAAATTTTATATCTTTATGTTTGAAGCCTGAAATGTGGCACCATGTTGTAAGGTTCAAGGGGGCCGAATACTTTCGCAAGGCACTGTATCTATGTATGTATCTATCTATCTATCTATCTATCTATCTATCTTTCTATCATCTATCTATGTATCTATCTATGTCAAGTGAACAGACAGGAAGTAACACTCAAAAAGAACCAATAACAACATAAAACCAGGTAGAAGTAATTGTAAAGTCCACATCATGACTCCGAAACCACAAAATGATGCCTCATTTTTGTGTTGTCTCACTCACCCACGGCCATCATGTAGTCCCAGCGGTCGTGGTAGCAGAGGTTGAAGCCCTTTCCGTCGGTGGTGGTGGTGGACAGGTAGACGGGGATGTTCTTGTCTCTGTTCTGGAGGACGCCCACGGTCCAGGCGCAGAGGAACCAGCTCACCGTCATCAGCATCACGGCCAGGATCCGCATCAGGTGCAGGCTGGACATGTACGGGACTCTCTGGGCCGTGCGGGACAGGAACGCCTTCAAAACACTGCGGAGAAAAGTCCACTGTTGTCTACTGTTGTCAAGGTGATAAAATCGCTGTTTTATAATTGTCTGGTTTAGAAGAATCAAATAATGAACCAGCAATAATAGTGACACACACAGACGCACACACACGCATAGACACACGCACACACACACACGCATAGACACACACACGCATAGACACACACGCGCACACACACACGCATAGACACACGCAAACACACACACGCATAGACGCACAGACACACACACAAACGCATAGACACACACACACACACGCATAGACGCACAGACACACACACAAACCCATAGACACACATACACTCTCCCTCCAACTTCCTTTTATTCCTTTCTGTGTGAATTTCATGTAAGTCTTGTTGTGCAGTGTTTCTGTATAATGCAATTTGTCACTTTCATTCTTGATGCTTCCAGTAAAGATTATTAAAAAGAATAAAAACTATTTTATTATACTATTATCCCATTGTCAAGGTGATCACATCGCTAAAGGCACGGTCCAAGGGAACATTCTAGTAACTTAATGTGTTTTATTTACTACATTAATTTGTGTTGCACAGGGAGGAGCAGAAGAGGATCCAGCACGAGCTCCAGTGGAGGATCAGGAGGGCCAAGAAGGACTATGGGAAAAAGCTGGAGCAGAAGCTGGAGGAACATAGCCTGGCTCTGCCAGACCCTTGTAGTTCCGCCATGCTCCACCAGAGGCGTTTGGCTGAACCACATGGGTCTGGTATCGAGCCCATCGCGAACGCCTTCCCCAGATTATTTTTTAATCGACCAATCAGGATTGCCGGTGCTACGTGGGGTTCGCACTGCCTTCTCAAGCTTCTCTCAAGCAGCAGCGAGAGGAATCCAAGATGGCGGACGTAAAGTCCGCGAATCTTTTTAAAAGAGTAAATACGATCGAATGAAACCACGGATGTCACTTTTAATGCAATTTGAGGCGAGATGTTGATGGTTCTATGTTGATATATGTGTGTTTTAAGAGTCAAATGTTCCTGTAAAGTTTGGTTGAAGCACTGGTTCAGTGTTCATGTTTACACACTATGCAGCAGGGTTGCCAGGTTTGGTGGTTCCCGTATATTTTTTTCCAAGAGACTTGTAGGTATTAAATAAACAGAAAGACAATAAACAGAATCATGATAGCCCAAGTTGATTATATTACGTTTTTAGCCAAAAAATCATACTGAGTGTTTTTTTGTTTTTTGGGTATTCTCGTGGATTTTGGGTTGGAAAATCTTGCTGGGATTTGGCAACCTATGGGAGCCGTGTGCTTCGATGTGAGTGGTTCAAAGCAGACTTCATTCAAGATAACGGACAAGTGGTCTATCCAATCACATACAAGGATTTTTTTTACAAGGCCCTGCCTTCTGAAATCCAACCACTATGGCTCAGTACCAGACTCATGTGTGAAGTGCAGCGAACTACATGGGTCTGGCGAGAGTCAGGCTAAGAGGAACAGCGGATGGAGACTAGCACCGGGCGTATGAATTTAACCAGTACTTCAACCGGTTTGATTCTCCCCCCTCTCCATCTGCCCCCCCTCCCACCCCCACCTCTTCACACGTTCCCAGCCCAGTGGACACCGCCCAGTGAACACTGCCTCCGGCTGCCCCGGGCCCTCCTGCCCCTGCATCCCCAGCCCCCACCTCGGACAGTACACACCGGTCCCCCCCCCCCTCTCCATCACACCGGACCAGGTGAGGAGTCAGCTCCAGCGCCTGAAGCTGAGGAAATCCGTAGGACCAGACGGGATCAGTCCCAGGCTGCTGAGGACCTGTGCAGACCAGCTCTCTGGGGTCCTCAGCTACATGTACAACCTGAGCCTCAGCCTGGAGAAGGTCCCTGTCCTGTGGAAGATCTCCTGTGTGATCCCGGTTCCAAAAACAGCACACGCCAAGGAACAGGCTCACTACAGACCAGTCGCACTGACCTCCCACCTGATGAAGACCATGGAGCGGCTCATCCTCACCCATCTCCGCTCCGTGGTCAGCCCCACCCTGGACCCGCTGCAGTTCGCCTACAGAGCCAACATCGGAGTAGAGGACGCCGTCATCTACTTCCTGCAGCGGACGCTCTCCCACCTGGAGCCCGCCGGGAGCGCTGTGAGGGTCATGTTTTTTGACTTCTCCAGCGCTTTCAATACCATCAGGCCGGCACTGCTGCGGGGGAAGATGGAGGACGCGGGAGTGGACAGCAGCCTCACTGCATGGACCATCAACTACCTCTCAGACCGACCACAGTACGTGCGGCTGCGCAGCTGTGAGTCTGAGGTGGTCGTCTGCAGCACTGGGGCCCCTCAGGGCACTGTCCTCTCACCGTTTCTCTTCACCATCTACACCTCAGACTTCACACACGACACACACAGCTGTCACCTGCAGAAGTTCTCCGACGACTCCGCCATCGTGGGCTGTGTGTCTGAGGGGAACGAACTGGAATATCGGTCGGTTATCAAGGACTTTGTCGACTGGTGTGAGCGCAACCACTTGTGCTTGAACACCAGTAAGACCAAGGAGATGATCATCGACTTCAGGAGAAAACCACTTTCCCACACGCTGCTGAACATCCAGGGGGAAGACATTGAGCTGGTGGACAGCTTCAAGTACCTGGGTGTTCACATTAACAATAAACTGGACTGGTCCCATAATACAAACGCCCTGCACAAGAAGGGCCAAAGTCGCCTCTTCCTTCTGAGGAGGCTGAGGTCCTTCTGAGGAGGCTGAGGTCCTTCGGAGTGAGCAGGCCTCTGCTCAGGACTTTTTATGACTCTGTGGTAGCTTCTGCCATTTACTACGCTGCCGTGTGCTGGACCCCGGGAAGCACAGAGCGGGACAGAAACAGACTGAACAAGCTGGTCAGGAGGGCCAGCTCCACTCTGGGCTGCTCCCTGGACTCTGTGGAGGAGGTGAGGGACAGGAGGCCCCTGGACTCTGTGGAGGAGGTGAGGGACAGGAGGTGCTAGCCAAAGCCACCTCCATCATGAACAATACCTCCCACTGCACAGGACTGTAGAGGAGCTGAGGAGCTCCTTCAGTGGAAGACTGAGACACCCTCAGTGTAGGAAGGAGCGCTACCGCAGGGCCTTTATCCCCACCGCTGTCAGACTGTACAACAAGTCACTTTAAATGATCACTGTGTGAAAACCTGCACTACTATTGACACTGTTTCCAATTGACACTTGTCACTTTTGTTGTACATAATTATTGTCACTTTTATTGTACATATATCCTGCATGTAACATCTTTGCACATTTCCTCCTTTTGCACAATCTGAGTGTTCTATCCATGCCAAATGTGACATGTACATTTTTCCTCTGTGAGATAAATAAAGCACATCTTATCTTATCTTATGTTCAGTTGTACCAATGCAAAAACACATCCATGATCTACTGCTATGTCAGCACTTTGTTGCGATACCTATAAAGATACAATAAGTACATTTTCAGTGCATAGGTCAGTGAATTTAATTGTTCTTGATCAATATTGAATTTGTAATAGTTCAAATGATATGAGCCGTTGTAAAACACAGCAGTTAGCTGCGGAATTCTGACCGATAATATCGAAGTTCCATCAATTATCAATACCTGAAATATTAAACCTTGTGGTCCCTCGCTTTTTTGTACTTTCCAACAACATTAGATAACTGCTAGTATAAAAAGACTAGTCTGAAGAAAACTCACTGGTCTCTCCCTGGTCTCTCCCTCTCCCTGGTCTCTCCCTCTCTCTGGTCTCTCTCTCTGATCTCTCTCTGGTCTCTCTCTGGTCTCTCTCTGGTCTCTCTCTCTGGTCTCTCTCTGGTCTCTCACTGGTCTCTCTCTGGTCTCTCCCTCTGTCTGGTCTCTCTCTGGTCTCTCCCTCTGTCTGGTCTCTCTCTGGTCTCTCTGGTTTCTTTCTTGTCTCTCTGTCCTTCTCTGGTCGCTCTCTGGTTGCTATACGTTCTGCCTCTAGTTACTCTCTGGTCTCTTTCTGGTCTCTCTTCGGTCTCTCTTTGGTCTCTTTTTGGTCTCTCTCTGGTCTCTCTCTGGTCTCTCTTTGGTCTCTCTCTGTCTCCTCTCTGGTTTCTCTTTGGTCTTTCTCTGTCTCCTCTCTGGTTTATCTCTGGTTTATCTCTGGTTTCTCTCTTGTCTCTCTCTGGTCTCTCTCTGGTCTGGTCTCCTTTGGCGTGAGCCAAGAACTCACCGGTACATTTTGAGCGTGACGGTACCATAGACGATGGAGAAGCCCAACATTCGAACCCATCGCAGGAGAATGCACCGGAACGTACTGGGCCTGAAGTACATGATGAAAACCTGCACACAAGAAGCAGAAATATGTGTATAATCTGGGTTAAGAAATAAATGTATTATATGACTTCAATCAAACACACGCTCTGATTGGCTGATTTGCGGTCTGATATTTTCCCATCTCGGACCGTTACCATGACAATTAGTCCGCAGGGCGTATCAAATTTGATATCTTTCCTCGGTAAAGAAAGAATGAGCGACAACTTCGAAGAGCCAGAGGAAGTAATAACAGCAAATAACGACGAAAACACAACTCCTAACAGTCAAGAAGAGATTGACAACTTCGTTACAGACCAGAAAGGTAAAAACATGGTTAAGAAAACCAAGACGGAGATTGATATTTGCAGAAATTAAAAATAGTCATATAATAAAACATTTATTAACCTCGCTTGCTCGGTCTGTACAGAGAAATTATTAGTCATGTGTGCGGGGCGACAGTAGCTCAGTTGGTAGAGCATTGGCCTTTAGGTCGAGCCCACCGCGGGACCTACTCCAACTACTCCCACGCATGTCTGCTGTCGTTGTGTCCTTGGGCAAATCCCCTAACCCCACTTTGCCTGAAGCCCCCACTGAAGGATCAAGGCTGTGGCACCACTGATGTAGCAGCCATCTTCCTGTGGACTCACCACCTGCAGAGGATCAGCGAGGGACTGGTGCTATGAGCGTTGGGGGCAGCTCTGATTGCCACCCCCCTGACCCAGGTAGAAAAAGAAAGAATGAATGAATGAATAGCCATGTGTGCGACACCTTGACCAATCCTAGTGTCTTGTGTCTAGTTTCATGAGCTAATCATAAGGAGATACGTGGGAGCTGTTTGCGAACTCGCAGATTTTTGAAGAAAAAGTAAAATCACAAATAATACATGTACAGTCAAATGTATTGTAATTATGTATCAACAACAGGAAGTCACAAACTGTTACTAACTAATTACCTTCATGGTGCAAATATGTTATAAAAAGTAAAAGAAAAAAATACATATAAAGGCATGCATAAAAAATGACATACAATTCTAAGATTATATACTGAAATCTTCTTTGGTATCGTCAGTTCTCACTCCAGAAGGGAACGAGGCCTGGGTAAAAACCAAAAAATTATCTGAAAGGCTTTGGACTGACCTTGGTGGTTTTCCTGACTCTTTCAAGACCTTCTGAAATAAATCTTCTTTGATTTTGTTCAATCAATAATCATTTATCGCTGTGTTTTTCTCAGTGTAATCACAGCCGACAACAGCTGTGTCCTGGCCGTGAAGGTGACGGACCCAGAGCAAAGCTGATGGCATTTAGATAAAATGGACTCACAGATAAAAGCCGTCGACCTTTCCTCAGAAGTTTTTAAGTATTTTGGGAACATAACAAACAAGTGTCTTTGAATAAAGTTGTATCATTCAAGGCTAAGGTGCACTTTCTGTCGTTGTAGAGAATTTTGGGGTGAAGTGAATGAAGGACCCAAAATGCAAGAATGCCAAAAATGATTTAATGAAGATAAATCCAGGTCCATAAAGCCTAGGTGAAAACAAACTCAAAATCCAAAAGAAAAAGGAATCAGGAACAGGACAGAAATGGACAATACAATGGACCAGCAGCAAGGGAAGAGGAGCACAGGTACAAATAGACACAGGTGAAACACATCAGGGCGGGGCAGACTATCAACGCAGGGGAACGGGACAGGAAGAAAAACTAAAACACAAGGAAAATACGTCAAAATAAAAGTCTCTGCACATGGACAGTAAATATTAACGGACGGTCACGCCTATCTCCGCCGTTCTAACTAATGTGCCACAACTTCCGCGGTCTATGGGCAGTTTCAAAATGGCCGCAGGGGCTGGAAAATGTGAAAAAATGCATCTGCGCATGCGTCAGCCGGCACGAGCTCCATTCATTCAAACAAGTGACTTCAACAATTCAGAGAGTAAACTAGAGCGGTCCAAAAAAAATCCACCCCCCTCAGCATTGACACACATGTGGAACAGAGCTTTGGGCCAAGAGACAACTTTTGGACCATCCTGTAAAAGCCGTTTGAGAGGTCTGCCAATGCTATATGTTAGCATTGGCTAATTCTTATTCTGGGTCCACCCCCGTCGGCCCAGGGTGGTATTGCAAGCATGTCAGCGCACGTCATTTTGGATATTTTTGAGCTGGGACCCGCCCCCACTGTCTCTGCAGCGCATGTGTTGTGTTTGGTCTTTACTGGAGGATGTTAGAAACTGAGTCCATAAAAAACTTATAGTGACAGAAAGGTCTGAGTCAAAGCCGCAACGAGTGCTTCTGATTTTCATTTGATTGTTAAAGATGGCTGAGCGCAGCAGGAAGGTCTTGGGGCCGGTGTGAGGATGGGGGCTTTTCAATCTGAACATACTTCTGACAAACATATTGGGGAAACATAGACTTTATACATAAATCTGTGATTTAAGACTACATTGCTCCAATACCCAATTTTAAAATCAAAACGAAACAGTCTGTGTTGAAACTTTATTACTTTGGGTTGCTTAAATCTTCTCTGCAAAAGAAATAGAAATATTGATCATTTTAAATTTATATGAAAAAAGAATTCACACTTTGTTTTTTTAAGTCAGTTCCAAAGATTTGCATCAAAGAAATTGTACAGTATGTGGCTCTGGATTTGACACAGGGTGGATTGGCAAACCCAGGGCCTCCATGAGAAAGGTTTGCATGTTCTCTCTGTGTCTGTGTGCTGTTTAGATTTCCTCCATGTGCTCTAACTGTAACTATGGCTTCCCTTGTTAAATAAAGGTAAATTAAATAAAGATATATGTGATTATTGTGAGAGAAACAGTTAAAAGCACAGTATGTATATGATGATGCAACAGCTCTGTCACTTTAAACACAGACAATAGGACGATTCTTGGAGCTGAATTAATCTGTGAAATCAGAGGCACTGTCCTTGTTACTTAACAATCACACTTTGGGATGAGAACAAGGGTACACAATGAAACGCTGGTGTGACCGAGGAGTGAAAGAAGCTGGAATTAGAACGCTTTAGGGACAAGGTGGAAAATATGTACAAAAAATGCAATAAAAACTGGTTAAAAGATGGGAAATATACATCTGATAATAACAAACACATCAGGCAAATATGTTAAAATGGCGGTAATATATTAATAAGTAATGGGAAAGCAGAAGTCTGATCTCTCATCATGGACTCACTGAGCTTCTCTCACTGTTGTGTGAGACGTCACTTTCACTTGTCGCCTTCGTAATTGGAAAAATGGATCTTTCCTGTGATTAATTCTGTTATAAAAACCACCCGTGGCCCATTTGTTCAGAGACGGCCGCTCACCTTGTTTCACTCCCAGTAATCCAGGACAGAGCAGTCGGCTGGAAGCGCCTGTAATCTAATCAATCTACTTTTTAGGGGAGAGTAAAATGTACAAAAAGCTAAAAAAAAATGACAAAAGTCTTCATTGGAATTCATGTTGATGACGCAAACATGATCATTAAGACAACAGGAAGTTCTTCTGTCATGGTTTGGGTTTATTTCCTGTGTTGTCATTTGTTTTTGCAGTTTTCATATTGTCAAAAAGGTCGACCAAGTATCTGCTTTCAACAAGCCAACAAATGTACCGTTTACAAATCTGCAAAATTCAAAACACTAAATAATAACTACACCTTATTTAGGCTCGATAAATGTTGAACTAACACTTAATTAATCATGAACAAGTTAATAATTAAGTGTGACCAACACTTAACTACTACAGTTAATAACCCTTTATTCATCTATTTCTGAGTTGGGCGGGGGGGGAATCAGAGCTGCCACCAGAGCTGCCAAGTCTCACAGCGGGGGCTTCAGGCAGGTTAAGTGTCTTGCCAAGGGACACAACGACAGCAGTCATCAGTGGGAGCAGGTGACATGGGTCATGGTGAATCAAACTCACAACCTTTAGGTCCAAAGACCAGTGCTCTACCAACTGTAAATTACCGTATTTTTCGCACTATAAGGCTCACCTGATTACAAGGCTCCCTGTTGAAATTAAAGGCTTTTATTTGCATCTAATTGTGCGAAAAATATGGTATATACATACGGTATATACATATATGGCAGGATAGATAAAGTAGATAAAGTAACAGTGGACATTCTGAAATGCAGTTTTTGCTACTTACAGTTGAATGACATGTACAGACTCAGCAGTTCTCATTGTACAGTCTGACAGTAGTTGGGAGGAAAGACCTGCGATGCCAGGCTCTGCTGCGGTCTAAGTGCCAAGTCTTAACCACATGTCCCCAACAGTGAGTTCTAAATGTAATCTCGCAAATTGTCCTTTGAGTCGTATGTGCTAATTTATACAGTGTCAGATTACTTTGCCAACGAATGTACAATTCTTATAAAAACCCCCTCTTTTGTCTGCTCGAGTCTTTCCAGATGGAACTTGTACGGCAAGTTTATTTGCACAGTATAGCACAGTTCAAAAACAAGGCAACTCAAAATGCTGAACAAACCAAGATAAAACAAGAGTACATGGCATTAAAATCATAAATAATCACAGTACTTTAATCTAATCCTCCAGTTGTCTGCAGCTACACAGAAAAGTTTCCTGGATTTCACATTTTCAGGAAGACTGCTCCTGATTTTAGGTACGAGGGTTAGCTTGCAGGTTCGAATTAAATCCTCAATAAACCATTTTTTGCCCCAACTGAACCAGACTTTGAACCATTCTTTCCAATGCCACTAACCACCATCCCCGGTTTCATTAGTCCACTGCTGCTGCCTACACGACTACTGAATATTTAATACCAAATGTGTTTTGAATAACAAATACACCAAATTATGAAAACCTAATAACGTGGACTCACTGGGAAGTAGAGGAGCAGCGATCCAAAGAGAATGATCTCCAACAGCAGCAAACCCGACGCTCTGATCCGCTGTGGACAGAGACAGAAAAGATCAACACCATCCACTCATTCATTAAATTCATACCTATCGTGCATGTTTTTTGTGGTAAGGGAAACTTGAGCACCCTGAGGAAATCTATGCAGACACGGAGAGAACATGCTAACCACTCAGCCACTGTGTCGTCCAATGATCCAATGACGACCTATGATCACCCTGCAGTCTTACCCTGAGGGCCCTATCAGACACGCAAATCATACTCCAAGCACCCAATGTAAATATAGTAAATATACTACAGCCCTTTCCCATTCAATTAAAATATAACCAGCCTTATATTAGATGATTATATTAATAAAACAGGCATCAAACTCTGCCCTTATATGCTATTGCTGAGAAATAGATTAATGTATTAAAAAGATCCAGGAGCTGAAATGGCAGGCATAAAGCAGAGTTTATTGATCGAGTTCAAAATGACTGGTCTGGCCTCGGTCCTGGTCTCGGTCCAGGTCAAGGTCCAGCCCGAGTGGCGGCTTGTTTGGTGCTATATACAAATAAACTTGAGTCCCTTCGTCTGTGTGTGCATTCCAGTGATGTGTCTGTAGGTAAAGATTAAAGTAGGCTAGTCTTAGTTTGTTATCCTTAAAATATTCCTCTTATTGTACCATACCGTTCGCCTACATTTAGAACTAAATCAACGTGTATCTCAGTGCGTAAGTAAATAGGTCAAATTTATTTATATAGCGCATTTTTACAGACCAAGGTCAACAAGAGCGCTCAGAGTTCAGATATTATATGGTTATGATAGTAGCGTGGAGTTACAAATACGTTTTCAATTCTGACTAAAACACTATTTAAAAAGAAAACAGTGGAGAAGTATGTGGAGGAGAGAGAGTGACGGGAGAGAGGTGTAGGGTCAGAGAGTGTTCAGTCTGTCTCTTATCTGTGTGCATGTGTGTTGGGGAATCGGCAACGTTGCCATATCCTCCGAGATACCTACTGTTTTGATTTAGGGCTGTACAAAATCAAATCGAATTGAAATGTTTTGTTTGGCATGAGTGAGAGTAGTCAGAGCCAAATAAGCATCTTTTTCAAACTGTATTTCTGATTATTTTTAATATCTAGTTTTCTGTGGTTGTTTTTCTGTCAGTAAAAAATGAATGATAATAGATAAATAATGAGGATGATAAGTTCTGATAATTTCTGATATTTTGATATACAGATAAATTGTTATTCTTTTAAAATATGGACCAATTTAATTTTAGTCTGAAATTATTATTAGTAATGCATGGATAATAAGTCATACAGAATAAAGAATAAGTAATTGTAAATTGTAAAGTCTTCACCTTGTTCCTCCGGTGTCGGTAGGCGGCCATCATACTGACAAAGATGAGGACCATGAAGACCCCCTGGACGGCTAAGACCGCGGTCCGGAGCAGCCAGTCCTCCTGCACTTGACAGGGAGAGCCGTCCACACAGCGCCCACAGCCGGGGTAGCAGGGCAGGCACAGGGGCATAGAGGGGTAGCACTCCTCACTGCTGTTCACCGACAGGGCATCTGGGGGAACACAGCAGAGGGCAGTGAGTATTTTTGTCTGCACCAAATATTCAACTGTATGGCAGTTATTCTATATCTATTGTGTGCTCAAAAAGGCAAAATGATAAAACAGGACAAAAAAAAAAAACAACACAAAAAGGGGTCGGACGAAGCAGACGTTTTATACACAAACGAGTACACACTCACACACACATACTTGTACATGCACATACTGTATATCAATCAATCAATCAATCAAAGTTTATTTGTATAGCACTTTACAACAACACCAGGAGGACCAAAGTGCTTCACAGAGAGATTAAAACAATTTAAAACACAAAATGAAAACAACCAAGACACAATTCAGTGTGCCCTAAGTATTAAAAGCAAGTTTAAAAAGATGAGTCTTTAATCTGGACTTAAAAAGGGACAGGTCCGTGAGAACACGCAGACTGAGTGGCAAGCTGTTCCACAGTTTAGGCGCTGCAACCCTGAAGGAACGTTCGCCCCACTGTTTGTAGTGTAGTTGAGCTCTGCTGGGGCGATGTACGGTCAACAACTCAGTTAAATATAACGGAGCGAGACCATGAAGAGCTTTAAAAACAAGCATTAACATTTTAAAATCAATCCGAAAACGGACCGGGAGCCAGTGCAGGGAGGAGAGGACAGGAGTGATGTGGCTGTATCTAGATGAACCGGTGAGAAGACGGGCTGCTGCATTCTGCACCAACTGTAACCGGTTGAGTGACGACTGTGGGAGGCCAGAGTAGAGAGCGTTGCAATAGTCCAACCGAGAACTGATAAATGCGTGCGTTGCCTTCTCGAGGTCTTGGCGTGAGAGAAAGGGCTTCACCTTGGTCAAAAGGCGCAGCTGGAAAAGCTGGCTTTGACAACAGCATGTATTTGTTGTTTAAAGTTCAGTTCCCGGTCAAAAACAACTCCCAGGTTCCTGACGGCATCACGGACTGGACCCACCGCCCTGGACTGAAACTGAGGAACATCCCCGGAGCCAAAAATAATGAATTCGGATTTTGTTTCATTGAGGTGGAGGAAATTCTGCGTGAGCCATTGTTTAATGTCCGAAAGGCAGTGGTGGAGGGAGTCAAGGGCAGTGGCAGTGTTAGGGAGCACTGGTAAATAAACCTGGACATCGTCAGCATAAAGATGGAATGATAAATTATGTCTGGCAATGATGGACCCGAGCGGCAGCATGTAAAGTGAGAACAGGACCGGGCCAAGGATGGAACCCTGTGGCATCCCAGATGACAGCGGGGTGGAGGAGGAGGAATAGTCATCGACCATCACAACAAAGCTCCGGTCAGTCAGGTAGGACCTGAACCACTGCAGGACCGTGCCCTGAACACCAACATGCTCCGCCAGCCGGGAGAGGAGAACTGAGTGGTCCACGGTGTCAAACGCCGCAGTCAGGTCCAGCATCATCAAAAGCACTGGCTGCTTCAAATCCAAGGACAGCAGAATGTCGTTGTGCACTTTAAGAAGAGCTGACTCCGTGCTGTGACGCGATCTGAAGCCTGATTGAAATTTCTCCAAAATAGAATTATTTTCCAAAAAGGTCTGCAACTGAATGAAGATTAGCTTCTCTAAAACCTTAGACAAAAATGGCAGGTGAGAGACAGGTCGAAAATTTGACAGAACAGCAGGATCTAGATTAGGTTTTTTTAACAGTGGCCTAACCACAGCATGCTTGAAGGCTGCAGGAACAGATCCAGTGCAAAGGCAGCTATTGAACAAAGCGAGGAGGTATGGGCCCACTGTGTCAAAAGCATGTTTGAGAACCTTAGATGGAACAATATCCAGAGGACAACTTGTGGGTCTCATCCCCTGGACCACCTCAGAGTATACACACAGTACTGTATACTGCATGGGCATGAATACAAACATTTACACACACGCACACTCACTCAGATAGGACACAGGCACAAACAACAAACACTCTCTGACCCTACACCTCTCCCCATCACACTCTCTTTCCTTTACATTTGAACAGAATCAGGTGAAACATAGTTATTGGATTTGGGGACATTTCAGAATCTATTTCAACATTAGTTTATGGGAGTCATGGTCCCAGTGTATTACAATGGTATGTGAAACCGCAGCTCCTGGAGAAAACCTAATAAGTCTGACGTACAAAAACATGCAAACTCCACACATAATAGGAATATATTGGAGTGACGTTGTTGTTTATAGTTTTACGCACCGGTCACGAGACCGTGTGGCACTACAGCCAGCTACCTGGATGCAGAGAGTTAGCCAGTTTTAGACGTTTGGAGAGAAGTTTTACTAAATCAAATGGTCTATTCTTGTTGTGTGGTCAGTTGTACGGCCCACTGGGGCCAGATAAAGTTTTTTTCTTATTCCTTTAGAAAAGAACAGCAAAAAAACAGCCGTGGCAAAGTGGTTCGAGGGGACCACGAGGGGATAAAAAAATCATTTAAAAATTTAAGTTTTTTGTGAACTACTTTCACGACTTCCTTTTCCACGTTTACCGTAAGTAACAGCATAAAGGGGCAACCTTCTTGCGTGAAGGGTCCCGGGTTTTCTATGAAGTAAGAATCTCATAGAATCTCAAGTCTCTCAGATCAGTGCCAAGACCAAGGCGAGTCTGACCAATTTTTTTTCGTCATCCCAGGTCTCATATGGGCTTAGAATTTGTGCAGTTCGGTCTCATATACTTATTTTGAGCTTGTCTTTATATCTCCTCTGATCTTCTTGTGTTAAAGTGCTTATATACAGTGCATTTCCCCCACTGAGTCGTTTAAAAGTACTCGTCGCATCCATGCCTCAGTGTGTGCCGCTCTGTCTTCTTGCCACCAGCGAGTGGCTCATGCACACACAAAAGTAAAAACCAAAGATCCTCCTAAAACAATGACCTGTATTTGTAATTGAACTCATTCCCACCAAGTTATTTAGGGTTTAAAACAGTGCGAGGCTATCAAAGCTAATCTCCCACAGCTAGCATCTCTCTTCCTGTCTGTGTCATGTCTGTGTCCATAGAGGAAGACAACATGGCTGACATGTGTGCCCTGACCACAAAATCCCAGAGAGGAGTCTGGGCAGAAACACGAGGAGCAGATGGCCACTGTGAAGTTATGAGTCACGCAGCGTTTGGTGCTGAGGCTGAAATGAACTAAAGCGCTCAGATAATGACTCAAAACAGTCTATTCAAAGACTCTTTTAATGTTATGTAATGTCTTTCTCCTAATGTGGCCCACCTGCTCTGTCTGCTGGGCTCACAGTATGAAACGACATCGATATAACAGCCACATGCTTCAGAGAATGCCCAGCAGTAACTGTAGGAATAGTGGTAGTAGTAATTATGGATTTTTTTTTTTAATTGTTTTTATATGCTGTCATACATGTACTCTACACATGTATGCCAGGGGAGAATCATTCTAAAAAACATAAACAAGTACAACATGTAAATGTACACTTAATTGTCGCCGTAGGAAAATTTGTCCTCTGCAATTGACCCATCCTGATGCCACTAAGGCTTACGTCAGGAGCAGTGGTCGCCGTAGTAACAACGCCCGGGAATCCATCTCCAGATGTTGATGCTCGGCTTGGTCAGGACCAGAGCTGGAGGATTTAACCTAGTGAGCATGTTTTTAGTGGTGGGGGAAACCGGAGCACCCGGAGGAAACCTACACAGACACGGGGAGAATATGCAAACTCCACTCAGTAAGGCCCTGTTCCGACCGGGATTCGAACCCAGGACCTTCTTGCTGAGAGGCGAGAGTGCTATCCACTCAAAAGGTAAAATTCTCCTATTCAATCCAATTCTATGTGTTTTTGTATAGGCCATTAGACATGTTGGAAGACTAAGTTGTCAATTCACCAACACAGATCGGAGAATCAAACCGTTCGAACAGGAAATGCAATGATAACACACATATATAGAGCCATTTGTCTGACCAATGTTCATAAATGTTCATAAATGTTCATAAATGTTCATTAATGTCCTCAAATGTCCTGGATCTTCACTGTCCACAGACCATGGATCTCCACCTATAGCTCGGAAGCTACCAGTAACTCGATACCCTATTCAAAGAGAGATAGACAGTTACTTTATTGATCCCCAAAAGAGGAAATTCATGTGTCCAGTAGCAGCATAAAAAAAAAAAAAAAAATTGAATCTTCTAAAAAGCTAACAATAGTAATAATCAGCAGCAGCCCTTCATGTCACAGCAGCAGAGGTGGAGTAGCCTCTGGGTGGGTGAAAGTAGCTCCCCAAAGGATAATTTTATAAGTTAGAAATGATTATGACAGATTTTATGGGAATACCACTAAAACATGTTAGAAATTCCCCCAAATTTGCTGAAATTGATTAGAGAACACTTCAACGGTCTTAAAACGAGATTTGCTAATGGAAAACTTCATACATTTGCGATAACTTTTCTGGTTATTAGACTAAAGCTGGTTGTTGCATTGTTTCAAGAATGTCTAAATGTTGTCAAATCTAGATAAAAAACTACTTAATCTATTGTAGCACAACATTTTGTCTTCAATCTATAAGTAAGTAAGTAAATAAATTGGAAAAAATGGAAAAAAGAAAAGTAGCTGTTCAAGGGAGCTCTGCCTTAGACACTCCTGCATCGGCAAGAAACGAACCCAGTGGGGAAAAAGTGAGAAACCTCGAGGTCCATATTGAGAGAGTGATACGCCCCAATGGGCAGACAGGCTGTAGATCCAGGACTCAGGCTGTAGAATGAGGACCGAGGCCTGGATCTAGAGCTGCTCCTGACTTAGACCCTAGTGGCATTGGAAAGATGGGTCAAATGCAGAGGACTAATTTCCCAATAACAATAAAATATAACTTCAAAAACGTAATATCAAAATTTGTGCGTTTTCAAACTGCAGTGTTTCTGGATTCCACTTGCCTCTCAGGTTTTTATATATAGAAGTGTGATATGATATGATTTTGGTTTTTTTACAGGGACAGTGTACAATAAACATAAGCCAAGAGGAGAGATGCATTGTACCAGGATGTAGCAGCAGTGCTATTTTACACCTGTGGTCCCTGAGCGGGTTGTTGTAAAACAGTAAAACAAAAATTATAGAATACATGATGACCATACATTTAGCAATCAGAAATTACTATTTAACTTACCATACAAGTTATAATAAAACCACCCAGCCCCACTCTTCACAATCCCTCTATAAGTACATTCCAAGTAGATTTACTAGTAGACTAATTAGTGCCATTGTTTTCACGTTGAACCTGAAAAGCAGTGGTTTAGTTCGTCGGTCATCGGTCAGTGTTACTTCAGCTAGTCTTACCTGGATCTGGGGCGGGCTCTGGGTTATAAAATCCTTCCTTGCACCTGCAGCAGTACTGGCCCAGACGAAAACCACGGCCGGGAAGAGGGACGCACTGGAATCAGAGACATATCATTACAACTATGTAGTGGTTTTATATATAGGCTACAGGTGAATGAAATATGCTATAGAAATATGGCATTTGTGAATATTAAAGGAGATGTATGTACTGAATAAAATGTACCTTTTACGAGCTTTCATTTTATATTATACGCAGATCTCTTGTCAATATCTCAAACCCAAAGTTTCATCGTGACTGATTGTGCTTGTTTAATCCTGTACTGTCCCGCATTTATGTTCTGGGTTTTAAAGTACTCTGGTCTGTCCTGGGTCTTCCCCTGGTCTCCTTCTCGTGGGACATGTCCAGAACACCTCCCAAGAGAGGCGTCCAAAACTGGCTCCTCTTGATGTGCAGAAGCAGCTCTACCCCGAGCTCCTGTTGTGTGACTGAGCTTCTCAATTTTTCTTTTGCTCATTACCATAGTTCTTAGATAAGGGTGGAAAAGCAGGTAAGGTAGAGGAAGCAATGTAATTTTTTCTTTTGGGGATTTTTCCAAGATGTAGGAGCACTAATAATACAAATAAGTTGTTTGTTTGTTGTTATTTCTTAAAATGTATGCCTTTATCAAAATGGTTGAGGTCCAGTTCCATACTTCAAGTAGATTTAGTGATTCAAAAGGTGATCAACCAAATGATTGAGAAAACCAATAAAGGGATAAGTTAGCAGTTTATAAGTTAAGATTCAGAATCGTGTTTAAAACCATACACTCAAAAGACGAGCAGTACCTCCAAATGTCCACCAGGAGTTAAACCCAGGACCTTGTTACTGAGAAGCAGGAGTTCTCAAAATTGAATGAGCCATGAAACCTACGATACTCCATCAATTCATGCATACATTTTCTTCCAATTCATCCATTGCCGAGTCCCGGGGGCAGCAGTCTAAGCAGAGAAACCAAGACCTGCCCATCCACACAGACTTCCTCCAGCTCATCCTATAGAATACTGTTTGGTGTTTTCAGCTCAGTAGTTATGAACAGGAAGTCAATGAACCGTTTGGATCAATATACTACAGAGTTTTTAGGGATTAGTGCCTGATTTGATACTTTTCACAGTAAAAGCTTTTGAACTTGAACACATATTTGATAAGAAGATCGTCGTCATAGAGACAGACACGTAAATGTAGAAAACTGTCTTTACTCAATGCTGCCCTCCCCCCTGGATGGTGCAAAACGGCAGTAATATTACAACTTTTTTAGGATCAAAATCTGCTTTTTTTTTTAAATAAAGTTGAAGTAATTTAACAAAAAAAGTGCTTTTATCCCTCCTCTGTCTCCCACTCTGTCGCTGCTGCAGTTAATCTAAGTTAAAAGCTAAATGGACACATAATGCTTGTACTGAGAGCCTCATAATCCAGGTTCACTCACACAGAACTGACGCCGCTAATGCAGGCGCTGCCATCCACATGAACCATAGGATTAGAGCGGGACATATTTGTGCGGGCGCCACATCCACCGACCTAATGCATTTGTTTCATGGCGAGAATCAAAGGCTTTGTTTGCTTTGATAGACGGCGAGGCACATGACGCATGAACCAAGGCAAAAAGCGGAAAATCTGTGTGTGTGACGATGCGGAATGAAAGTAAAGATTATTACTGATGGTTAATTGTAGCGATGGGTTTGTTGTTCCACGTACTAGCATTACAACAGACACAGACTGTATACAGATGGACAAGGCTAACATGCTAGCTCAATGAAGCGCGATAGGGAAGTGTGTATGGAGTTTGCCCAGTGGGTCCATGAGCATGTTCGCTGACGTGCTTCTAATCTGACTCCTTGCTGGTGGGGGTGCACCCGGAAATAGAATTACCCAATGAATTCTTATGCCATTGTTGTTTTTTTTGGACCGGCCTAGTTTAGCAGCTGGGGACGTTTGACAGGCTAGTGCCAGCTAACGTTTTTTCACATTTTCCTGTGGGAGGGGCATTTTGAAATTGTGCATCACATGATAATTCCCCTTTAAAGACTCAAATCTGACACTAATCAATTTTCAACAATCGTGCACCTGTATTGAAACTGCATTTGTTGATGATTTTCTGCGTTTTTATGTGCGTTCTGTTAGTTTTATTCCTACACACTGAGGACTTTTGCAGTATTCCAATGTGGTTTTACTGCAAATGGCAAATAAAATTAAACTGACTCTGAATCTAATGATCATTTTAAATCTTACAGTAATAACATCAGTCGACTGCTGTGTTGAAGATTGCCGTTTGGCCCTTCCTTTAAGATATATGTATGTGTTTATAATTATTTGTACAAGGCAAAACATAAACCAAGAAAACCCATGGTATTATAAAAACAATAAAAGATATTCTCCTCGTAAACATGTCTTAAAATATATTAATATATTAAAATCAGTAGGAAGTATGTGCTCAAAAGAATTGTTTTCCATCTGGACTTGAGCAAAAACAGAATCAGCAGCAGTTTTCTTTCATGTTTTCTCAAATTATATGAATCCTGGACATCTGAGGCTTTAAAGTGGGAACTGTTGTGTCCTTAGGCAACGGTGTGTGTGCGTGTGCGTGTGTGCGTGTGCGTGTGTGCGTGTGTGCGTGTGCGTGTGTGCGTGTGGGTGGGTGTGGGTGGGTGTGTGTGTGTGTGCGTGTGCGTGTGTGCGTGTGTGCGTGTGCGCGTGTGCGCGTGTGCGTGTGTGCGTGTGTGCGTGTGCGTGGGTGGGTGTGGGTGGGTGTGTGTGTGTGTGTGTGTGGGTGGGTGTGGGTGTGTGTGTGTGTGGGTGTGGGTGTGTGTGTGTGTGTGTGTGTGTGTGTGTGTGTATGGATGATCAGGTGCACGTGTGTGTGTGTGTGGATGTCTCTGTCTGTGTACATACGTGTCTGTTTGTTTGAGTGTGTATATGTATGAATAGGTGTGTGTGGATGATCAGGTGTACGTGTATGTATGTGTGTGTGTGTGTGTGTCTCTGTCTTTGTGTATGTGTCTGTGTACATACGTGTCTGTGTGTGTGGTGCACATCCTCAGTCCGCCCCAGGGCAGCTGTAGCTACAGTAACATTGCATCATTGTCTTTGAAAGTCAACCAAAAGTCCTATGTAAAAACTGATGCAATATTCACTTCAAAAGGACCATGTCACAAACACACACTTACAGGTTATGTTTATGTCGTTTTAATTTATTTTTCTGTTTTATTGTTCTTCTTTTGCATTTCAATCAATGCAAAACAAGAACAGAAGGAACACCACGAAGCAATTCTGATGTTACATTTAAAACACAGCTACTTCTACCTAAAACCATGAATTCACTAGAATATTTAGAAATTTAATGGATAATAATCAGAATCATTTTTTTTCAATAATTTCAATAATTTCAATAATAATAAGGCACCACTTTTATGGACACTTAAAGACGCTTCACATGTTATTATTCATTCTCTCCATACACAGTGGTGATCAATTCTTACCGTAACCACAGCTGCCCTGGGGCAAACTGACAGAAGCGAGGCAACCAGTATGTGCCATTGGCCCCTCCGACCACCACCAACCATTCACACACACACACTAGACTCATTCCAGACAAAGTGTCCTGCCTAAGGACACAGCAACAGTTTGGCACTTTACAGCCGCAGCCGCCCCACTGTGGCCCCTGCTGTTCCCAGAGGTCTCCCATCACAGTACTAACCACATCCAGCCCTGCTTAGCTTCAGAGGTCTGTTTGGATCTGGCTTTCACTTGGAGTTGGTGTCACAAATGGCAGTTGCAGAACCACTTTTGGTCAGATTTTCACATACTGCTTCATGGACACATAATAAAGAAATGACTGTATTATTGTTAATTTAGCTCAGATTATATGGAGTTTTTTAGAATTTAGTGTAAAAACATCAAATAAAAAACATGTAGCTTGTACATTTGAAGAGAGTATGACGATAATAGAAATGTTTTTATATATGTAACCTGGACTTTTACAGCCGAGTTTAATGACATTTATGAAGGATTATTGTCCTTGAGATATTCAGCCACTAAAGAAAATCATATGAACACTTGAACTTTCAGTGAAATCACCCGAAAATGATGGAGCATGAACAGAACAGACTCTGACGGACACAAAACAATCAAAACATAACATTTCTGTTAATCAAAAGCAGGACACACACAATCCTACATTAAACATGTTTTAGACATTGCTATAATTGTGCCAAACATTTAAAACAATAAATTACAAAAAAAAAATCCTACTGACTGAGACTTTGACAGAAATCCATTCATTTTTGTTTACCAAACTATGACTATTTATGTTTATGTTTTTGATTACTAATAGAAATTAAATAAATTAATCCAAGAGCAAAAAGCCAACATTCAAAGTGAGAAAAGGTCTTAAAATCTTGGTACTTGGTCCTGGGACTAAGGTAAATATTTTATCATTTTCTTTTTTACTATTTTCTTATTAAAATTTGTATCAAAGAGTCACAATCTGATTAAAATTAGGGTGAGGGTTCGGGGCAATTAATTTGGTTCAGGTTAGGACTGGGGATACGGCAAGAGTAAGCTAGCAGCGGGACCAAATACCAAGATTTTAAGGAGCCTCTTTACGATGATTTTGCTGGAAGTCCCGCCTCTCTCTGGGTTTTTCTGTGGCCATCTCTTATCTTTCAATCTTCCTAGTGGCGCAGGGGTTGGCACCAGGTTTACTCCAGGTGCTACGGTTTTCCCCTGCCCCTAAAAACGTATACACTAGGTCCGACATATGCGTCCGTGTGGCAACCTTGGATCACTGTGTAGATTGTAATTGTAATGTAAAATGTAAACTAGATAAAGATGATTTATGACTGGAATTAACTTATTTATAGAATTATCAATAAATATATCTTTGAGTGAGTGCTAAGAACAGAGAGCAGCGGTTCTCAAGCTGTGGTACTGATGCATTGTGTGCTGGAGGTGGTGTTTCCAGGAGACTGCTCTTGTTCAGCCAGAAGTGTGTCAGACTCTGGATTAAAGTCTAATCCTGTCAGATCATCACTGTGCTCCAGCATCAGCCTTTAACAGGCCTGAGGCAGAGAGACCAGAAAGACACAGGGGAGAGGACCAAAAGGACACAGGGGAGAGGACCAGAAACAGAGAGACCAGAGATACACAGGGGAGAAGAAGAAAGACACAGGGGAGAGGACCAGAAACAGAGAGACCAGAGATAAACAGGAGAGAGGACCAGAAAGACAAAGGGAAAAGGGCCAGAAAGACACAGGGGAGGGGACCAGAAAGACACAATGCACAAGGGAGAGGGTCAGAAAGAGAGACCAGAGACACACAGGGGAGAGGACCAGTCACCAGAGAGACACAAGGTAGAGGGCCAGACACCGGGAGGATGACCAGCAATAGAGACCAGAGAGACACCAGGAAGCAGAGGGAGACAGAGACCTGAGAGACACAGAGACCAGAGAGACACAGGGAAGCAGAGTCCAGAGACAAACAGAGACCGAGACCATGCAGAGAGATACAGAGACCAGAGGTACAGATACCAGAGAGACCCAGGGAAGCAGAGACCAGGCAGCCACAGGGAACCAGAGAGAGAGCAGAGAGACCCAGGGAAGCAGACAGAAATAGAGAGACCCAGGGAAGCAGACAGAAACAGAGACCAAAGAGATACAGAGACCAGAGAGAAAAAGAGACCAGAGAGACACAGTGAAACAGAGACCAGGGAAAAACAGAGACCAGAGAGCAACAAGAAAAGAATGACCAGAAACAGAGGCCAGACAAAAAGTAGACAAAATATTACATTGTTTTTGGCCATCTAATACATAATGACAATGAGACTTTTTACTTTTTAGCATGTCCTGGGTCTCTCCCTTCAAAACAGATGCCACCTCAACCGGCTCTTCTCGATATGGACGAGAAGTGGCTCAACTCCGAGCTTCTCCTGAGCAGCCAAGCTCAAAGGCCTCCCCGAGCTTGAATTAGACTCAAGCAACCCCATCAAATCAATCATTACATTGAATATTTATTATTTACATGACATATCTAAAGTTTTAGCCAGCCCTTGCTAACTTTGACAACCAAGAACGAAGAAAAAAGTATGATGGTTGTTTTACTTCCTGTTCCTTTTACTGTTGATGGCCCCGCCCTGATGTGTTACACCTGCATTATAAAACACAGATCACCAGTGTGTGTCCGTAATGTTGTGGCTGTTCCCAGTGTTCTCACCTCCATACTGGTGCGGTTACACTGGTGTGTGTCGGCGAACCAGCTGTTCCCTGCGGCGCACTGGTCCACGTCCACGTCCTGAATGTTGGCGTCCACTCGGATCACACCTCTGACAAAATCAAGCAGAAAAACAAGTCCAATTATGCTAAATGTAACGATATATCAATATAATGGGTCAATATAGGTATAATAGCATGTGTCGTACGGTGGTGGAAAGATATGTATTTGTGTGATTTGATAAGAATGGCATTGGCCTTAAGGCCTGAAGGTCGTGGGTTCAATTCCCACCTTCTCCACCGACTCCCACTGATGACTGCTGTCGTTGTGTCCTTGGGCAAGACACTTAACCCCACTTTGCCCAAAGCCCCCACTGAAAGATCAAGGCTATGCTCACACTCAGAGAGCAACCGTCCTCCTGTGGACTCACCACCTGCAGAGGGTCAGTGAGGGGCTGGTGCTATGAGACTTGGGTGGCATCTCTGATTGCCACCCCCCTGACCCAGAAATGGATTAAAGGGTAGAAAATGGATGGATGGATGGATGATAAGAATGACTTTTGACTGATTTGTAAAATATCTATTAAAGTAGCAGTATGTAATATTTTCATGTCAAGTCATCATTAAATGGCCCTATTACGTCAAAAGGCATTAATAAAACATTCTCTTTTCCGATACTTATTTAACTGACAACCGTTCAGCCGAGTTTTACAGCCCCTCAATCTTGTTATTATTATCATTTTGATGTTCCGCCCTCCACCGTTTTACCAATAAGAAAGTCCTTGCCTTAAGCTGCTGTTTGTGCAGAAACCCTGCTCCTCCCCGCCACTGCCTCTTCAACAACAACAACTTATTCTTGTATAGCCCTAAATCACAACAGAAGTCATCTCAGAGGACTCAACAAAACCATTGAAATCACCAACACAGATCAGAGAATGAACAGTTGAAACACATAGAATACACACATGAATTGGTCCATAAGGAGAGACTAATGTCCATGAATGTTGATAAAGGTCATACATGTTGTAGAATGTTAAAGTGTCCTGGATCATCACCACAGTCCTTCTAGTTGGACACTAACTGCCCAACAGACCCTCCTGCATCCGCAAGGAAAACTCACAAAAACCCAGTGGAGAATCATCATGTTATCGGCTCAGTTTCTTTCGTCACCAGGGTTTAGACATTTGGGGTTCGCAAGCTCATATCCTCTATCAAATTCCTTCCTTTAATAAACATGTATAAGCACAGAAAAGATTGTATAATTGCACAAACTGTTCGTAAACATTCAAACCCAAAAAAAAAAACATCCCTTCTTATGTCACACAGTATTTCTGCCGGGTTCTCAGCTCCACAAAGACAATAAATATAATTCTTTGTCTTGAGTTTTTCCAAGTTGAACATTGGGTCAAACTCATCTACAGCAGAAATAATAAATCTCACAATCGTAGCCATCACTGTAATTATGAGTCTGAAACGCCTACCGCTAATTTCCCAGTATTTTCCATAGGCTACTTTCTCCTGTAATTAGTTTTCTACTTCAGCCAAGAACTTTTTCAACTAAATATTACAGCTTCATAATCTTTATTTAATTTATGCTCTATTCATTCCTACTCTTCTGAAAGGTGCAACCTCCTTCAGTCATTTAAAAAACACTGACTGAAGAGATTCAATAGAAAGTGCACCTTTACAGCTGTGTGAGATTTATAGATTAAAGAGATATTTCTGCGTGGCATGTGACGGTAGAATGTCACAACGGCCGACACTTTAGGAAATGAATGCTCCTCTGGATTTGACTCGTCTTTCACTGTCGCTGTCAGAGCTGCGCCGAGAGACACTTTTCCAGAATAGATTTTGATCTAAAGGCTTCATGAGGTGCAAATATGAAAAGGGTGACGGCTTCTTTGGTTAAGCCTTTTCTCACTAGAGACTCAAAGGTCACGTTCAGAAATGTGTGTCACCAGGAGATAGATAGAAAAAGAGTTTGGTTGTGTCCATGTTCTTAGTTCAAATGGTTGTGATTCATTATGGTGGTGTTTAAAACCAATCGATACTGGTTATAGGGAAATTTATTCTGACCAAAAATAGTGGCGTGAATGTCTTGCCAAAGGACACAATGACAGATTTGCACTTTACAGCCGTCCCACTGTGGATCCTGGAGTTCCCATCATTAGATTCTTTGTATTTTGGCATTCCTGTGTTTTGGGTCCTTCATTCACCTCACCTCATGACAATAACAGTAGTTCAGCCGAGATAATCGAAATTTCAAAATGAGTTTTACAGCCCCTAAATTGTGTTGTTGTTTGCCTTTCGATGTCCCGCCCTCCATCATTTCACCAATCAAAAAGTCTGTGATCCGGGTTGCCAGAACTCACCGCGTCAAGGTAATCTCACTGGTAAAGCATGTGGCCGCTGAACTAAAAAAGGTCTCGTTATGATTCTCAAATCATTAATGACTAGTGCTGTCCAACGATTAAAATATTTAATCGCGATTAATCGCATAAATTTCATAGTTAACTCGCGATTAATCGCAAATTAGTCACACATTTGCGTGCTGTGTGCAATTGCTTTTTTTATTGAAAACAATGTGTAGTGTTATATTACACACTAACATTTGATGCAAAATCATCAATAAATGGATGACAAAATAAATAATTGGTAACAAAAAGCCCCTTCAATGTGTGTGTGTGGGTGTGTGTGTGTATGTGTGGGTATAGACCATAGACTGTATAGAAACATCATGGTGTCATTATGATGATGATAAACAATCTGTAAATATTTTGTAAATTTGTTCATGTAAATACTCTATGCTGTTTCTCTGTTTACCTTCGGTATATCTATGACTGTATACTGTTTGCTTGTATTGCCTTTTTTATTAACCCCTCCCCCCATCTCCCACTTCATGTCCCCCCCCCCCCCCCCTCCCCTCCTATGTGCCCTTCTGGGTTTCTTCTTTGGCCCCCTGTATCTCCAACTACATATTGTTTGTAATCTCTGTCTACAATGTATCTGAACTAGTCCTTTTCTTTGTTTCTATTTTTTTTTCTGTATATGTGTTTGTCTGCAATAAAAAGTAAAAAAAAAAAAAAAAAAATAATCTTTTTTTTTTTTTTAATCGCGCGATAAAAAAAATGACGGCGTTAATATTGATTTGCGTTAACGCGTTAATAACGCGCTATTTTGGACAGCCCTATTAATGACATAACAAGGAATAAAACGAGGGTTCTTGTCGGCCGTTTGAGAAAAAGGTGTTCGTTATAGATTTGTTGTTGACAAAACTCTTGTCTATTCAACTATTATGGTCCCAGCTGGATTTGTCTGCATATCTGGCAACCTGAGTCAGGGAGAGTGCAGTACCACTTTTGGCCAGATTTTTACATACTGCTCCTTTAAACTAAAAACATTTTCACAGAGCGCATTAAACCACTGATTTTAGTTGGGCTGGAGGGGATAACTTTTCAATGTAAGTCAAAAGAAGCCAGAGTACTTCCTAATTAGATTTTATTATCCATCTGTTTACAGTATATGCTCCCATTACTACCACTAGTAGCCCTTAAGATTTGCCAAATAAGAATAGTTGACCAATGGGGATAGAGCTCACATGTCAATCGTGGGCTTAAATTAAATTAATTAAAAACAAGAGGACTGTGAGTTTGAAAATTCTTCCTCTTCACATTTTTAAAAGTTCTGTCTTATGATAATAATAATGTATTTGTTTTATATATAGCTTTTTTGGACACTCAAAGACGCTTCCATTGTCATTTTTCATTTGCTCCATACACAGTGGTGATAAACTACTACTATAGCCACAGTTGTCTCGAGGCACACTGACAGAAGCGAGGCAACCAGTCTGTGCCATCGGCCCCTCCGACCACCACCAACCAATCACTCATCAACTCTTAAATCCAGGATCACCACAAGGGTATGTATAGCCCCTAAACTTTTTAAAAGAACCCAAAAGGCTGATGTATGTATGGGATTTTGTACTGCATTTATTCTTTCTTTTTTTTTTCTTTTTAAGATTGTCATTATGTGAAAACTAAAATTCCTAGTATTTTTGTTAATATGCTTTCCAGAGCTTTTTGGGGAGTCCTTTTCTCACAAAGTGCCACAAAGATATGCATATACAAATAATAATTGATTTTGTCATCTGTGGTGATGTGAAAATAAATAAATAAAATATATAAAATAAAATAAAAGGCTGTTTCAAAAGTCCTTACCTAAACTCTGGAGTCAGGTCCGGTTTGAGGCCGTAGTAAGCCGTCGACAACGTTAGCATCCACCCGGGCACAAACCTCCCATCCTCGCAGTCCAAGAAGGGAGCGCTAGCCCACCTCACCCCGGTGCGATTGGTCACATAACTGTCACTTTGCCGCCATTTTGGAGTGTCCAGCGTGCTCAAATCGTTCAACAACACTCTCTTCGACAACGCAGCATTCAAACCGTTATTCTGCGGAAATTTCAAACTCTTAAACCACGAATCGTCCGGTGCTGGAGCAGGAGGGTGCAACGTATCCCAAAACTTGGACAAATCTTGCAGGATGATGGTGGGAATTTTTGCCATGGGATTGCGACTCGCGCGTAGGACTAGCTGTGGCGTTAGCGCTGCCGGATCTGCGTCAAAAGTCAGATAGGCTTTTTGTATCAGTGCGTCCGCGTCCAAAAGCGCACGAATTAAGGCGTGATACCACTCCATGTCTTCTTCCACGGTGCTTTCTCGCAAGTCGCTAGCTTGGAAGATCATGTTGAGGAAGTTAGCGGTGTTAGCTAACGCGTCCATTGCCGGTCGTAGCGGTACGTCAAAGCTATACGGTAAAGGTCCGTCTTGTCCAGAGGGGCTGTAAGCTCGGTTGCACCGCGACGTTTCTAGCAAAGTGAAATCTCCTGTGAACAAATAGTTCACAGCAGGCGACCAATCATCTTTTTCCGTTGTGGTTGGCATGGACGGAGTTGTGGCTAATGTAGCTAAAGTTGCATTGGAAACTGCAGTGTTGTTAGCTGAATCTAGCGTGCTGTTGTTTGCGTCCATATTGGATAATTCGGATGGGGTTTGGGCCTTGTAAATGATCGGGAAAAGCCCCAAAACTAAGATAGAAGTCCAAGCTGCCATGTTAAAAAAATTGGCCATCTCAGTCGTTCATACGTCTTGAATTAGAAAACTAGACAAAAATGTTGTGAATTTACAGTTTCTCATCATCCAAAAGTTGAACTTGTCAAGGTCAGCCATCTTGAATCATGATTACAGCTTTTTTGGAGATTTTGCAAAAACGTCTCAGCGCCGTTTCTTGTCGATGCAGTTTGGTTGTGTTGGTTTGCGATAGTCTTCATTTTCACAGATGAATCAGTCATTTCAGACGCTGACTTCACGGCTCCATCTGTGCGGACTGGGAAAAAAAAAGAGAAACTGGTGAGATTGGCAGAAAAAGTGAACAGGCAGTTGGACGTGTTGGTAACATTAACTTTTGGTGGCTTGAAAGTGACAGTGTATCTCCTCACTTCTTGAGACAAACATGTATTGTTGGCGTAAAAGTCCAACTCTTATAAGACTCATAGAAGTAGTAGCCATCTTTATCATGTGAGAGTTGAAAAATTAATGGTCGAAAGTCAGATTTTCTCACCAATCATGCTGGTGTAGGACTTTTTGCTTTGTTTATTAGTAATCTTTTTATGACTGAATTATTTCAAGCTTAACAGAAACTTGTAAATATTTACATATGCAAAACTCGCACCATGAACCAAAGCAAATTCCTAGTTTGTGACTTCCTGTTACTTACAATGGCAATAAAATGGATTCTGATTCTGACCATAGCCCGTATAGGAGTGGACTAACTGAGCGTTGCGGTCATCCATAGTGTAAGTCTTAATGCCAAAGATGTGGATTAGAGCGAACTGGAACAGGCTATCTGAGCGGGATTGTAAGGCCAAATTTGCCACTTGTGCTATGAGTGAGTCAAAGCCAAATTTGATTGTCAGAAGGCCCCTGATTGGTCCGTTGGTAGGGCTCATATCTGGATTTACAACAGCACAATACAAACGCCATAGGAGCCAGGGTTAATAAAACTTTGTCTATGAACGTTTCAATATGAAGCTTCATTGAGCTGGAGCAGGGGTGTCAAACTCAGGCCTGTGGGCCAAATTCAGCCTGCAAGACCATTTTTAGTGGCCCTTGAACTTACTATGGCATGTAAAACTTCATTTTAAAGCTTGTTTTCTCAGGAATACGACCATTTGCATCTACTCTAAAGTTTAAACTAAATATAAGTTTGGCCAAAGATATATAATTTATAGTCTACAATTTAAACTATTCTTGATATTTGGCTCAGAAAATAATATCCAAACCAATGCCAAATAATTTTGTACTTCTTCAATATTATAAAATAATACTTTCATACTTTTGGCTCCAACCAGCTCTTACCTTTTTAAGTTTGGCCCCCAACCAAAATTATTTTGACACCCCTGAGCTAGAGGTTTACCAACTATAAACAGTCTATGGCGAGGCACTGGAGATGAGGCAGGTGAAAAGTCTTGCCTAAGGACATCATTATGGAATCACACCTTATCTGGCAACTTGGGGCCACAAATATCAGACATGATTGTTACGACATCCATTGAACTCCATGTCATTTCTTTCGTCAAAGCTTTATTCATAGTTTGATCTCCTCGGTTTTGTTATCATGACCAAAAACACGACAGTTTATTGCGAAGTTGCTTATAATTGATCATGCTACACTAGCTACGCCATTGTTGTATGCTGTAGAACTGCCAGATAATTAGCAAAAACAGCAAATCAGGCCAAAACAGTCGCCAACAAAGAGATAGAAGCACATAGAAAGACATCAGACGGTATCTTGATATTGGTTATGGCGCAACAGATGTATTTACAATTTAACAAACACAAAATCTCGAGTTTTCTGTTATTAATATTCTTATCCGAGCTCTGCCCACACTGCCTCGATATCAATCATAGAATTACAGATGATGTGAGAAGTCAAATTTGCAGGTAGCTCAAATGTTCATAGAGATAAAAAAGGCACAAAGACAATTCAAAAAATCTCATACAATGTTAAAATGGCTCTAATTACTACACTATGTCACCCTTTTCAGACAAGTCCAATGTAATCACCCAAACCCAAATTTCAGCACGATATTAATGCACTTTTACAAAGAGAGTAATTTGGATAATTATGATTTTATGATACGCTCGACCACACAGAAACCATTATTTAGCTTGTCTGTGTTCACTATACAGGCCTCGTTATCCAGTCGTTGGTGTTCATTCATATATTTTTAAATCTCACATCAAACTAATATATGTGTCCTTCCTCTCAATAACCATGACCCACTTCATTTCCATCTCCACTACTGCAAAAATGCACAACGCGAAGAACCAACATCTTGCTGCCAGAGCTGCACCCAGATGCACCCAGAAGCAAATAAAGGACCTTCTTCTACTAATTTGAGCACATTTTGATTGCCTTAAAACAAGATTTTCCAATAAGACAACGCGCAAAATGATCTTGTTTTAAAAAGATACAAGAAAAGTCTCCCTTGGAATGAGAAAATAAAGTAGCAGTTCTTGAAAATGGCTTTGTCCCATTGGAGAATCTTGTTTTAACAGTCAGAATGAACTCAGATTCAGATAAAAAACCACTCGATTCAAGCTTTTATCTCTTCATATTTGATCATTTTTCGCAGTAGCCTATTTCTCAACGTTTTGACACAACGTACCACCTTAAGTACCACCAAACACTGATTTTAAACCTGAGTCTAACTTAATGTTGAACTTCCAAATAATTATGAAATTAGTGAGTAATCTTTATCTATATAGCGCATTTCTGAGACCAAAGTCACCCAAAGCCATTATGTCATTTTTGGTTCAAAGTAGAAATATTGTAATCAATATATGTTGTATCTATGACTAGTATTATATATATTACATTGTTTTGTCCAATAATACTGTTAAGCATAGAAGTCATTTTTAACTACGTCCAGTGGCTTTAATATGGAAATTCTCCGGAGCTGCCACTGCTAATGTTGAAGGGACAAGCCCAGACTTAATCTCTAACTAACAGGAGATATTTCTGCTTTGTTGTCGTTTAAATACATTATATACATTTAGTAGAATATTTTTCATGTGTGTGCACTCACTGTCTTTGTTTTTGTTTGTTCTCTTTTTCGCTGCCTTTTGTCGTGTCTATGTGTTTGAAATATAGCTAATAACAATGAAAATACATGTGAACATTTGTAAATTGTAGACTTTGCTTTAGTTTCTTTTTGTATTTCCAGCCCGACTGAAAGGACTTAAACATATAGAGTTGCATATAGTAGACTTTTCTATCTGCAGGTATTTCTGAAGTGATAATTTCCTCTCTTACATAAGCCAGTTTGAGGACAACTGTTGCAGCAGCACTACAGTCAGTGCTGCAGTCTGTAGGCATAAAGTCATGTGTGCAAATAACGATTACATGTATTTTTGTATCGCCCTAAATCACAACAGTAGTTATCGCAAAGGACTTTATAAAAACTGTTGAATTGGCCAACACAGATCAGAGAATCAAACAGATGCAATGATAGAAAACACATAAAGACATTGGTCCTTAAGGGGCGGATGACCAATGTTGAAAAAGACATAGAAATAACATACCATTTTAGAGTCGAATCCTATACAAAAAATACAGACGACTAGATCCATTAAAGTGGGATTCAAACTCTCCAAAAAAACATAGTCCATCCCATCTTCCTCTGCTGGTGCGGTGAACTAAAACATGAAATTGGGGAAGCCCTGAAGTTGTGGCATCCCAGTGGGAGGAGTCCAGTTCTCCAACAATTTTTCTCTCCCCCTTTCTGATTCTTGTCCACTTTCCAGGAGCCGCTCATAATAAGGCTTTCTCCCTGCGCTGCCCTCCAGGTCTGGTGCTGAAAGAGGAGAGGAGAGGGAGAGCCGGACATCTGTTACGTTTTGCTCCTGCCGCTATTTGAGAGGATGAAGGCCAGATGAGGAGGACTAAGCTGCGCTGCATTTGAGCAATATCAATCCGCCTGATGGTTAAGTGAATGGATTAACCCTTTAAGGAGTGGAGAGGGAGGGGTAGAGGGGGAGGAGGCGGAGAGAGGGAGGAGGGGGAGAGAGAGGGGAGAGGGAGGGAGAGAGAGAGAGAGGGAGAGAGAGGGAGAGAGGGGGAGAGAGAGGGGAGAGGGAGAGAGAGAGAGGGAGAGGGACAGAGAGAGAGAGGGAGAGGGAAAGAGGGAGGGAGAGGGGAAGAGAGAGAGAGGGAGAGAGGAGGAAGAGAGGGAGATAGAGGGAGAGAGGGGGGTGGGGGCACGTGAGATTTTGTGGTGTGAAAAAAAAATAGCTTAGAGTCATTGCTAGGCCATGTATTAATAATAATAATGCATTGGTTATATATATATATATATAAATATTTTGGTTATTGTATATATATAGTTTTTTTCTGGATGCTCAGACGCTTCACATGCCATTATTATTTCACTCCGTACACGGTGCAGTAAAAGAATAATTAAAACTTAAGATAAAAATATGTTTTAAAATCTTCATATTTCTCATTTGGAAGAAAAGAAAAGGACAGAGATCCACCTCTAACAAAAAAATGAACCCAAATTAATTGATTGAACTGATTGAACTTATTGGAGAACTGCTCGCGTCTCTTTAAAAGTCTAATCACACTGAGTCTCAGAGCCGAAGATTGGTCTGGAAACTTGTGAAACGAGACTCATTCAAAGATTTACACAAAATTGACTGAGAATCCTTTGAGTGCCCTTCTCAAACACCTCTTTTACTGGTTTTTTCCACCATTGCTAAAAGATGAAGGAAGCTTTTCTCCTTTTCTTTTGTTTATTTATTTATTTTAATTTAGGACAGTACATATTAATCAATGTGTCTGCGAATGGCGTCAACATAAATATGCTGGAAATAGCACAACAGCTAAATTGCATCCATTGTCCTAAGGCAGGTAAGAAACAAACAAACAAACAAACACACAGTTAGGTAAAAGTACATAAAGAACTTAAAAGAGAAAGAGAACGAGAAAGTCCAATGATGATGTATTCGACATGAACCAAAAAGCAGCTCTGTGAACAAGAACTTTCCCGCGTTTGATATTATAATGAAAAAATCCTTTAAAAAAACATTTACCAAAGTCATGTCCTATATATAAATTAGTTCAAAAAACCTTGAAACTAAAAGAATTCTACTTGGACAAATCTAATCTCTGTGGAGGTGGACGATTCAACCTGCACCAACTACTTCTAAATTGCAATCATGAAAGCAGAGATACAAACAATCCATGCTTAGGCCTCACAGCAAGAAGGTCCTGGGTTCAATTCTTTGTGACAAAGTGTGAAGCGTTGTAGATGAAACCGACTTGCAAATCCGAGTCCTCTCCAGAAGTGCCAGACTTTGAATATCTCAGGTTCTGCTCTCGTTGAGGGAAAGATGGAGAGTGAGGAATTACAGATTGGTACAGTGTGCAGTGAAACAGTCGTTGTAGCGAAGAGGGAGCAGTGTCTGCAGTCAGAGCTCTATCAGACTGTTGTGGTTCGATTGTACTGCTCAATCTCCATTCCCACCTTCACCTCTGGTCATAAGCTTTGGGAAACAACTGAAAGTACAAGATTGTAAATGAATGCGGTCCATGTGAGCTCTCATATTGTTGCTGGGCAGTGTTGACGCTCCCACAAGACAGGAGCACTGGGTAGAGCCGTTGCTCCTCTCATAATGGTACAACATTGTTCCCTCATCATAAACAGACCTTGAGTTTTATTTTTTTTATTCTGGTACAAACATGTAGCTCCACCCGCTGAATTAAGATTCTGTCTCAGTTCTGTAATGTATGAAGTTATTGAACCACTGATGTCACAATAGAAGCCGTTAAGCTTAGCTTTAGTTTGCAGCTGTTTAGTTTAGTTTATTTATTTAAGATGACAAGGACAGTGCACAATAAACATTAACCTCAAAAGGAGAGATGCATTGTACCAGGTTATAGGTCAAGAGCTAATTTCCACCTGTAGTCCCTGGGCAGCCCCCCCCCCCCCCCCTCTCTCTCTCACACACTCACACAAGCTACACATGAGTGCAAGTTTGGTTTGATAATAACTATTTCTTTAGAAGGCGTGAGAACATGTAAGCATTTGTGCTTGCTATCAGCTATGTGAATTAACACAAATTTGTGTTAATTCACAAATTTGGAAAATAAATAAAACAAAAATACAACTCCCTCTGGTGGCAGCATAGGGGTAGGGCAGGCCACAAGAATTGCATATTTGAATATTGTTTTTGAATGGACAAAAACAATAATTAATATGTCCACCTTAAATTAAAACTACTAGCTGGATCACTCCTGAAACACAACCGTTGACACTATTAGACAATAATAATATTTATGACAGAGATTTACAACACTGATTTACAACGAATGGACCACAGGGAAAAGGCAGACTCGTGGGGTTTCACTGCTTTTCAGTCAGAAGTAGTTTCTCCAAAAAACAGGAATCCATGTGTTTAAGTGTGTTTCTCAAATAAAATCTTGAAGTGAGTCCTGTTCTTTGGAAGTCTCCCTTTTTCTCTCGGTCTCACTCATCCCAATATGTGTCATTCATCCCCATATGGATCAAACTTACTCAATAAAATCTATATTTGCAGTTTGACAGTACAGAGTTTCTTCCTCCCGTCGGCGGCAAAAACATGACGCGCCCGCTGTTAGTTTGATTATTTCTAAACAAAAGGGATTAAATCGCTTCAGTGGAGTTTGTTTTCTGCCCCAGTGCTCCCTCTACAGGACAAGTTTCGCTCCTGCAGCCAAAAGAACAGTTCGTCATCAATTATTCCCACGTTATTTCCTTGAAGACCACACTTTTAAACAGTTGTGATTATATGTAGACATTGGAGAATGTATTTTTTCTTGTTTTAAATTCGTTGTTTTGTTATGTTTTTTTTAGACCTAAGTGTATTCCCCACACATGCCAGAGTGGTCCGTTCTGTTTTCATTTATAGAAAAATAAATCTTAATGTATCTTTAATTTTTTAATGTTTAAGGTATTTTAGTTTAACGGTGAGGTAGAATAGAGTAATATATAGGGCCTAAGAACTCTTTTCTGAGCTTTGATTGCGCATTATGTTCTATAATATATGTCTCCAGCAGCAGAACCCATGATGCCACAAACAGATGTTTTAATAAAAGCCATAATGTGCCTGTGTGTGATGTGCAGTGTGGTAACTATGCACTGGTTATGGCTCGCTGTGCCATAGCCCTGGTCCAGCCTCTCTCTCTCAGAGGAGGAGGAGGAGGAGGAGGAGGAAGTGTCAGCTATGAGGACTCGTTTTATTGGTCCACAGATGAAGCTCAGGATTGAACCTGCTCCAAACAACAACAGCGTCTCTCGCTCGCAGCTCGGTTAGCGCGCACTGGGGTCGCACTGGAGCCGTATTGACTTATTGAGGGTGAATCCGAGGCTGTGGTCGGAGCCTGCAGCGGTCTCTGTGGATGTTTACGGCACAGGCGCGGTGAGATGAGGTGAGGGCTGCGCTGTGCACTCATTTATCGCGGTGATGATGGAGCCATAACGCGGCTGATGCGAGAGGCGGAGGGTGGGGCAACGGAGGGAGCAGACTGTCTCTGACGGCCGCCAGTCACGGGCCTGCCGCCCGCTGCAGCTGCTGAACGCGCGGAGGATGCGCGGTCCGCGCTAGCGCGGTGCAGTCTTCATCCTCCGCTGCATCAGAATCATGATGAACGACGCACAGGAAATGTCTCCGGACTTTGTGCTGATGCGGCTGGTGTCCGCGGCTGAGGAGCGGCTGGACGCGGAGAACGGGAACGTGTCTGCGGTGAACGGGGGCAAAGCGGCGCTGGAGCTGAGCAGAGAGCAGGGCCTCGACAACAAAGAGCCAGAGCCGCAGAGACACGAGGCCCCGGGCTTCGAGTTCAGCACGAGCCCCGGGCTCAGGCCGCAGCTGCTCGTGTTCCCGGAGCTGGAGCTGGACCGAGGTCCCGCTGTCAACAACAACAACAGCGGCCTGAGCGCGCAGGACGCGCCGCGTCCCCCGGACGAGCCCCCCGGAGCGGACAGAACCACGCGCGGCGCGGTCTTTGAGCTCGCGCGCAGGTTTGGAGAGCTGCCGCGGTGCTCATGCCAGGCCCCCCACGCACCGGAGGGCACGGGGCCCGAGGTGGACGACCCCACGGAGACCAGTGACGCGCTGCTTGTGCTGGAGGGGTTGGGGGGCGCGCTGGATGAACCGCAGAGCCACGCGGAGGACGCCGCGCGGCAGGACTTTCTGCTGCACCGGAAACGCGACATCGTGCAGAAGATGTCAGTGTCCATCAGCAGCCTCCAGGCGGAGCTCACGCGCCAGGTGCAAGCGCACGTGCAGGGCGCCGATGGAGGAGGCTCCTCTGACGTCACACAGGTAACAGCGAAGAGCCCAGTGTCACCAGGGCCACACTGGGCACGGAGTCCCAGTCCGGGACTCATGTGCACGCCGAGCCTCACGTGCACGCCCAGGAGGAGACCCGAGCGCTGCTCGAGTGCTCCACGGACTCCGTGCACGAGCAGGGCTTCAGCTTCATCAGGGGAGAAGACCCTGAAAGGGAAGTCCAAGAAAGGTCTGAAGGTGCGACTGAGTAAACTGTTCAGGACCAAGAGCTGCAGCGGCTCCTCACACCTCCTGGACAAGAGACCCTCCATGACGTCAGTGTCATCGTCCAACAGCCTCCTGGACGTGGGCGGGGAGCAGGACACAGCACACAGGTCAGTGTCCAAAACTCTCACATGTTATGGTCCTTAGCTCCTCTATGTCCAAATGTTCTTGCTTCTAAACTAAGATGCTTGATAAATGCTAATGCTTCTAAAAACAAGCCTCGCAGATAATGCTGCACTAACTGCCACTAGAAGGCTTTGTTTACAACTGTTCACACTTTAATCTCTGTCACTAACATCTTTTTATCTCAACGTTTCCCTCATTCACACCTGTCACCTGCCTCCTCCCTCACCTCCTCATCTCCTCTGCCCTTGTCTCCATCCATCCATCCTCATCTCCTGTCCTTGTCTCCTCTGTCCTGGTCTCCTCTGTCCTGGTCTCCTCTGTCCTTGTCTCCATCCATCCATCCTCATCTCCTGCCCTGGTCTCCTCTGTCCTGGTCTCCTCTGTCCTGGCCTCCTCTGTCCTGGTCTCCTCTGTCTTGGCCTCCTCTGTTCTGGTCTCCTCTGTCTCGGTCTCCTCTGTCTCTGTCTCCTCTGTTCTGGTCTCCTCTGTCTTGGTCTCCTCTGTCTTGGTCTCCTCTGTCCTTGTCCCCTTCCATCCTTGTCTCCTCTTTTTGTCTTCTCTGTCCTCGTCTCCTCTGTCCTTCCATCCTCCCTCTGTGTCTCCTGACCTCCTTGTCTTGTGGGAGCAGCCAGCCCAGACTGACCCGGGCCCACAGTGCCTTCTCTCCTGCTGCCCTCTCGGCTTCACTTGCTGCTTTTGCTGGTAAGAGCTCCGACCTCTGTTTATTATAATGCATGGTAACAAAAGTGCTGAATGAAACTCATAAAAACAAGACATTTATTTATTTATCTGGATCCCCCGTTAGCTTCCACAAGTGGTCGCTAGTTTTCCTGGGATCAATTCACATTAAATCATTTCAAACATTCAGTGTAATAAGTGTTTAAAATACTAAATAGCCCAAAACCGAATCAACATTTCACATCGTCCTTCAAAATTCATTCAAGCAGTGTTGTTTTCTTTATTTTCTTTGAAGCCACAGACAGCAGATTCCAAGCAGCTCAGGATCAAAAACAAAAACTGTTCTCCTCATACAGCTCGAATTTGGAAAATAAAAAATAAATCTGAATAGTTGACCTGCGGATGATGTCTTATGTTGATGGCAATAACTGCAGTAAACACGTTTTTACACAAAGAAATGTGGATTGTTTTTGTAGATAACGCAGGTTTTTTTCGGGCCAAAAACCTGCTCCGTGTGTGAGAAAGAACAGACACGGGAGGGTGTGTCAGAACAACCCGGCCTTTGAGCCGCCTCACGACCTATTCTTTGTGCCGAGGCGTGTTCGGGGTGAAAACTCAAATATAGCAGTAGTTTTACAGCCCTTTGCTTACATTTGGGTCACATGAAGGTTGTATACACATGAGAGACAAGATTTAGCATAATCAGAAATGAAAATGGAATATGGCGTGCATAAAAATAAATAAGAGAACAGTGGGGAAATGTCAATGTTGCAGCGCACATACAGGACAGTAGAGCACACATGGAGCACACACAATATACAAAATAAGTAGCTGCTACGTCCCTTGGCTAGCTGTAAATGCTTCAATATCAACATATCACTATATCCATCTATCTATATATACAGAGTAAAGTTATAAACAGTCAGTGATGGGAATAACGGCGTTACTAGTAATGGCGTTACTAACGCCGTTACTTTTTTCAGTAACGAGTAATCTAACTAATTACTTTGACAGTAACTATAACGCCGTTATCATTTCCGACATCCCGTTACTGCGCGTTACTCAAGACGCACAATGAACGTGTTGTCATGAGAGAAGGGAGGATGAGAAAACCTCTCAGCAATTATTGGCTGATGTAAAACATATTTCCTTTACAATCTACATGTCTACAGTTGAGAGGATGGCTCATAAATTGTGTTTTTGAAACAAATATGGGTCTTAATCGCGCTCAACCACGGCTTGTATCACCGTGAGGTCAGCCACAGAGGAGCGCATGTGAGCGCAGAAGTCGGCTGCATACAATTCCATCGATAAGCTCCTTGCTCTTCCTGGTTTATCTGCTAAGGACAGCAACAGGTTTGGCTAACATACATATAACACATTTTTACATAATCTAAAATGCACATAGGGTAATTACTATAGGAATGATAAGAAAGAGAGGTGAAGTGTAAGACGGTTGATTTTAGAAATTGGATGCAGCCGGCTGCAGCAAAACAGAGGAGTTTACGGAGGACACACGCGTTTTGTTTTACTTTTTAAAACTCATTGGACTCATTTCCAAATGGAGGATTACATATCTACGCTCAAACCATTCACTGGATTTAAACAAGGAACTGGTCTGAACCGAAGTGGACTGTGCAGGTCATTTATAAGGTATAGCTATAAGGTAAGACCCATAACTCATAGTTTTGCGTTTTGTATGAACAAACAATGCGGGCATAAAACATATTTTGCTGTAGCCAAACAAATTGTCCACTTGATTTATATGATGTATATGTTCATCTGATTGGACTGAAGTCAGTGCTTCACCAGCCTCACCGCTCGTCACCGGTGTTTCCACATTCACAGTGGCGGGCTTTACAGCACAGACAGAGATGAAGAGTGAACAGGACTTCAGCAGCAAAACAGCCTTCTCTAGATGGAAATATTGGCACTGTTAAAGGTAAAAATGCGCACGTCGGGTGCACATTATGTTCCAGAACAAAACGAAAAAGTAACGCAATAGTTACTTTTACTGGTAACTAGTTACTTTTATAGTGGAGTAACTCCGTTAGTAACTCAGTTACTTTTTGGGAGAAGTAACTAGTAACTAGAAACCGTTGCAATGGCTGAAGCCATTGCGATTGACTGCGGAACAGATCTAATGTGGAATTTAGCTGAAAAATCCTTGAAATCCTTGAAACTGTTAAAATACTTTAAACATCTTTGAAACTCCTGAAGTATTTGAAGCTCCTGATATCCTTTAAACTGTTATCCTTTATACTGGTTTTCATGTAAAAACCCCTATTAAGTTCCATTATACTGGTTTACATGTAAAAACCCCTATTAAGTTGCATTATACTGGTTTACATGTAAAAAACCCTATTAAGTTGCATTATACTGGTTTACATGGAAAAATCCCTATTAAGTTGCATTATACTGGTTTACATGTAAAAATCCCTATTAAGTTGCATTATACTGGTTTACATGTAAAAACCCCTATTAAGTTCCATTATACTGGTTTACATGTAAAAACCCCTATTAAGTTGCATAATACTGGTTTACATGGAAAAATCCCCATTAAGTTGCATTATACTGGTTTACATGGAAAAATCCCTATTAAGTTGCATTATACTGGTTTACATGGAAAAATCCCTATTAAGTTGCATAATACTGGTTTACATGGAAAAATCCCCATTAAGTTGCATTATACTGGTTTACATGGAAAAATCCCCATTAAGTTGCATTATACTGGTTTACATGGAAAAATCCCTATTAAGTTGCATTGTACTGGTTTACATGGAAAAAACCCTATTAAGTTGCATTATACTGGTTTACATGGAAAAAACCCTATTAAGTTGCATTATACTGGTTTACATGTAAAAACCCCTATTAAGTTGCATTATACTGGTTTACATGGAAAAAACCCCTATTAAGTTGCATTATACTGGTTTACATGAAAAAACCCTATTAAGTTGCATTATACTGGTTTACATGGAAAAATCCCTATTAAGTTGCATTATACTGGTTTACATGGAAAAATCCCTATTAGGTTGCATGATTACACTGAAGTCCTTGAAACTGCTGAAGTCCTTGAAACTGCTGAAGTCCTTGAAACTGCTGAAGTCCTTGAAACTGTTGAAGTCCTTGAAACTCTTGAAATCTTGAAACTGCTGAAATCCTTGAAACTGTTGAATCCTTGAAACTGTTGAATCATTGAAACTGTAGAAATGTCTGAAAGAGCTGAAGTCCTATTAAAATGCATGGGCCTATTAAAATGCATTGCAGAATTCTCAATGCAGATTTTTGTCCGATTGCGGAAAAACCGGAAATCGCTGAAGTCCCAAAAGTAATAGCAATAATCTCCCAAACATGTGGAACGTTTTGATGTATAACTTGTGGAAATTGTTGAAAATGTGAAAGCTGTGAAACGTGTCAAAAAAAATGACGGAATAAAGAAATACAAAACCAATGGTTGACTGCGGAAGGTTCCGCAGTCAATCAACTATAACTAATTACTTTTTCAAAGTAACGTGCCCAACACTGTGAACAGTACATATAGGGCAGGATAATTAGTAGGTAAAGTGACATGCAGTGGACATAACATTACATTTCTTAGTTACTACTATAAGTGCTCCAAGCACACATGATAGACATTTAGCAACACAGGAAAGTGATAGTAGCATAACGTGATAGTAGCATAACGTGATAGTAGCATGAAGTGATAGTAGCATAACGTGACCGTAGCATAACGTGATAGTAGCATAAAGTGACGTAGCATAAAGTGATAGTAGCATAAAATGACCGTAGCATAAAGTGATAGTAGCATAACTTGATAGTAGCATAAAGTGACCGTAGCATAAAGTGATAGTAGCATAACGTGATAGTAGCATAAAGTGACCCTAGCATAAAGTCACCGTAGTATAAAGTGACGTCATGAAAGCGTCTGGGCTTTGGTTTTCTGCACTTTCTTTCATAAAGTTGTCGATAATGTTCATAAATGTGTACGTAGCTCCATGTGGATGATTAGATTGTTGTTGTCCGTTGTAGTGAGATTCCCTCTGGTCCTGGGTGCGCTGGGGCTTTAACACTTTTGTTGAAAATCTGAAGTTTGTTTTGATTCAAACAACACGCCCACCTTTCCCTCTGCCTTCAGCACAGGTCAAAAAACAATGTCTGTAGAATGAAAACACTGTAGAGTTTAATCTGGATTTATCTGGTGAATCTCTAATAAACCGTTTTTCAGAAAAATACTGACGAGTGCTGACAACCCAGACTTTAGTTCATAACAATTTTATAACAGATTTAAAAAACAGCCTTTTTACGACACTTAAAGCCCTGATGCATTATTCAGACTGAGGGGAGGCTGCCAGTCTGCCTCATCAGCTGAGTTAACCACACACACACATACATACATACATACACACACAGACACACATATAAACACACAGACACACACATACACATACAGACACGCATATACATACAGACGCACACACATACACATACATATACATATGCACACACACACATATACATATGCACACACACACATATACATATGCACACACACACATATACATACGCACACACACATACATATACAGACACACACGCGGCAAGTTTATATGAATGAATGAAAGTTTTTTTGAACATGGAATAAAAACAACAGAGTAAGAACACCGAAACAAACGACAATAAACACAAAACAACAACAAATGAAGAAAAATATAAACAAAATGTCAACATATTGCACAATAAAATACACAAAGCAATTTTCAAAGGACTACACAACGCAAGATAGACACAGAAGGCATTAAAAGAGTGAAGATAAAATCCCTCTCATAGAAAATAAAACGTATACTATATATATAACGTAACTATAGTTTCCCCCATACCTTGTGTTATTGTTCTAACCCAGTTACAGAGAGCCTAAAGACGGAGCGATGCAGGCAGAGAGCAGTGGTGGCTTTGTGGGCGAGAGGTGATGTAGTTGGACTAAAATAAATAGTGCTGAGTCCCGAGAATCCTCTGTATCCGCCTGGACCCAGAGAACCACTGCTGTGCTACATCACACACTGGGAAGGGCCTGGGATCCTCCGAGTCCCAGCAGGAGGCCAGTCCCTGTGCTCCTCAGAGTCCCAGCAGGAGGCCAGTCCCTGTGCTCCTCAGAGTCCCAGCAGGAGACCAGGCCCTGTGCACTAACATGTCTGGGATGTGTTTGGGATGAGACTGAGGCCTTAAAGTCTATATTCTATTTTGATGGAACTTAAACATGGAGGCAAAATTATATATGTAAATTATCACTCAAAGCTAAGTTCATGTACCCAACTTAACTTTTGACACCACAAAATATAACATCATACAATAATGATAATAATGATAATAATAATAATAAAATCCTTGTAACTAGTTCATATGCACTTTAAAGCAATTTACTGTATCCATGGCAACCAGCAGTGATCGCGGACCCCATCACAACATCACAGTCTGGACCTGGACCTGGAGAATTATATATGATATTATTATTGTTATTATTTGTGAAATGCTTAGAGACTTGGTGGCTTCTGTGGCTGCTTCTGAAATGATTACAGAGGGAAGCAGACCTGAATGGTTCTGTATTTAAAACTGTCATCGAAACCAAGTGATTTCAACGTCACGGATCATGAGAGCGAGCGTGCTTTGTCTTTCCATTTGTGCAAAAATGCCTCGCACTGCTAAAATAATATGTAACAAAGTAAATACAGTTAAATGGTTGTGTACTGAAGGATTTGCAACGTGACAGTGGATTCAGGAGTAAAGAAACAAATGTATTAAGATCTAATAACAACAAGTAAATGGGAAAGGTCAAGATATTAGGACTGTACAATTAATCAAATCACAATTTTCATGATTTGCAAATCGCAAAAACCGCAATTATTTAAAGGTGTAGTAAGCAATTTTGTTAGCTTAGCCGGGATAAGTTTTCTTTTAACAAATAAATGAAAGGGGAGAAACCAAACAGAAACAAGCAAAATAAAACAATAAAAGTAGTGTATGAGGTAATTGCTTCACATGTGTACACTTTTACTCTGATGATTCTTGGTGGCAGTGGTTAGTGCTTGTGCCTCACAGCAAGAAAGTCCTGGGTTCCGTTCTCACGTATAGGGTTGTTCTCACTGTAGCTACACGTCCCCTGTACCTGTGATAATGTCTTCTCTCGTGTGTTGCAGGTGAAACGGTTTCGCTGGTGGACGTGGACATTTCTCGCAGAGGGACGAACACTCCGCACCCCCCCACTCCTCCCCCGCCCCCTCGACGCTCCCTCAGCCTCCTCGGTAAGAACATATCTCAGTGTGATAGAACGTTTTGTGTTTGTTTGTTTTGTTAGTTTAGATAAAGCACAAGTACAAAGCAATTTTAATTACAATGAACCCTCCTCAAAAAAAAAGAAGGAAAGAGATGTACATTCATAAAATTACAATGGGCCTCATTCACGAACGGTTCTTAGGAACAGATTTGTACGTAAATCCTACTTACGAGGTTTTTACGAAGAAAGTGGCATTCACGAATTTTTCTCGTAACCAGAATTTCTCTTGGGCAAGTACAAATCCTACGAGTCCTCAGGAGCACTCGTACGCATTCAGTGCCGACATGTTCACACGCCGGGGTTGTCCTCTTTGGTGAAGTTTAATAAAAATACAACATTCCAGTGATATGTCCGTCATATCGATGTATGTATTTATTTATTTGTAGTAATATTTATTAGTAATCTTTATTTATATACCGCCTTTTTCACTGCAGATCTGGCCTACTTTTTAATTCATTTTGAAATGAAATGTGCCAACGCTTTATCAAATACATTGGAAATCTTGCCGTGTATTAGTGACCCCTTCCTATTTATAGGGGGCATTTCTTTATCCACGGGCCACAGAACAACGGCATATATACTGCTGCTGCAGGAGGTTACTGGGTCCGCGCTGAGTCTCTGTGCTGGTCTCTCCTATGGATCTATACGGGTCTGCACTGGTCTCTCCCATGGATCTATACGGGTCTGCGCTGGTGTCTCCCATGGATCTATACGGGTCTGCACTGGTCTCTCCCATGGATCTATACGGTCTGCACTGGTCTCTCCCATGGATCTAGACGGGTCTGCACTGGTCTCTCCATACGGGTCCGTGCTGCATGCTCCTGGATCCATACGGGTCCGCGCTGGTCTCTCAAGTCTGGTCTATGCGGTCTCTCTTCGGTCCGCGCTGGTCTCTGCGCACCGGTCTCTCCAGTCAGGTCTCTCCAGTCTATGCGGTCTCTCCTGTCCGCGCTGGTTTCTGTGTGCTGGTCACTCCAGTCTCTCCTCGGGTCTGCATTGGTCTCAGCGCTGGTCCGCGCTGGATCTCCTCCCACGGTCCAAAATATTTTGAGATTAATCTCAAAACATTTTGAGATTCATCTTTAAAATAATACATAATATATTTTTAAATTAAGCTCATAACATTTTGAGATTAATCTCATCATATTCTTAGATTAATCTCATAATCTTGCTAGTTCGACTTTATTATCATAATATTTCGACTTTTAAGTCAACATTTTATAACTTTATTCTCAGTCTGGCAAAAGAAGAAAAAAGGGTGACTCTTTTGCTCCGTGTAACTCTTTGCTTTAGGCCTGTTGCTGTTTCCTCTGGCGTCTGCACACGGCCCTGCAGCCCCTTTTATGGGCATTAATGGGCGGTTACTTATGCTAAGTACCTATGCTAATGAAGCACCTGGCACGCGCGCTCTACTTACGAGGAAATGGGATTCATCAATCTGAGAGAACAGCTGCGAACAATTCAGCGGCTTACGAGTGCGTTGATGAATCCCACGTAGGGACTTCTTAGAAATCTACTTAAGGACAACTTGAGGAGAAATTTGAGAAGTTTCTTACGAAGTTATTTGTGAATGAGGCCCAATGATATTTGGAACTAAAGTAAAACAAATATTAAACACTAGAAGGAATTTGATTAGTAAGACTGACTGGCCTTCATTTTATGTTTTTTTATATATCTAACAAAGGAAAATTCATTTATTCAAGTAGGAGTGTGACGATATATCGCGATACTTTCTCCCGCGATTCGATTATCGATATGCATTTGCCAAATATCGATATCGATTTTGATATTGATTTTTTTATTTTTTATTTAAAAATTTGTATTAGTATCAATACTTAATATATGGCTACATTACGCATCTCCATTCCATTTATCATTAAATAAAGTGTATTTTTTCACTTACGGCATATGGTATATTTCTGACCAATATATCGATAATCGTCATATCGTGATAAAATTGTTATCGTGATATTATCGTTATCGTGAGCTTTGTATCGTGTACCGTATCGTGAGGTACCCTTAGGTTGCCACCCCTATATTCAAGACATAATATCAGGTATAGGTTTTGTTGACATCGATTAAATCATCAATGCCCATGTCTCTGCATTAACAACTAATCAATTACACAGTATTATAGTGTTGATGGACAATGCTAACACTCAAGCTAGTTCAAAGAAGCTCAATGGGGAAGTGCTCATGGACAAAGTTTTGCTGCTACTCGCTCTGGCTACTGTTGACTTGCATTGAAAATTAAACTCCTCTAGCTCAGTAACTGTTTGTGCCACACTCTCCATTTTGGGCTTAAAAAGTCTGTGGTTTAGGCTCTCTGTGATTCTGGTGTTTGTATTTTGATACCCCTTCGTTTGCATGAGGGCTACATATGTCTTTACCCTGATCACTCATGTGTGATAGCTGTTCCCTTTTATCTTGGCTTAGATATAATGCACAGTTTAATACGTTTGCCATTAACTTTACCTGCATTTGTTTTTGTCAATTCAATGTATTCTTGTATAGCCTTATCTCAGAGGACTTTACAAAAACCGTTGAATTTGCCGACACAGTACTGAGAATCAAACAGTTATAACACAAGAAATGCAACACAGAGACTTTGGTTCATAAAGGGCGGAGACCAATGTCCATAAATGTCTATAAGTGTCGTTTAATGTCGAGTTTCCTGGATCATCACCAGCTAAAGCACAGAACCAATCAAAACAGCCACCGACAGAACAACAGAACACCCATGTTATCGGGCCCTGGACAATTCTGGTGAACTAAAGTGGCCCTCTAACTCAAACACTTGGCCCCCCCTGGCCCAGACTCCCCAGAACACCGCGTTTTAATTACATTTATAGACAATGGTTTTACGTGGCACCAAAAAAGCAGCTTGAAAAGAGTGTGATGCAATATAGACTTAAACTTACAAAACCTTCTGTGGCTGAAGCTCGAGGCAGAATGTTCCGGTGAGTAACGTCTAAATTAATAAAAGGGCTGGAGTTGGCCCCAGGTTTTAGAGAAATATAAAATGATGTACTTTATAATATCTCCTTTGGTTTAGACCTTTGCAATTATACTTTAGTGTTTTAATTATTTCAGACTTGTTGAAGATGTTGTTTGAATGGGATTGGATTTTTCAGAGTCAACTCATTTCCGTGGTGCCAGGATTAAAAAAAAAATAGTTCATTTTAAGATTTAGAGAAGCTTGATTAGCCCCACAATGAGGACATTTCAGTGTTGCACCAGTTACAGGACAGTAGGAATGGGGAGCACACAAGAAGTGACCAATAACTTTGTACTCCTGTGTTTAGTAAAGATAAAAAATATGATGCTAGAATACAATAAACATGAAATAAAAATGTGTTTCAGTTCAATATGAGACTTCTACATTTCCTGTTTCTGTTAGGCTGCGGTCACATGCACGGTTAAAGTGTGCCTGGGCCCACTTTGCGATTAGATCCGGGCTTTAGGTGCTATGTGACCGCGGCAACTGTGCTTGGACACGGTTGAGAGAGGTGGGCCAGAGCACGGTTGTGTAGTGGGGACTTGATATTGTGCGTCACGTCTTCTGTTGTGACACGCATTTTCACACACGTCTCTGCACATGTTACCCACTGAACTGCTGCACTTTGCATCAGAGCAATGTGGACAAGTGTGAGATGTGTCTTTCCTTAAACAACGACAGAGCGTAAACGGGAAGAGAAACGGAAACTTAACTCGGACAATGAGGTCGTCGCTGGAGTTAGTATTAGCGCCACCAGCTGGACCGAGCGTTGTACTACAGCACAGTTGCTCTGGCACGTTTGCAATAACAAGCTAATGTGACCGCGGGCCGTCTTCACACCCCTGTGATGACGATCCGGGCCACTTTGCCCAGTTTGTTTGTAAAAACCTATGTGACCGTGCCCTATGAATACTATTAACAACTCACGGTATTGCGTCAGAGGAGAAAACAGAAGTGCTATACCTCCTCTGGTTTAGACCTTTTGCTATTTTATAATTCCATATTTTAATTATTTGAAACTTGTATAAGATGTTGTGATTGAATGTTCAGAGTAAAATTCCTTTCGTACCAGAATTTAAAAAAACATACGTTTAATTTTTTCTATTCAATATGAGACTTCTACATTTCCTGTTTCTTTATTACATCTGACTATTACGTAACATTCCATTAAATTCTCTCAATATTGCGTCAAAGCATAAAACGGAAGCAGTTTTTCCTGCTGAAAAGAGAAGTGAGTTTTCTCAGTAGTTTTGAACGATACTCGACAAACAAGTATCTGTCATTCTGCTGTTTTCCATTGAGAGAATGTTGGAGTGGAGGTAATGGAGACTTTTCTACAATCACTCACTTCTAATATAGCAGTTATAAATAATTTTCTTATTTGTCCTTTTAAAGCTGGGATACCTAACTTTTTGTTTGTTTCATGTATGCGTTTTGTTTGCCGTATTGTAAAAAACTGGAAAACGTTTTGTCTTTTGTGTACTGAGAGCTGATTGGCTGCGTGTGGTTGTCCTCTTAATCACTTTTCTGTCTGAAAAAGTGGATCTAAAGATGTGACAGAGGACGAAAACACACAGATGTGAAAACTAGTGATAGAACCAAACCGTTTTGAGACCGAGGAACTAGTTACAACCTGATTTTTGTGCTTTCAAAGTTTAAAACTAAATAAAGAACAATCGGTGCAATAGGAGGAATAGCATTGAAACAAACTGCACTGTAATCGTAGTTTCTCTTGTTTGAACTATAATAATACATTACGGCTGCCCTGGGGCACTCTGACAATAGTGAGGCAACCAGTCAAGATAAGATGGACTTTATTGATCTCACACAGGAGAAATGTACATGTCACATCTGCCATGGATAAAAACACTCAGATTTGTGCAAAAGACAGAAGTGTGCAACATGTTAAAGGCAAAAAATATAGTCTGTGCAGGATATAATATGTACAATAAAACGTGGCAATTAAAGACACAGTGGCAATAGTAGTGCAGGTTTTTAGTCAATGCCTCGTGTGATGTAGCCTGGCCTTAGCATCCGTACACTCCGCTCGATATATTATGTAACGTCTGGGTCTGGTCCTGTGTTTGCGATTACAATTGGTTGAATTCCATCCGACCAATCAGCGAGCGCGGGAGGCGGGTGTTGTAGTTAGTTGTGGGTGACGTCAAGAGTTTGTGTCGAACGGGCAGGTTGTAGTTTGGCAATGGCGAAAAATGTGATAGTAAATAAAATGTTGGCGTTACTCCCCACGGGCTCCGTTAGCGGCAAAGAAGATGGCAAGGCTAAATGCTAAATGCTAAGGACTCACTCGGGCGCATTACAAATGTCACGGTAAACTCAGATCCAATCTTTTCAATCTGCAAAAGGAGTTGACCCCTCCCACCTGTTAACAGAGCTCAATGGAGCACCTCCAGACCTTAGTACGAAATGTAATGTGTACTATGGTGTGGTACGACCAGGTTACGTGTGATGGTCCTCAGAGGAACTGTGAGAGCATTTAGGACAGCAGAAGCTTATATGACAAAGTGACAAAAATGCACTTTTAATGATGTTATTTTAACCTCTCATAGAAACACACACCTTTGTCTAAAAAGTTGAAAGTCAAGTAATTCTTAATTCAAAATAGTCTGATATATTTATGTTTTTTTTCAAGCAGATTATCCAAATAGGGACCAGAATTCTCATTTGTGTTGTCAGTTTGTTGGAGACAAAACCAGCAACATTTCACCTCTTTTTTTAAGCTTATTATATATTACTAGATTGTTATATACAACTAAGAAAATACACACGTTTAAAAGATAGCACCACACATGTAACTATTAGTTCCTATTTTGTACCTGGTGGTTTTGTTTTTCACCCATATAGTGCATATTACATACAGTCCCTTTAAATCACATATTGTAGAAATATTTGAAATTGGGCTAAAAGAAACTGTATAGTAAGATGTTATATGACAAAGTTACAAAAATTCACTTTTAATGATGCTATTTTTACCCCTCATAGTAACGTGCAGCTTTGTCTTTCTGAGTAGTAGCAGATTATTTTTAAACTATTGTAAGTCCAAAACTGCTGAGTGAGTTTTTCTAGCTCAGGCTTCAAGACATTAGTTATTTTCTGACCCATATAACTCCACAGCGCCCCCCACAGACGTGATTTATTACTGCCACTGCTCGAAGTGCAAACTCAGGAGCATGTAGTTTTGGCACATTTAGAGCATATCTATATTTAAGACCGGACTCAAAATCTTGTCTAGTTTTAACTTATATATAAAGTTTATTTAGTTACTTCCTGGTTGAGGATGTGCTGATGTAGTGACATAGATAGAGGTAGTTACCATAGTGACCAAAAAGTAAACAATACATATAGTAGAACGTTTGTTTTGTTGAATTTTTGTTTTAACTATGAAATAAATTTCCATGCGCTGATTGTTTATTCATTAGATGACATTTAATTCATTGCATGTGTGTGCGTCTCTGTGCAAGTGTGAGTGCGTGTGCATTCGTGAGTGTGTGTGTGTGTCTCTGGGCATGTGTGCGTGGCTCTGTGAGTGTGCGTGGCTCTGTGCATGTATGTGTGTCTTTGTGCATGTGTGAGTGTGTGTGTGTCTCTGTGCATGTGTGAGTGTGTGTGTGTCTCTGTGCATGTGTGAGTGTGTGTCTGTGAGTGTGTGAGTGTGTGTCTGTGAGTGTGCGTGTCTCTGCATCTATGTGTGTCTTTGTGCATGTGTGAGTGTGTGTGTGAGTGTGTGTGTGTGTGTGAGTGTGTGTGTGTCTCTGTGCATGTGTGAGTGTGTGTGTGTGAGTGTGCGTGTCTCTGCATGTATGTGTGTCTTTGTGCATGTGTGAGTGTGTGTGAGTGTGTGTCTGTGAGTGTGCGTGTCTCTGCATGTATGTGTGTCTTTGTGCATGTGTGAGTGTGTGTCTGTGAGTGTGTGTGCCTCTGTGCATGTGTGAGGGTGTGTCTGTGAGTGTGTGTGTGTCTCTATGCATGTATGTGTGTTTCTGTGCATGTGTGAGTGCGTGTGTTTTCATGTGTGTGTGTGTGTGTCTCTGGATGTGTTTGTGCGTGTATGTCTCTGTGCATGTGTGAGTGCGTGTGTGTGTCTCTATGCATGTGTGTGTGTGGGTGTGTGTCTCTGTGCATGTGTGAGTGTGTGTACATGTGTGTGTCTCTGGGCATGTGTGAAGGCGTGTCTGTGTGAGTGTGTGTGTCTCTGTGCATGTGAGTGTGAGTGCGTGTCTGTGAGTGTGTGTCTCTCTCTATGCATGTATGTGTGTCTCTGTGCATGTGTGAGTGTGCATGTGTGAGTGTGTGTCTGTGAGTGTGCATGTGTGAGTGTGTGTCTGTGAGTGTGTGTGTCCCTCTGCATGTGTGTGTGTGTGTACGTGTGTGTGTGTGTGTGTGTGTGTCATTGTGTCTTTCCATTTGTGTACATCTTGTGTCATGTACAGCATAGTCAGAAAACATTTATTTTTTATTTTTTTATCCTTTTCCCCCTCTGTGTTAGCAGTAAAAAGAATAGATAAAACCTGAATAATAATAGCGCAAAAGTATAGAAGTATAAATTAAAAGAACACCAAACACCTCACAAAAGCCAAAAAATCATACGTTAAGTGTGACCCAAACAATTACTGAGCTAGAGGATCTTACCATTCAATGTACGTCAATAGGAAACAGAGCAAGATGGAGCAAAAGTTTCGTCCATGAGCACTTCCCCGTTTGGCTTCATGGAGCTAGCGGGTTAGCATTGTCCATCTGTGTACGGCCTACGTGCTAAACACAATATTCAGATGGTGTGCATTGAGTGAATCAATTACTCGGGTGAAAATCTGGTGCAGCCTTTTAAAAAAACACGTAAACTCGGTTTGGCGCCACCCTCAGGCATCTGGTGGATCTGCATGTTGTTCCTTTCCTTCCTCAATCCACGAAAACTAATCCTAATCCTCATCCTTTCTGTTTTTTGTCCGTTTCCTGCTTTCTTTTCCTCTGTCCTCCTGTGTGACCACCTCCTCCTCCTCCTCCTCCTCCACCTCCTCCTGCCTCCGGCCGTGGGCTCAGATGATTTCGCGGGTGCCGTCCCGGTGCAGCGCGGCCCCTTCGTGCTCAGTGTGATGGGGGCCTCTCTCCAGTCCCTCCCCCTGCCTCCCCCTCCTCCTCCCTCCCTCTCCATCCACCACAGCCTCAGCCTCAACGGTAAGCAGCAGCAAAGGCGTGTGGTGGCCAAGTCAAGTTATGGGCTGGGGGACCGCACTTTCAAACCACACAATATGGAACAAAATGGAATAAAAACAACAGAAAGTTATTTATTTTAGAAATTTGTTTTTTTTTAAAGAGCTGTTTGGGATGAGAACTGATTGGCTGAGTGAGGGTGCAGCTCCTCATTATTATTTATTCATGTGTAGAATATTATAGAAAAAATAATAAGCATTGTTGTGGTTTAAAATTTTCCCCAGCTTTTATGTTTAAAACTCTATTTGTGTGTGCAGGCTATTTATGTGTACGCAATCAAACGCTTTAGCATTTATAGCCGAGGCTAATTTGCCAAATGTCCACCCCTAAATATTATTAATGTTGATTGTGATTCTTGTATTTGTTGCAGACGCGTTCCTCCGGGCGCTTCCTCTCTCCGCCCCCTCTGCGGCCGAAGCTCCGCCTCCTCGACAAGCCCCGCCCTCTGTGCTCTGTGCCCTGAGGAGATCTGAGGCTAGCAACTTCGCCGCCAGTTTACGGGAGCTCGAAAAGGTCTGGGCTGCTGATACTACTAATACTAATACTAATACTACTGATACTGCTACTACTAATACTACTGATACTGCTACTACTAATATTACTGATACTACTACTACTACTAATACTACTGATACTACTACTACTAATATTACTGATACTACTGCCACCGCTACTACTGCTACTACTAGTACTCCTACTTTACTCATTTGTCACTGATAAAATGTAGTGTATGTATATGGTTCAGTCATGCTTTTTAGTATTGTGGGGTATTAAGATGAAGAGATCCTTTATTTATCCCACAGTGGGGGAAATGTCAGTGTTGCATCACCAATTACAGAACAGTAGGAATGAGGAGCACACAGCAAAAGATAAATGAACAATAGCTTGATGCTACATTGAAATAAAATCTCTAACTTTAGCATGATAAAGAAAAAAACACATGGCTTCTTCTGTCACGAGGTGAAAAATAAGGAAGATCCAAAATGCAGAACTGCGAAAATACAAGATTTGTTCAACAAAAATAACAAAAATCAGACAAAACAGGGACAAAAATCTTGAATCTTGAAATTGTCAATTAATCTTGAATCTTGAAAACACAATGGACCAACAACAAGAGCAGGGCTTAAATACACACAGGTAAAAGACTTTAGGTTGGGGCAGGCAATAAACTGAACAGACATGAAGTACAACACACTTGTTCTGTCACGAGGGCAGAACAAAAACAGTACTTCCAAAAAATAATAGTTAATAAACAAAACTTAAATTCCAGGATATAACAAAACTTCATAATCAAACCATAAAGAAACAGGGACAAGATTACAATGGACCGACAACGAGAGGAGATGAGCACAGGGTTTAAATACACACAGGGAGAAACACCGAGATATGGGTAATTAACTGGATGGGGCAAAAACACAAATTAACCTTTAGATCAAAATAAAACCCTCACCCGCCTCTGGTCTATAAGAACTACTCCCAGTTTCATGTTATTGATACTCTTGTAAATGTGAAAGCACCAACAGCTGAAAGAGGCGCGTTTGATCCAGGGCAGAATATGGAAATACAGAGGAGGCCGCAAGACATGGGTTTCAATGTTGTTAATAATTTATCTGGAGCATTTACCATTAATAAGGATTTGAATCTCAATGAAACTGCTTTGACTTCAGATGTATCATTGCGCCCGTTATTGACAAAATGGTTCTAGGAATAGTTGTAGATCCAGGACTGAGGCTGTAGATCCAGGACTGAGGCTGTAGATCCAGGGGCTGAGGCTGTAGATCCAGGGGCTGAGGCTGTAGATCCAGGGGCTGAGGCTGTAGATCCAGGGGCTGAGGCTGTAGATCCAGGGGCTGAGGCTGTAGATCCAGGGGCTGAGGCTGTAGATCCAGGGCTGAGGCTGTGGATCCAGGACTGAGGCTGTAGATCCTTGCTTAAAAAAACAAGATAAAAAAATCACACACAAAGCATTGAAATCTTAAATAATCACGGTACATTAAAAAGAGTGAAGATAAAATCCCTTCGATAGAGAATAAAAAATTAAATTAATTTAACTACTGTAGAGAAGAAGCTTGTATTTTGAGTTTTTTATGTTATTAATCTATTTACAGTAATTTTTCACTACACAGATAACCACACACACACACACACACACACACACACACAGCTGTTTCCAAAATGTCTCTCTCCCTGTCCTGACGTGTGTGTGTGTGTGTGTGTGTGTGTGTGTGTTGCAGTGCGGCTGGTACTGGGGCCCGATGAACTGGGGCGACGCAGAGATGAAGCTGAAGGGGAAACCGGACGGCTCGTTTCTGGTCCGGGACAGTTCGGACCCACGATACATCCTCAGTCTGAGCTTCAGGTCTCAGGGCGTCACTCACCACACGCGCATGGAGCACTACAGAGGTGAGACGGCTTCACCACCGAAGAGGAAATGTATTAGTATCAAACCCCAAGACAATTAAAACAGTAGCACTTATGAGCTCAACTTGAACGTATTAGTTTTCTTGATAAGAGTAGACAGGGCTGGAGTGCTTCTAGGATGAAAAAAGAAAGTAAGGAAAAATCCTTGTTCCTTTTATCTTCCTATCCATGCTTTTATTCATTCATTTCAATGTATTTGTACAGCACTAAATCACAACATTGTCTCAGAGGTCTTTTCAAAGTTGTTGGTTTGCCAATAACAGATCAGAGAATCAAACCGTTTAAACACAAGGAACAGGAGCCATTGGTCCATAGGCAGCAGGATGAGCAATGTCAATAGTAATAATGTTAAATGTCCATTAATGTCCCATGATTGTCAATGGATCCTTTGCTACACTGATTGTGGGTCTGAAATATCTGTACGTTGCTTTCTCAGAATTCATTTAAAAAAAAGAACCAAACAGAATAGTCTTGATTTAGTGTTTTGAAGCCGCGTTCGTGCTAAAGTGCTCGGTTTGGTGCTAGTCTAGTCCTGGCCTAACTATGACCTGTGATGCCATTGATGGTTGATTCTACAGTGTTGCTCAGGCATTTTGGCTCGAATGAAAACATCAGCTGTTTGCTAGGAAGGAGCAGACCATAGCACCACCGCACATTTTAAGAATATTGATAAGGAAAAACAACTCCATTGATTTCTTCTTTAGCTGCAGCTCACAAAGCGGGCCCCAAATTGGTTTTGTCGGCTGCAGATGTGTAAAACAGGAGTGTAGGAATGAGGAAAGATGTGTTTGTTTGTCCAATATAAGGCTAAACTACAATCTGATAAGTCTATTTTGTACCGTTAGCATTTGTTTAGCTTTGAAAAGTTAATATAATTCAAAAATGCTTATCTCATCTACAGAAGCATTTATACTGTAGTAGACTATGAGTGATGTCCGAAATTCTTCTACAGAGTTTGCTTTATCACAGACGAAGCCACTGAGAGCCAACTTAAGTAGGCTACATTGGGTTGGAATCTGGAGCCAAATTTTTCGATAGCAACAGCCTAGCAACCAAAGAGCCAATCAGGAGTGGTCTCTCTGTTTCCACTCACAGCACTCGCTAGCAAAGGCAGAATTCAGGCACAGAAGGCACCTGATTGGCTTTTACCCTCAGGACGACGCTATAGGGCTCTTGGGTGTAGAACAAAACGGCTGGGAACGGCATTTATTCCAACAGCTGTGAAGCACCTTAATAGCACATTGCACTTGAACAAACTTTTGCACTTTACAGCATATTTGCACTGAAATTGGCTTTGTGACAATCTCTCTTGTTTTTGTTTTTCTTCAATATTGTGATTTTACTGTAGCTGCCTGTTTTTACATGATTGCTGCTGCAAAACCAATTCCCCCAGTGGGACAATAAAGATAACTTAAACTTGGTTAGATTTTAGGGCTTAAATCTGGATTCATAAAGACATTATTAGACTTAGACAGACTTTATTGATCCACAAGGGTAAACTGCGCTGTCACAGTAGCTTGCATAGTTTTCCACAATAAAATAGAAACTCCAGGATCATGTAGAGTTAAACCACTTTATTTTATCAATGCAAGTGAATGGAGCACTTTCCGATCAGGCTTCACAGAGCTAGCTATGTTAGCATTGTCCATCTATTGAAGTCAATAATTCCCTTTGACTGACGTATCCAAAATCGATGCAAGAGCGAGACAAGAGATCTTCACGTTTAACATCTGCATTTAATTATCTTTACAATCAGATACAGAATATTCAACAAAAAGTGCTCCTAAAACTAATATGTCCCTTTCTCTGGCCCTCGGTTGATCCTTCTGACTCTTCCCAAGCCAGAGCATTCAGTCGATGTTCAGGGAGCAGGGGGCGTGTCGTATCAGGCAGGACTTGGGCCCAACCTCTTCCATCATTTCCCCTCTGTCTGCCGTACCTTAAACAGAATCATTCACACACACACTACCACTCCCCAAATTTATTACTTCTTTGAGATAAGGCAGAAGGCTCTCTGGGTCCCCCTCCTTCTTCAGGATTAGGAGAATCCCCCCCCAGATTACCTATCATTAACTCACCCATGCACTTTGGACTAACAAAGGAACATGGGGAAACCAGGTCTTTTTGCTTTAGGAAAAGACAGTTCAAATCAGGGTCAGCCAATATTCACATCTGCATAGTTAAAATATACAACAGTTTTCCCTCTTTTGACCTGATTAAAAAATTAGGTCACAATCCACATTGTCGTTTATCATCAATACTTGTGCTTAGTTCCGGCTTGATATCTGTGAAGAGTTAATACAGAAAGAATACAACACACAACCACATTCGAAACATTCCTTCACAAAACTCTTTGATGACCACCGCTGTGTCATTCTGATTCTTCATCATTAATCAAATTGGTATTATCCTTACAGGAGCTAATCTATTTTAGCAGGTTTCTCTGGGGTCAGTCCCTATACAACGGTATTTTGATTCTCTAACCTGTTGCTGACAAATCGACAGCTCTTAAAATTCTCAAAACTACCTAAAGATCTACTTTTGTGCTATACCCAAATACATTAAAATGCTTTCAAATGTTCTTGAATCTGTGTTGGTTCTAATCGATCTCATTAATCTATCTCATTAGCTTTTTGCATTGTCAACATTCACCCATGTTTGAAACAAGTGAATTTGACAGTATCTAATAAAACTGTGCATAAACTGTAATGAACTTTATCTACCTTTGAAGTAAATACTCTTGGACATAATATGAAGGAAATGGTCTTTTTACCGTTTGATATTAGCCCTGTCTAAAAATAATCTCTATTTTTGAAAGCATCTATCTATTTTACACTCTATTGTGACTCTAAAACTCGGTTGCAGCTTGAGCAAAGGCATATTCCCAATTTTTGAGTTCTGATTGTAACAATTGCATTGGCAATAGACGATTTTTTATTGGCCGGTTCTTGTTCTGCAAATCATTATTCTATGTATTGTATTTCAGACAATTCCAAAAACAACACAGTCGTTCTCCAATATTAAAGACATACATCTAAATCAAGTTGCCTGAAAGGGATTTTAACTATTTTAAAACGTTCTCTACGATTATAAGGCTATGAAATTAATTATTTAATAAACAAAAGCACATTCATGGCTTCTGTCCGCTGCTTATAACTGTTTAAAGAGTTGTCCCAAACTTAATATGTGTAAATACATCAGCTGTTTGTAATAAACAATAACATTTAACCTGTTCTCCAATGGAGCAGCTCAGAGGCTGCGTCAAGAGCAATGTTATATTTGAGCTATTTTTAGATTTAAAATTGTGTTAAAGCCTGTCGTTCTATGTCTGCATTTTAATACTACTCTCTATAAACACCTCTGCACCAGTTCCTACAGATGTGGAAAACAGAAAACATCTAAAATCTGACTCCATTTGATTCCTTTTTACTTTAGTTATTAGAACAATTTGACCTTATTGATACTTATTTCCACAATAGAACTATTTTGATTATTCACTAGTCTAACTATTATTACTATTGTTTATTCTGACACCTCTTCCTAGCGACCTTTCAACCTATAGCTCCTCGAATCCAATGACATTATAGCTCCAGACTATTTCATTCTATTCTATTATTGTATGATCTATTATCTTAAAGAGTAGATCTGTTTGATGTTATAAGCGCTATTATTTCTCCTTTTAAATTTGCACAACACTAAATTTAGAATGACCCCCTATGGGACAAATATAGAATTTTATTTCATTTTGGCAACTCCGAAAATTACTTAATAATTTTCCCATTTTGCTTTTTTAGGCTGCCCTTTCTATTATTTATTTGTTCTTGTAAATATATGTTTTACACTTCTTTCTAATGATTTAGAAGGTTAAGGACCATGACCACCTATGACAATACAATACTCCCCTCTGTTGGTCGTGGTCCAAAGTATAAAACATGCATCTGTGTGTGTGTAGATTACTGTTCCAATCCTGTTGTTCCTCCCGGATCGTCCTCAATTCATATTGTGGGCTTTGGTGCCAAAGTAGAGGCTCATTTCCTTAATTCATACTACTGTCATCCCTGAAGCAGGTGCAGTTTATCTTTCATCTGAAAAAGAAACATTAGAACACAAGAAACGCCCACTTCCCTCTCTTCGCATGGTGCAGCCTGTCAATCAATCTAATTGGGCAAAACATAACTGCATTGACAGACGGTGTGTGGCATCAGGGCAGAGGCTGTAGCCAAATACAGACTTAACAATATGTATGTTTCTAATTTTATACTCCCCTAAATGTGAATTACAAACCAAAGTTGTCCTCCGCCCAATGACCGCTCACTGCGGTTGGACCGAATCCCTGTCCGGGCAAACAGCAGAGGGGGGGCTCCCAGTACCTTCAGCAAGGTATTTCATCTCAGAGTACTTTCCGCAGAGTACTTTTCTCAGAGTACTCATCCCAGAGTACTCTCACTTTTACACCTGTTCAATAAAGCTTGTCATCTTTGAATCTCTAGTACTTACACCGTATGCTGTTGACAAAAAATAATTATTCCATGATCACATTAAAACATTACAGAAAACTTTTGTTATTCCATGATTCCGTTCAGCACTCCTCGTTCACTCCTCATTTCACATCACACTCACATCCCACTCACACAGGCCGACGTTAGTATTGGTCCAGTTTGTTAAGGTCAACGTAGTGTATTGGACATGACGCACAAACATATAACATACACAAACATATAGACAACACAAGAGGCCTGTAATTTTAACTTTGTTATATTTTTCCATGTCCAATTACAATTGTCTCATGAGCTATTTTATAGTTGCAACTTTCAGAGCCTGCAGAACATGCAAAGCTTTGAGAGATTTTTCCTAAAAGGATCCATTTCAAACTTTAGTGTTTAAACCACGTGGTCTTTACTCGGGCTTGTCACAAACTGTGTCCCCTATATTTTTAATGAGCTCTTGTTACTAAAAAAAAAACTCATGCACGTGCAATAAATGTTTTTCCCTTTTTTTTTTAAAGCCAGTTCGGATTCCTTAAAAATGTAAATTAGTTTCAAACTTTAATACTTCACCTTTGTTTCACGTTCATGTGGAGAAAAGACCATTGTTTTATGTGTGTGTACTTGCGCCAATCATGTCTCAGATAAACTGCCAACAGTTATATCAAAGACATAATTGTCCTAATTGTTTCTAATTTAGCTATTTGGAAGAGAAACATGTCATAAAAGATTTCATAAAATGTCCCTACATCTTTGTTTTCAACCAATGAACAGTGTTGCGTCTATGTGTTATCAGAAATGATCCAATATCACCTTTAGCCAAAATTCAGAAATGCTTTAAATCATTTTTCAAACTTTAATTGTCTGAACAAACCATTTTGTACTAAATGCAACGTCCATTAAAAGCTGCAGTTCTCTTTCTAGCACCAGTTTCATCTGTGCATGTGATTGTTCTTAAATGAGAAACGAGCCACGGTTCAGAGGTTGAAAACACTGCTTTAAATATCCGTATTACCAAGATCATGCAGTTAAAATCAATAATTCTAAACTTCTCCGCGTCTATAACTTTAAATAATACTAGTTTCAATAATAGAGCTCCTCTACTTTAAATATACTGCTGTTCTAATCTCCTTGTGTCTCATGCTAAAGCAAGAGTCTAATTAATTTTAACGATTGTCCTGTATTCTTTCATGCAGCTAAATGTGGTGTTATGAACGAATGACCTAGCTAAATGTGTAAATATGACTTAATATGTCTCTGTGCGTTTGTTGCCTGTCTGTATATTTACCTTCTGTGTGTCTCATTTAGGCCAGCCACGTCTCAAATGTCCGTTAATGTCTTTCTTTTACTCATGGCGTCTTTCAATGTCTTTTGTCTCATAGTGTCCAATGTCTTTGTCTCCATGTCTTTTTTCTTCTTCTTTCAACAATCACTTTCTTTCTTCTTCCGATAACTCTTTCTCACAATGTCTTTCTTCTTCTTTCAACAATCACTTTCTTTCTTCTTCCGATAACTTTTCCTCATAATGTCTTTCTTCTTCTTTCATATCTGACGCACCCAAATGTGTCGTGTCCTTCTTCTTCTTGTTTGGTTTTCCGGCGGTTGGCGGCCTATTCTTCGCATTACCGCCACCTTCTGTTTCGTGGATGGGACAACACTCAGTTTGTGAAAAAGTCTGCGGTCTTTTCTTTGCCTCCTCACAGGCAGGAGAAGTCTTCTTCGAGAGTTCCTGTTAGCTGCTGCAGCCGATGCTGCCCCCTGCGACCCGCAGGGAGAGGGGGAGACGCTGATGATGATGATGATGCTCGGTTGTGGTTTGTGGCAGGGACGATTTTTGGCCAAATGAAACAGACAGAAGTTTTCTCGGAAAAAACAGACAAACAAGAAACACAAACAAGTGTGTTAATTACCATACCAAACCAATGATTAATTACAATTCAAAATAAACCTATGAAATAATTACTATTAACATTTTAAACATTAAATTCTGAAAACCAAATCTGCATTCAACTACTATCCTAAGCCCTATTTTTCCAAAAGTATAATGCTCTCTAAGATCATTCTAACTTTTATATCACCAAAATGTAGGGAAAAAAAACTTGTCTAGACGCCTTGGAGATAAAAAAAAAAAAAATAATGCCTCTTTATAATCTAACTCAAAGTTCTGTGATCCTATGACTCCATGTCAGTAACATTATCGTGTGTATAAATGTAATTTTCTACAAAAAATTCTTTCTTCACGAGAGAGAGAGAGAGAGAGAGAGAGAGAGGGGAGAGAGAGAGGACAGAACGAGGGAGGGGAGGGGCCTCCCGAACAAAGGAAGCATGGAGTCAAATACTTTTCTCGTTTTTCTCGTGACAAGGTTCTAAATCAGTGGTAAAAGTTTTTCTCACGTCAAACGACACTTTACATTTTATCCTTAAATACGTCAGTAATGGAAAACATTACTATTTGCTACCTGATTAATGTATCGAGGGTTCCAGCAGAATCTTTTTTTTTTTTTTTTTTCCCTGATTCGCTGTAACTATCGAAACATTACATCAGAATACAAGAGAAAAACTCCCAGACTGATCTTTTGTCATTTCTTCACATGAAACTCGTATACTACAGCCAAGAGGCTCTCTTTTTCCTCATTAATCAGATCATTATTATCAGAATCCACATTTTAAATACTTGGCTTTTCTTCTGTTTAAATTAATTGTGCCCTTTTCCCCACCCCCGGGGGATATGGAGTTTTTATTATCCTATAACTTCTGACCCTAACTATCCCTATCTCTCTAATTCTATTCCTATTTTTTCACTAATTCCCTTGTGCCTCTCTGCACGAAGGTGTGCCTCTTTTGCACTTATAAATCCTGTGGCTCTTTTCATCATCTGTTCTGTTTTCTTTGGAGGGACCCATGCTTCCCCCAAGGTTAAAACGTCTAAACCTGACTATTGTTCTATCGCGTCCGATAGAACGCCCCGTCACGGCGGTCGCCTGGCCACGCTGCAATCTGTCGAGCCAAAATCTCTCTCTCTTCTATTTAAAACAATGTGCAGATTTCCAAAACTGTGATCCGCTTACCTTAGAAGCGACCTTTTTGAAGAGCAGAGAGATTTTTCCAAACCCACAAATCCAGTCTCTATAACTGAGCTCATCTCTGTCCCGCTCCTGCCCCGATCACGTCAGGGTCACCAAAATGAAGTCAATAATTCCCTTTGACTGACGTATCCAAAATCGATGCAAGAGCGAGACAAGAGATCTTCACGTTTAACATCTGCATTTAATTATCTTTACAATCAGATACAGAATATTCAACAAAAAGTGCTCCTAAAACTAATATGTCCCTTTCTCTGGCCCTCGGTTGATCCTTCTGACTCTTCCCAAGCCAGAGCATTCAGTCGATGTTCAGGGAGCAGGGGGCGTGTCGTATCAGGCAGGACTTGGGCCCAACCTCTTCCATCATTTCCCCTCTGTCTGCCGTACCTTAAACAGAATCATTCACACACACTACCACTCCCCAAATTTATTACTTCTTTGAGATAAGGCAGAAGGCTCTCTGGGTCCCCCTCCTTCTTCAGGATTAGGAGAATCCCCCCCCAGATTACCTATCATTAACTCACCCATGCACTTTGGACTAACAAAGGAACATGGGGAAACCAGGTCTTTTTGCTTTAGGAAAAGACAGTTCAAATCAGGGTCAGCCAATATTCACATCTGCATAGTTAAAATATACAACACTATCAACAGTCTATGGTTGCCCTCCCTGATTCAAATTCATATATATATATTTTTTAATCTCTAAATCACAAAAGTAGTTTATCTCGGAGGACGTTGAAATCACCAAAACACAGATCGGCAAGAAAAAGAACAAAAAAAACAGTGGGAATATCTACTAATACATCTTCTATCAAGAAATATTATTCATAATACAATACAATACAGACAATAATGGTGTCTATGGTGATCTCAGCCTCACAAACTAAACGGTTCTATTAAAGGCATTAGTTATTCCAAACAACAGTAGTTTTATGATGTATTATTATAATAATATTAATACTTCCGTCTGCTTGTTTGTGCCTCGCGACCGTTGCTTCTGTCGGCGAAGTGTTTTGGCTGTAATGGTCCATAGAGTCATGCCTAGAAACACATTCATTATTCAGACGGGCACTGAAATGACACTCAGATGAACGCTTGAACGCACCGCGGCCCAGATTCAGGACAGGCTTTTAGATTCATCCCCTAGAGACCCGGACACACATGGTCCTGCTGTCTGGAAACAAACAAAAGCTATAATCTTTCACTGTTTTTAAGATTTGGGATAATTATTATTTGAGTTCGTCATGTCAGGTTTATTTACGGTAAAGCCCAGTTTGTTATTTTTATATATATATTGTGTGTTAAAGATGTTTTTTTTTTTTAATTTGAGGCCATTGTGATTTGATAGCTCTGGTCTCTCTCTCTGGTCTCTCTCTCTGGTCTCTCTCTCTGGTCTCTCTCTCTGGTCTCTCTCTGGTCTTTCTCTGGTCTCTCTCTCTGGTCTCTCTCTGGTTTCTCTCTGCTCCCTATTGTTTCTCTCTGGTCTCTCTCTGGTCTCCCTCTGTTCTCCCTCTGGTTTCTCTCTGCTCTCTGTGTTCTCTCTGTGGTCTCTGTGGTCTCTCTGGTCTCCCTCTGGTCTCCCTCTGGTTTTTCTATGGTTTCTCTCTGCTCTCTAGTCTCTCTCTGGTCTCCCTCTGGTTTCTCTCTGGTTTTTCTCTGGTTTCTCTCTGCTCTCTGTGATCTCTCTCTGGTCTCCCTCTGGTCTCTCTCTGGTTTCCCTCTGGTCTATCTCTGGTCTCCCTCTGGTTTCTCTCTGCTCTCTGTGGTCTCTCTCTGGTCTCTGGCCTGCTAAGTCTTGGTGTCAGCCAGTGTTGAACCAATACAAAGACCCCCTGTACTTTAAGTCTCTCACGTGTATTTTAAGTTTCTTACGTTATCAATCAAAAAAACAGTAATTTTCCACTATATTCTCCTCAGAGCCCCAGCAAGAGGCCGGTCCCTAGCATTTGAAAGCCTTTCAACAAAAAAGCCGCATTTCACATTCACCAGTTTTAGCCCTTATTAAAAGCATGTAAAGGTAAAAAGAAAAAAAAAAAACAATACAATTATGTATTTAAAACTAGTATAAAAATCCCATTGCTTTGACAGTCCTACAACACGACGTCCATACAAATGGTAGTAACACATTTTTGACCTGGTTTGGATCTGCGACAGTGCGGCCGTGTCAGCTGATGTTTAGCCCTCTCACTGCGTCCTTTCCAAACGCACACAGTCATGAATAACTGATGACTGAAAACGACAACAGTCCATAGCATCACACAGTCTCACCAAAGCCTCTGTGTCTCGTCTTTTCAGGAACTTTCAGCCTGTGGTGTCATCCCAAGTTCGAGGATCGTTGTCACTCGGTGGTGGAGTTCATCGAGAGGGCCATCATGCACTCCAAAAACGGAAAATTCCTCTACTTCCTGCGATCTCGGGTCCCAGGTCAGAATCAGACAAATGCATACATCGACTCCACTTTTTTTTGTTTTTTTTTACTAAGCACGAGCCCATGTCTTTTCTGCACCGACTATAGCTGGAACCAATATTTGCAGATGCTATATTAAAGTGGGAGGAGCTAGCATCAAACAACAACATGCTAATTAGAAAACATTGCGTCTTTTGCATACTGCGAGCTGATTGGTTGAGAAGGCTATTAGTCTCTTGTTTACGGAACAAGCTGTGATGATAGAACCAAACTGTTTTGAGAGCAAGGAACTAGTTAAATGTATATTATGTCAATGTATATAATAGCAATAGCAGCTTTGTATGTTGACACACAAGCTTTAAATGATAGATTATATACTATATTTTTTCTTTTTCACTCATCTTTTACTCTAAAATCTTATTAGTGAAGAGTGACTTATCTAGTGTGGTTAAAAAAAACTAATTTCAGTGATATTAGCTGTTAAAATGTGACTATATTGTCTGTTCTGAATGAATTGGATATTTGAGCAGTATATTCTATTAGAAAGGGCCAAGATTTTTGAACATGTTTTAAGTTCGTCTGGCAAATGAAAGAGAAAATCCTCGTAATGAGATGAACATTGGTGGGCATACAGCATGTCTCATGGAGAAACTTGTCACACACACACACAGACAAAATGACCATGTTCTCTATCACATGTTTTCTCCTTCATGGTTGTTCAGATTAGGATTAGGATTATCCTTTATCCGTCCCACAGTGGGGAAATGTCAGTGTTGCATCACAAGTTATTGAACAGGAGGAAAGAGGAGCACACGGCACAAGATTGGTGAACAATAGCTATACTAATTAAAATAAAACAAAATCTCTAACTCTAGCATCCATAACAAGAATAAAATCTCTATCTTGAAAATAATAATAATAAAAAATAAGTTTACAAGTTTAACAAGCTGTGTGAGCTGGTTGTTTGTATTGATTGTGAAAGTTTGATGGTATTTATAATTATTGTATCATTATTCTTTATTAAGGACACAATACAATATGGTCCATATTTAAAATAAAATATCCAATACACACAGTATATTGCATATTGAAAAAGAAATGTATTCAGAAAAAACAAAAAAGAACATTACAGCTGCTGTACAGTATAAAGGCATGACCTCCAGTACGTCCATACTTTGGAGATGAACAGCAGTGAGCAGAACTCAGGGCGGACCTGAGTCTGAACAATTGCATTTTACGAGTAAGGAGTTGTTATAGGCCACTACTACTGCTATTACTGTACTTCTGATGTCTTTAATGAAGGGTTTTGTTGTGTGTTCTGTCTCAGGTCTTCCCCCGACTCCGGTGCAGCTCTTGTATCCGGTCTCTCGCTTCAGTAACGTCAAGTCTCTGCAACATCTGTGTCGCTTCTGCATCAGACAGATCGTCCGCATCGACCACATCCGGGAACTTCCACTGCCCCGGTACTACTACTACTACTACTACTACTACTACTACTGAAGAAGATGACATAGTCTGGGATCGCGTCTTTAATTCAGACAGAAGACATGTTTTATTGTCAATGGTAGAGACAGCACGAACAACACGAACAACAGAATGCAAGTGTATTATACAGAGCGGAGGCATGGAGACCTCCAATCAGCAGCTGCCACAGTGCCATGTAGCTTGGCCTTCAGATAGACAAAACAAGGGAAAAGTACTGGCTTCTGCACATTGATAGAATGATGAGTTTAACTTTAACAAAAGTTGCTTCAAAGTGTTATGAAATCGAACAAAAGACACAGATACATTATATATGGAAATCTACGTCATCATAGAAAAGGCCAAACCTTCGGCACCAAATAGCCTAAACAACGAAAGTCTCTGTGGTCCTTGAGACCTCCACAAGGCCAGATTATTAATACTACTACTACTACTACTACTGCCACTACTACTACTACTACTGCCACTACTACTACTACTATTGCCACTACTACTACTACTGCTACTACTGCCACTACTACTACTACTGATACTATTTTTTTTTTTTTTTTTTTTTTTTTTTATATCCTAGCCCGGAGTTATCGAGTGAGAAAAAAAGCTATGCCTCACGGTTGACCCTGGCCTGGTCTTATTGCCAGAGAATCCCGCCTCGCTTCCCTGTGCAGGTGGACTTACAGGTGCGAGCTCCTGGGGAGGTGACCCAGGGGGAGGGGAGCGACCCGGGGGGAGGCCCGGGTACTGCAGGACTTGGCCTCTTTAAAAGTGGCCTCACCTGCTAAAAAAAACTCACTGAGCTCCTTGGAATGGGCTTAGGGATGTGCCTACAGTGCTTCAAGAAATGTGGTCCAGTTTTCCTTCGTCAGATCTACCAGGTCGATTTGTGACATATTTTGGGCTTTTGCATCTTCTTCGATTTGTCTTATCCATTGTTTCCTTTGTCCACCTTCTTGTTTTTTCCCTTTTGGCTTCCAGTCAAGAATGATTTTTTGTATTCTTGAGTCTTCCATTTTTCGTATTCTTTGCCAGAATTTCATTCTTCTTTTTGCAATAATACTCAGGATTTTAGAGCATTTGCATTTTAGTCTCAGCTCTTCAGATGTAATGTGAGCGCTGGTGTGAATACCAGTTATCCTTTTCAGCATTCGGTTTTGAAATGCTTCAAGCCTCAGCTTACTGTCCTTCTTAATGACCCATGTCTCTGATCCATACAGCAGGACGCTCAGCACCAAGGACTGGTACAGAGACACTTTTGTGTCTAGTTTGTACTCTGAGGAGCTCCAGATCATTGTAAGTTCTGCTGCTCTTCTACCAGAGTCTGCGATCTTCTGCTTTATTTCTCTTTGGTGGTCACCATCGCCTTTTATAATTTGACCCAAATATTTGAATTCTTCCACAATGTCATAGTTTTTTATTGTTTCTGAACTCTCTGTGTCCCACACTAATGGAGCACTATGTGTTTTTTTCCTGCTCCCTCTTTGGTTACGATTGCTTCTTTTGACCCTTCCAGCAGTGCACCATCTTGATTTGTGAGTTTTTAGGCCCAGATCAGTATCAAAGGATCTCTGACACTGGTCACACCGGAAGAGAGGGTCATGTTCTTTCTTTGTTTGTGCTTCCACTGTCTTCTTACACCACCACTACTGATACTACTACTACTACTGCCACTACTGCCACTACTACTACTACTACTACTACTACTGCCACTACTACTACTACTACTGATAATACTACTACTACTGATAATACTACTACTACTACTACTGCTACTACTAATAATACTACTACTACGATTACTACTGTTGGCACTACTACTACTACTACTGATAATACTACTACTACTACTACTGCTACTACTAATAATACTACTACTACTACTACTGTTGGCACTACTACTACTACTGATAATACTACTACTACTACTACTACTGCTGCCACTACTACTACTAGTTTTTTTTTTTTTTTTTTTTTAAATCCTAGCCCGGAGTTATTGAGTGAGAAAAAAAGCTATGCCTCACGGTTGACCCTGGCCTGGTCTTATTGCCAGAGAATCCCGCCTCGCTTCCCTGTGCAGGTGGACCTACAGGTGCGAGCTCCTGGGGAGGTGACCCAGGGGGAGGGGAGCGACCCGGGGGGAGGCCCGGGTACTGCAGGACTTGGCCTCTTTAAAAGTGGCCTCACCTGCTAAAAAAAACTCACTGAGCTCCTTGGAATGGGCTTAGGGATGTGCCTACAGTGCTTCAAGAAATGTGGTCCAGTTTTCCTTCGTCAGATCTACCAGGTCGATTTGTGACATATTTTGGGCTTTTGCATCTTCTTCGATTTGTCTTATCCATTGTTTCCTTTGTCCACCTTCTTGTTTTTTCCCTTTTGGCTTCCAGTCAAGAATGATTTTTTGTATTCTTGAGTCTTCCATTTTTCGTATTCTTTGCCAGAATTTCATTCTTCTTTTTGCAATAATACTCAGGATTTTAGAGCATTTGCATTTTAGTCTCAGCTCTTCAGATGTAATGTGAGCGCTGGTGTGAATACCAGTTATCCTTTTCAGCATTCGGTTTTGAAATGCTTCAAGCCTCAGCTTACTGTCCTTCTTAATGACCCATGTCTCTGATCCATACAGCAGGACGCTCAGCACCAAGGACTGGTACAGAGACACTTTTGTGTCTAGTTTGTACTCTGAGGAGCTCCAGATCATTGTAAGTTCTGCTGCTCTTCTACCAGAGTCTGCGATCTTCTGCTTTATTTCTCTTTGGTGGTCACCATCGCCTTTTATAATTTGACCCAAATATTTGAATTCTTCCACAATGTCATAGTTTTTTATTGTTTCTGAACTCTCTGTGTCCCACACTAATGGAGCACTATGTGTTTTTTTCCTGCTCCCTCTTTGGTTACGATTGCTTCTTTTGACCCTTCCAGCAGTGCACCATCTTGATTTGTGAGTTTTTAGGCCCAGATCAGTATCAAAGGATCTCTGACACTGGTCACACCGGAAGAGAGGGTCATGTTCTTTCTTTGTTTGTGCTTCCACTGTCTTCTTACACCACCACTACTGATACTACTACTACTACTGCCACTACTGCCACTACTACTACTACTACTACTACTACTGCCACTACTACTACTACTACTGATAATACTACTACTACTGATAATACTACTACTACTACTACTGCTACTACTAATAATACTACTACTACGATTACTACTGTTGGCACTACTACTACTACTACTGATAATACTACTACTACTACTACTGCTACTACTAATAATACTACTACTACTACTACTGTTGGCACTACTACTACTACTGATAATACTACTACTACTACTACTACTACTGCTGCCACTACTACTACTAGTTTTTTTTTTTTTTTTTTTTTAAATCCTAGCCCGGAGTTATTGAGTGAGAAAAAAAGCTATGCCTCACGGTTGACCCTGGCCTGGTCTTATTGCCAGAGAATCCCGCCTCGCTTCCCTGTGCAGGTGGACCTACAGGTGCGAGCTCCTGGGGAGGTGACCCAGGGGGAGGGGAGCGACCCGGGGGGAGGCCCGGGTACTGCAGGACTTGGCCTCTTTAAAAGTGGCCTCACCTGCTAAAAAAAACTCACTGAGCTCCTTGGAATGGGCTTAGGGATGTGCCTACAGTGCTTCAAGAAATGTGGTCCAGTTTTCCTTCGTCAGATCTACCAGGTCGATTTGTGACATATTTTGGGCTTTTGCATCTTCTTCGATTTGTCTTATCCATTGTTTCCTTTGTCCACCTTCTTACTACTACCACTACTATTACTACTACTACTGCTGCCGGCACCACTACTGCTGCTACCATTACTACTATTTCAATTACTACTACTACTAGTACAAATACTGCCACTACTACTACTGCTGCTGCTGCATCTAATACTACTACTACTATTACTTATTTTCAACCACGTAGAAAGCAGACCTAAAAATATTTGTTGAAAAAAAGTGATCATGAATAATCTGTAATTGCTGTTAATCCTATAATTGATTCTAATAAACTCTCCTATCTATCAATCTGTGCTTGTTTTGGAAAGCAGCCTTCAATTACCAAATCTGGCAATGTAGCATACAATGTTTGCTTCTTTGGGTTCTTGGGTACATGAATTATTCTTTTGCCATAACTTTTAACTTCATGTTGCATATTTGTAACCGAGGGTGCTTAAGTCCAATCGCAAACGTGACTGAGGTTTTGTGTCTTCTTCCCCTCTCAGTCCGCTGATCTCATACCTGAGTAAGTTTTATTACTACGACCCGGAGGAGGAGATGTACATGTCTGTGAAGAGCGTCCGACCCGCGGAGGAGGCCGAGGCCGAACCGGAGCCACAAACGTAGCACCAGAAGCCAACAACGGTGAGTGCCCTACGCTACATTACAGCAGTGATATATTCTGTGGCCCTTGCTAACTATAAGCCGTCTTTGAGATCATACACACTAGTTCAGGACTAGCAGTCCTGCTCTGGACACAGCAGTCGCATTCTCTTGCTGCTCCTCGCTTGCTGCTTTTTTATCTCCTTTAATCATTTTGCTTACATTTTTACAAAACTTTGCGACGGCTGTTTTTCACTCAAACAGGAGCTAAAACTTCTTCAAGACCGAATGTTTGTGCTTGAATCAGAATTGGGGCTGAACACAAGGGAAATGGACCAAATGGACAGAACGTAAGTTATGATGACGCTATTTCATTTCCCAAAATCAACAGAGACAATTGTTGGAACACATATGGTGTCAAGCCCAAACATGGGCGGCACGGTGGCTGAGTGGATAGCACTCTCGCCTCTCAGCAAGAAGGTCCTGGGTTCGAATCCCGGTCGGACCAGGGCCTTTCTGAGTGGAGTTTGCATGTTCTCCCAGTGTCTGCGTAGGTTTCCTCCGGGTACTCCGGTTTCCCCTACCACTAAAAATATGTCCAATAGTTCTAGCATGCGCCTCCTGTACTGGCCCCGCTCCCATCTCTGTGTGGAGTGAGAGACAATTGCCCAATATTAACAATTGTAAACCGCTTTGAGACTCAGATCTGCAGTGAAAAGGCGGTATATAAATACAGATTACTACTGTCAGTCTCAGTCAAGGTCAAATGCAGCTGAGTCGCTCTTTATCGGCGATTCTGCGATAAGACATGTAAACATGTGTAATCTCAAGGTTCACTCAGTACACTCTGCCAAAGTGGATGAGATAAGGCGGTTGGCTCTGAGGCTTTTGTCTGAGACCGGCGGGGTAAAAAGATTGTTGATCCACGTGGGGGCAGTAGACGTCTATGACAACACAAGTGAAAAGTTGAAACGGGATTACTCTCTCTTATTGGACGACCTTGCTAAAATGGACGCAACAATCGTTATCAGTGGCCCACTACCAAATGTGGACGGGAAGCAAATTAAATTCAGTCGTCTGTATCAGCTAAATACTTTCTGACTCAACGAATGTTAACGCAGAGGACTTGCCTTCATTGAGAATTTTAATCTGTTCTGGAATAGGCATGAGCTTTCTGAAGGGAAAGGGCCACATCTGAACACTTACGGAGTAAAAGTGTTGATGGATAACCTTTCTTTTGCCCTGAGACCTCAGCCTGCGCAGCGCATGCAGCCATCGAAAGGGAGGAAGCCGACTCTAAAAGTCTCTGCACCTCCACCACCTCGAAGGATCTCAACACCTACACCACCTCGAAGGATCTCAACACCTCCACCACCTCGAAGGATCTCAACACCTCCACCACCTCGAAGGATCTCAACACCTCCACCACCTCGAAGGATCTCAACACCACCACCACCTTGAAGGATCTCAACACCACCACCACCTCGAGGGATCTCAACACCATCACCGCCTCAAAGGATCTCAACACCTCCACTGTCATCAGAAGCAGCTGCATCATCACCAGTAGCCAAGCACCAGCAGCACGACCACCACCAACATCCTCATCCCCAGCCTGCTCCAAAGCAGTCACGCCTTCTTCATCTACAGCGCCTCTGAAGCCCCCATCCTCACCCCAGCCTACAGCAGACAGGCCTGTGCTGGGGTTTCCTCAACCACCTGCCCCTCCATCAAAGACTCCCTCGCCACCTCCCATGGACCTGTCTTGGGTCCCCCCTGCCACGTCCACTCCATCAAGAGAGAATGGGGACACGTCCCTTTGTTTTTCATCCCCGCCTTCACTGTTAGACCTACCTGAACACTCTGCAGGGCTAATAAAATCGGCAATGAAGACTATTCCTCTCACACACCCATATTAGCTAGATCTAGAGTCCTGTCCAACATGCTAAACCACTCCCCATATGTACCTCCAAAACCACCTAGGGTTTCCAATTCACCTACAAAAACCACCTCAGCCAGTCCCTCCCCTAACCTCATGACCATTCCACCCTCACTTCCCCCTCGTTCAACACCCAAAACCTCTGCCTCAGCCCACCCCGGCCCTAACCCATCACCAAAAACCCCTCCACCTCCCTGCCCCCCTCGTTCAACACCCAAAAGCCACCCACCTCTCCATCCTCCTCCCCTGCCTTCCCCTTCCCCTCTTTTCTCTAAACACTAGGATGCACAGGGTCTCTGCTTCGCAGCCACTGGCAGTCTAGTTAGAGGAGAGACCCGGCTGGGGCCCTGTCATGAAGCCACCTGTGCCATTCCCTTAGTGATAACACAAAGAGTACATTACAGAAAAACATCTGAAGTTAATCAGTCTAATCTGGAAAATCTAATTCTTGTTCCGTGCAAGAATCAGCCGACCACAACCGCTGATACTGAAACTTTGAAAGTTGCTACGCTTAATGTCAGATCTCTTTGTAACAAGTCTTTTTTAATCAATAATTTTATTTGTTCTCATAATCTTGATCTTATGTTCATGGCTGAAACTTGGCTTGACCAAAATTCAGGAAATGCAGTTTTAATAGAAGCATCACCACCAAATTTCAAGTTTGAATCTGAAAGACGGGAAAACAAAAAAAGGAGGAGGCTTAGCTGCCATTTTTAGAGACCACTTTGTCTCCCATAGAATGTCTCTTGGGAAGTTTTCGTCATTTGAATATGTGTCTTTTAAAATACAACAAAAACAATCTCCTCAAATACTCTTCATTGTCCTATACAAGCCACCGCAGTCTTGTCACAGTTTTATTGATAATTTTTACCGAGTTGCTTTCAGTTGTATGCACAGATTTTGATAGTTTGGTTATTACAGGTGATTTTAATATTCATGTGGATAATGTTGATGACAGAAATGCAAATGAGCTGAGTTCTGTACTAGGAATGATAAGAAAGAGAGGTGAAGTGTAAGACGGTTGATTTTAGAAATTGGATGCAGCCGGCTGCAGCAAAACAGAGGAGTTTACAGAGGACACACGCGTTTTGTTTTACTTTTTAAAACTCATTGGACTCATTTCCAAATGGAGGATTACATATCTACGCTCAAACCATTCACTGGATTTAAACAAGGAACTGGTCTGAACCGAAGTGGACTGTGCAGGTCATTTATAAGGTATAGCTATAAGGTAAGACCCATAACTCATAGTTTTGCGTTTTGTATGAACAAACAATGCGGGCATAAAACATATTTTGCTGTAGCCAAACAAATTGTCCACTTGATTTATATGATGTATATGTTCATCTGATTGGACTGAAGTCAGTGCTTCACCAGCCTCACCGCTCGTCACCGGTGTTTCCACATTCACAGTGGCGGGCTTTACAGCACAGTGAGAGATGAAGAGTGAACAAGACTTCAGCAGCAAAACAGCCTTTTCTAGATGGAAATATTGGCACTGTTAAAGGTAAAAATGCGCACGTCGGGTGCACATTATGTTCCAGAACAAAACGAAAAAGTAACGCAATAGTTACTTTTACTGGTAACTAGTTACTTTTATAGTGGAGTAACTCCGTTAGTAACTCAGTTACTTTTTGGGAGAAGTAACTAGTAACTATAACTAATTACTTTTTCAAAGTAACGTGCCCAACACTGTTAACAACTATCGTCCCATCTCAAATCTGCCATTTATGGGGAAAGTCCTTGAAAAAGTTGTCTACCTACAGCTTACTAGATTTCTTATAATCAACAACTCATTTGATATGTTTCAGTCCGGCTTTAGACCCCACCACAGCACTGAGACTGCTCTTGTTAAGGTTACAAACGATATCCGGCTGAACACTGACGCAGGCAAAGTCTCAATCTTAATCCTGTTAGATCTAAGTGCTGCCTTTGACACTGTTGACCATGAGATCCTCTTACAGAGATTAGAGGAATGGGTTGGAGTCGCTGGCACCGCCCTAAGTTGGTTTAGGTCTTACCTTGAGGACAGGAAGTACTTTGTCGAGATTGGAAACTGTGTCTCAGATCATATGGCCCTGACCTGTGGAGTACCACAGGGGTCAATCCTGGGACCTCTTCTGTTCAATCTCTACATGCTGCCGTTAGGTCAGTTAATACGCAGAAACGAAGTTTCCTATCATAACTATGCAGACGACACTCAGATCTATGTCTCACTGACTGCAGGAGAACATGGACCAGTGGACTCACTCCTTCACTGTATCCAACAGATCAGTGAGTGGATGCAAAACAACTTCCTTCAGCTAAACGCAGACAAAACTGAAATGATTGTCTTTGGTTCCCAGAAACAAAGAGAGCGTCATCTGTCACCTACAGTCCCTCTCCCTAAAACCTTCAAACAAGGTCAGAAATCTAGGGGTAATACTGGACTGAGACTTAAATTTTAATAGCCACATCAAATCAGTAACATCAGCAGCTTTTTACCATCTAAAAAACATTGCCAGGATCAAAAACATAGTGTCTAAAGCAGACCTGGAGATTCTTATCCATGCATTTGTCTCCAGTAGGTTAGACTACTGCAATGGCCTGCTCACAGGTCTGTCCAAACAGGCTGTAAAACAGCTGCAGTACAGTCAAAATGCAGCAGCTCGAGTCCTGACCAGAACCAGGAAGTACGACCACATTAGTCCAGTCCTCAGGTCTCTGCACTGGCTTCCTGTGGCTCAGAGAATAGACTTTAAAACAGCTCTGCTTGTGTACAAGTCTCTCCATGGCCTCGCACCAAAATATATTAGTGACATGTTAGTCCCATATGAACCAGCCCGGACTCTGAGGAGCACAGGGACTGGACTCCTGTTAGTGCCCAGAGTCAGAACTAAACATGGGGAGGCTGCTTTTCAGATTCATGCTGCTAAAATCTGGAACAGTCTTCCTGAAGATGTGAGACAGGCCTCCTCTCTGACAATGTTTAAAACCAGGTTAAAGACAGTTCTGTTTAGCTGTGCATACAACTGAGGGATTGTATATTTGTATCTTTCTTTTTAATGTTCTGTGATTATTTATGATTTGAATGCTTTCTTGTTTTGTT